AAATAACCCCTCTGTCTTAAGTTCAACTGTTACTAGATTGGAATTCCATACGGGATACAGATTCAAAGAAGTGATTGACTGGTTTCTGTCTGTTCCCCCAATCTCTTTAAAACATGTGGGCAACCTCATGCCTTTTGCCTAATGCTTTGCAAGGCCCCCCCCCCCCAAAAAACAACCCCTAATTTCAAAAGCTCTCTGCAAACAATTCAGTTCAGATCTCTGGCAAGAATGATGTGATACCTGCCTGCTACACACAGAGAGAAAGGCAATGGGGTGGCTGGAAGAGAAAAGAGGTGGCCCCATCCATTTCCTTCTCTGGTACCCCACCCACAATCCACATGCAGCCCCCTAATGGATTACTTATGGTAGGGGTCGGCAACCTTTTTCAGCTGTAGGCCAGTCCACCATCCCTCAGACCATGTGGTGGGCCAGACTATATTTTTTTGGGGGGGGAAATGAACGGATTTCTATGCCCCCAAAATAACCCAGAGATGCATTTTAAATAAAAGCACACATTCTACTCATATAAAAACACCAGGCAGGCCCCACAAATAACCCAGAGATGCATTTTAAATAAAAGGACACATTCTACTCATGTAAAAACACGCTGATTCCCGGACTGTCCGCGGGCCGTATTTAGAAGGCGATTGGGCCGCATCCGGCCCCCGGGCCTTAGTTTGCCTACTTATGGAATCAACAGGCAGCCCTGTTTAGGGAAGCTTTTAATGTTTAATAGGTTTTTGTATTTTAATATTCTGTTGGGAGCCGCCCAGAGTGGCTGGGGAAACCCAGCCAGGTGGGCGGGGTATAAATAATAAATTATTATTATTATTATTATTGAATGGTTGAGTTGGAAGAGACCCTGAGGATCATCTAGTCCAACCCGCTGCAAGGCAGGAAAATGCTGCTGCCCCATACGGGGACCGAACCTGCAACCTTGGCGTTCTCAGCACCACTCTCTAACCAAACTGAGCCAGACGTTTTCAACCTTTTTGGGTCCACGGCTCCCTTGACCAACTGCATTCTTTCTGTGGCTCCCCTGTGGGGCTCAGGAGCCCGGTTAGGTCACCCCTTTGCCTGTGGAGCTGGCAGTCTATCATGTTTTTTGAAACCCTCCCTTGTGGGGCGTTCCCTCCTCTCCCCTCTCCTTGGGAGTCCTCTGGGCAGCCATTGCTACTGTCCCTGCTCTCCAAGCTGCCCCCTTTGCCCCAAAGAGAGATGCCTCTTCACACTGCCCCACAGGGGCCTGGGAAGCACCCCCTGGCCAGCACCAGAGACGCCATTCACCTGGAGAGCTTGTGGCCAGGGCTGCTGCAACAAACAGCTGTGCAAGGCTTGGGGAGGCAGAGATGCAAGAGGTTCATCAGAGGAGGCAGGGATGGAAAGAGGGACAGAGGCCAGTACTGCCCGTGGCACGACTGACCATCATTCAAGACACCCCAGGGTGCCACGACACACTGGTTGAAAACACTGAACTGGGCTGTCCAGGAATACAGCTCTTAATAGCAAAAAGGTTGCCTTCCCTAACTTTGAAAAAAGGCGTTACCTTTTGACGCTGGGCATCGCCTCTCCTGGTATGTCCCACGGAGGACCTTACGGTCTTCAAATAAAAACATCTTGGAGGTCCCAGGCCACAGGGAGGTTAGGCTGGCCTCAACCAGAGTCAGGGCTTTTTTGGCTGTGGCCCCAATCTGGTAGAACCCTCTGTCACAAGAGAAGAGGGCCCTGCGGGACTTGACATCTTTCCACAGGGCCTGCAAGACAGAGCTGTTCCACCAGGCCTTTGGTAATCCTCACAGAACTCTAGCCCAATGGTTGCCATTAATTTGATTCTGAATTGATTTTAGAATGAATTGATTTTAGAATGCATTTCAATTAATTGACTGTGATTTTATGCAAACTGTGTTACTTTTATTGTTGTTAGCCGCTCTGAGCCCGGCTTCAGCTGGGGAGGGCGGGATATAAATAAAATACTATTATTATTATTATTATTATTATTATTATTATTATTTCATGCTATGGCGGTATAGAAATATTTCTCTAAATAAATCACATTTTTTTGTTATTGCCTTTTGCACCCCATCTTTCCTCAGCTACACGGTGGTAGTTCTTGTGCTCCACCCACGTTTTGCCCTGTCATAACCAAAGAACAAACAGATCCCCACATTGTTTAAAAACTAGGTGACGCTTGAAACATTAGCTCGCTTTCCCCAGGAGCGATTGTTTATGAAAAAGCCCGCAAACCTCCTATTATTAAACCAATTGCATGTTGCAAGACTACTTGGGCTGCTTAATCCTTTAGAGCCAGTTCACTGCGGCATGTCTACATCAAGCCAATAATTTGTGCTTGCAAGAGGTTAAAGAAAGCGGGCAAAGCACTTCTAATTAATTTAATCCGGCTGGCGATCTAGGTGTGATGCTTCACCCCCCCAGTATTGTTTCTGCAATCAAAACCCTGTGTGTCCGTATCTCAAAAATTCCTGGTAGTTCTCATTCCGGGTGGTTTGGGACGCTGTGGCACATTGCATGCTCTTACGAAGAGCTGCCTGTTTTGCATTAGACCAATACCCATCTCCTCCAGTCACCAGTGAGATGAACATATACGAGTGAAGTTTGTTTCCTCACCTGCCTTTCAAAGCCATCTCAGCTGGAGGCTGTCTCTGTCTCCTCTTTGCAGCAGCAAACTCTGTATGCTGAACATGCGTTGCATGATGTAATAGGAGCGAGTGGGAAATGTTGAAACGAAACCTTTCTGGCGACCGGCGCGGAGCAGCCTAGTTGTCCAAGGACGTGTTCAGAATCCAGCCTGAAGATGGCAGCCTTAAAAGGATGCTTGCTGTCTTTGTGTGGCATGGATCGGTTCCCGTCGGAACGCACAGAAACCAGATTTCCTCGAGGGCTCCTGCTTAAATGTAGTAGCTGTACTTCGGGGAGGAAGCCAGGTCTGAGTCTGAGCAGTGGGAGGCTGCAAGGGAACCGTAAGCTGCTGCCCCGGGTTCCAAGATGGAAGAAAAGCGATGTGCGTATGGAAATACAACGGTACCTTGGTTCTCAAAAGGCTTAGTTAACAGACAAATTGGCTCCCGAACGCCAAAAACCCGGAAGTAAGTTGAAATATACTCGGAGTCGAGAGTGGATTTCATGCTCTTTATTCAGCTCATAGTGGTGAGGAGGAATGGAAGTTCCCCCATTATATACATTTTTTACACAGTGGGCCCCACGTGATTGGCTAATTCTGGGTTTCACCTGTAGGCCAATCAGGTTCCGGATTCACTTCCACCTGGAGCTGGATTGGGTGGCTCCTGTGGACCAATCAGACTGCTGCATTCTGGGTCCTGTTATTCTAGGACCAATCAGACTGCTGCATTCTGAATCCAATTGTTCTAGGACCAATCAGACTGCTGCATTCTGAATCCAATTGTTCTAGGACCAATCAGACTGCTGCATTTTGAATCCTATTTAACTCAGTACATAACATAAGTGTTCCGGTTTGCAGACGTTTTTCGGAAGCCGAACGTCTGCCGCGGTTTCCGCTTGAGTGCAGGAAGCTCCTGCAGCCAATCAGAAACCGTGTCTTGGTTTTTGAACGGTTTCGGGAGTCGAATGGACTTCCAGAATGGATTAAGTTCAAGAACCAAGGTTCTACTGTAAATAAATGATTTGTGTGAAGGAAGCTCCAGGTTCAGTTCATCTCAGAAGGATGAAGGTAGCGGGTGATGTGGAAGACGCCAGAAGACTTGAAGAGGCACTGGCAGAGTGCTCTCAAGGTTGGGCTGGACACCCAAATAGCCTGACCTAGAATCATAGAGTTGGCAGGGACCCTGAGAATCATCAAGTCCACCCCCTTGCCATGCAGGAATAGGCAGCTGTCTCTTATAGGGATCGAACCTGCAACCTTGACACTGTCAGCAGCATGCTTTAACCAACTGAGCTTGCTATAACTGTCCTGTATTCCGTTGATCTCTTGTGCAAGGGCAAGGGCTATAGTAAAATGGTAGGGCATCTGTTCTGCATGCAGAAGGTTCCTGGTTCAGTCCCTGCCATTTCCAGGAATGGCTGGGGGAAAGACCTGAAACCGCAGAGAGCTGCTGCCAGCCAGTGTGGGCAGTTCTGAGCTAGAAGGCCCCGTGGCCTGATTCTGTATAAGGCACCTTCCAATCCTCCAACTCCCTTTATAGTGTGCATTTTATTGCACCTTCCTCTTGGACTTTCCCCCAAAATCCTGGTACAAGATTTCATTAAAATGTGGAGGCTCTCTGCTTTCTCTCTTCTTCTTTCTCTCTTCTTTTCTTTTAAGTTTTTAACCCTCTTGACTTCAAGGAGCAATTATAAAAGGCAAGCTTTGGTCAGCCTTTAAGTTGCACGAAGCCAATTTATTGCAAAATAAAGGCAGATGCGAACGAGCTAGGACAGAATTCTCACTCGAGCCCTGAACGCACCTCTCCTCCCAGCTCTGGTACGTTTTTCATCATCAACAACAACAATCTTTATTACGGTCCAGAGACCCAACAAAACATTACAAATCAATACAGAGTTCATACAGCCTACCTCCAGGTTAATCAAACACTTTGTTTCGAATATAGGGCTCGTTTGTTCTTGCAACCACCGATAAAACTTTGCCACTGCCAACGTTCTAGCTTTTGTCCGGTCTTCCAGTAGGAACCTGACATAGTGAGCCTCTGATTTTCCCGGGAAAGGCACCAGCAAGGGTAGTATCAGTTCAGCCCTGGCCTGCTCATACTTCGCACAATGCAACAAAATATGATTTATGGAATCGATGTCTTGAGCACACGAGCAAAGTCTGTCCTGGTAGGGAACTCCTCTCAACCTACCTTTTTCTTATTTCTCCCTCCTAAGTCTGAAATTCCTTTGACCCGCTCAGAGAATACGCTTGGAACATGCCTGGTGGGAAGAACAGGATCCCGCCAAGAGCAAAAATGGCTGCTTTGTTCTGCCTTTGCAAAAAACACCTTGATAAGACTTTGTTTTGATTCCCTGAGATGTGTGGCGAAGAGTGAGCAATAAAACAGTCTCTCTCTTGTTGCAGGCTACCTTAAGTGCGATACGGACGATGGCTGTGAGAACAAAGAAGAAGTCGGGGGTGAAGAACTTTTTGACACCGTCAATTCCTCAATCGTCTCCGGGGACAGCATCAGGTTCTTTGTGAATGTCAACTTGGATGTACAACAGAACGTTACAGGTAAGGATGCTGCCTGCTTCGTACCTGAGACCATCTTGGTTTGTCTCTCTCTCATAAATTCCCGTCTTGTAATATTGTTTTCCATGGCCTGGTTTGCACATCACTTTTTAGATCGCAGCTAAGCTGAACGATGGGACTCGGGTGGCGCTGTGGGTTAAACCACAGAGACGAGGACTTGCCGATCAGAAGATCGGCGGTTCGAATCCCGCGACGGGGTGAGCTCCTGTTGCTCGGTCCCTCCTCCTGCCAACCTAGCAGTTCGAAAGCACATCAAGTGCAAATAGATAAATAGGTACCACTCTGGCAGGAAGGTAAATGGCATTTCCGTGCGCTGCTCTGGTTTGCCAGAAGCGGCTTAGTCATGCTGGCCACATGACCCGGAAGCTGTACGCTGGCTCCCTCGGCCAATAAAGCGAGATGAGCACCACAACCCCAGAGTCGTCCACGACTGGACCTAATGGTCAGGGGTCCCTTTACCTTTTAAGCTTAACGATGGCTTAAAGGTGGATACCATTGTTTTGGTGATGGGGAGAAAATCATCCCTCCTTCGCTTCTTCTCTGGTCCTGCTGCCGCCACGCTACTGGCAACTAAACCATGGTTTGATTGAACCTTGCATCCAAGCCCAAGCTCATGGTTTGTCTCTCCCCCAGCAAGCCTGTGTCTGGCTGTTAACACTAAACCAAAATACATCTCAGCTCCAAGTAGTGGCTGTGATCTTCTCCCCGTGCAACACCAGGCTGTGCGTTCACCTTTAAACCATAGTTAAGCTTAACCATAGTTTACAGTGTTGTGCGAAGGAGAATGGGGCTGTTTCTCATTTTGCACAAGGCAGTCGTCTTGGCACGTGTTAGAGGACTTGGTTGTGTGACGGCGCATGAGTGTTCGAAATGGGAAGACTCGTTGGGGTGTGTTTATTGAACTCAAACAGGAATTGGCCTCACTTCTGTAGGTGTGACCGTGCGACTAATACAAGTTGAGCCAAGACTGGGTGGGCTGGCCTAAGCAGAGGGAGAGATGAGTAAAGAGGCTGCCCTTAAAAAAATATCCTTTTCCTGGCACGCTTGGAAAATACTTCCATCTTCCCAGAGAGAGATTTGTAAAAAGCTGGGAAACACTGAATTAGCCCCTAAAGTGTTAAGACTTAACAGAACGCTCTCCCCCCACAAAAAACACACACCTAAGGCTACGGAAGTCAATTTTGAAGACACAGGCTGCTTTCTATTTGCAGAAGAATTGGATGTTTTTTTTATTTGAAACTCTGTTTGCATGCGCGTTTGTGTCATGTTTCTATATGCAACGAGGTGTATAATGGTACAGTTGATCGCATCAGGAGGAGAACAAAGCACGGGCACAACAGAGGCACAAAGAGTTGTCTGCATCATTTTTACAATACATAATTTCCCCCATAATGTCCCGCTTGTCTTCGCTTCCATCTGCGATGTTTGCTGACTGTGTTAGCACAACAGCAGGTGCCTGAGCTTCTGGGAAATCTCGTTCCATGCCAGGGGTTGTCAAACATTTTGGGCCTATGGATACATTTCCAGACGGGGGAAACTGTTGTGAGAATTGCACACACACACACACACACACACACACTGCAACCAAGCACACACCACAAATCTCTTCAGTTGCCTGCAACAGAATGCTGCCTCCATGCTTAATTTCAGCAAGAGGAAAGGCGGGGGAAGGGGACACTGTGGGCACCAGGGAAGGCCTCTGCAGATGTGCCCTTGGGCATCACACTGGTATCCCCCTGTAAAGCCCATCTGAACCCCTGCTGCCAGTCAGCTCGATGGCCCAATGGCCTGGTTCAGTATAAAGCACTTCCTTCGTTCTTAAAATTGAAAGAAAAGGCTGTAGCTGTCAGGAGCAGGTCAGCAAGAAATCACACGGCATCAGCGAAGTTAACTGTCTACTCACAGAAACAAGGTTGACGCAGGAGGTCAGGCCTAGTGAGCTCAGCAACTCGAATTGATAGATCTTGCCCCTGTTGTGGAGACTGAAGACCCCGCAGTTCCCTAGTCTCCTCCCTTCCCGGGTCCTTCCCAAGCAATCTGAGACTATGCCGCCATGCCTGAATTTGCTCTTCCCGCTTCATACCTCTTCTGGTTCTGGGAGACCACTGGGGAGGGGAGCTGGTTGCAGCAGGAGGGAGAGACTCCCTGGATTCTTCAGCCTCATCTCTGCCTCTTGGCCCCTCCCCTACTCTCCAACCTTTGCTTTTGCCTCTGATTGTGGACTGCTCTCTGCCAAACACTCTCTCAGCTCACGAAAGCCTGCTGCCTCTTCCTCCCAGTCTGCTCCCTCTTCTCCCTCCGACCACGTGTTGTCGACCCACCACTAATCCCCTGACTCTGAGCTTTCTTCCCCTGGCAATTCCCAGCGGTTGCCTCCCTCCCACTCCTCTGCATCCAGCCAGTCCATGACAGTAGCTCAGCTGGAAAACTGCTGCCAGACAATGTAGACCGCACTGAGTTAAATGGACCGGTGCTCTGATTTGGCACAAAGCAATTTCTTATGTTTCTGTGGCCCTGTGTAGCGCATCTCTCTCTCTCTCTCTGGCTAGGCTGCCCTTCTCCGCCTAGGGAGAAACCACCTCTTTGACTCATCTGCATTAGCTCCTGCTACGTTTCTCTCCCACGAACTGCGAGGTATATCTTTCCACCCTTCTCCTTGCACCACGAGGCGCTTTCTTCTCTCTGCACCTTGAGATACGCCGGCGCTGACAATGCAATAAGCCCGGCGGCCCCCGGAGGGTTGGGTGGGGAGGTGGACTCAGGGCGAGGCGAGGCGAAATGAGGGACAGCTAAATTTAGCACCTTCCCGTGGGGGTGTGCATGGAGGAATGCCAGAATGCCGGCCTGCTCATTGTGCCCCCGCTGCGTCCGTGTCTTGCTATTCTGTTTACGCAATCGATTGTGCCATTATTTGCCTCTCTGCTATTCGAAAAATCCTGCCCTTGTGAATTAGCATTGTTCGACTGCAGAGGAAAAAACCCTCGCCGGAATGAATAGAGGATGCTGGCCCCTTGCTCTTAGCTTTCCCCGGCTGGTCTAAGGCCGTTTCCCCTGCTGCTTTCGAAAGCTGCAAGTTACGTGACTCCCATCGCCTGCTGAACCCAAACATGCGCCGTATGACGCTTGGCCCACAGCTGTGAGGCGTCTGTCTTGCAGTGCAGAGAGAAGTCCGGCTCATAGCTGCCAACTTTTCCCTTTTCTTGCGAGGAATCCTATTCAGAATAAGGGAATTTCCCTTTAAAAAAGGGGAAAGTTGACAGCTAAGGTCCGGCTGCCGGATCAGGCCAAAGGCTCATCCAATCCAGCGGCCAGCCAGATGCAGCGATGGGAAACCTCTGAGCAGGACCCGAGTTCTGCCTGGAACTGCCTGCCAGTTAACAATGGGCAGGAACCTTTGCTATGCTCTTTTACGACTTCTTCTAAAAACGTCACTCTATGCGGGTAAGGCTACCCAGACACATCGTTTAGTTATATATACACTAGTTGTTTTTTAAAAAAAATTCTGCTGATTTCTATCTGTGCATCATGGATGATCGCTTTATATACCCTGCCTAGAGATGTATAGAGGAACCTTGCTTCTCAAACTTAATCCGTTCGACTCCCAAAACCCTTCGAAAACCAAGGGACGGCTTCCGATTGGCTGCAGGAGGTTCCTGCAGTTAAACAGAAGCCGCGTCGGACGTTCAGCTTCCGAAAAACGTTCGAAAACCGGAACACTTACTTCCGGGTTTTCGGCATTTGGGAGCTGATTTATTCGTCAACTAAGCCGTTTGAGAAACAAGGTATGACTGTATTTCTTTTTGATTAAGCAGTTTACAAGTTTTCCCAAGTAAATAATAACAGCGCATGAGAGAGGTTGGCGCATTTCGGAGAAGGTAGCACACCTCTTTATGCACGTCCAGAAACAATCCGTTCTCTAAAACGGGGGGGGGGGGCAACTTGAATAACATATTGCGGGGTGCAGATAAGGCCCCCCCACGCATCATTGATCATACACCATTTGAATGGCAATGTCCATCAACTTTGGGGAGGCTTGGCTCCCACAAATATTTTACTGGCTGCATCGACAGGGTCAAAGGAAGTACTGCTCTATTGTGCCTTGGTCAGACCACACCACTATTGTGTCCAGTTCTGGGTACCACAATTGAAGAAGGATGTGGACAAGCTGGGACATGTACAGAGGAGGCCGACCAGATGATCAAGGGTCTGGAAACCAAGCCTGATGAGGAACGGTTGAGGGAATTGGGTATGTTTAACCAGGAAAAGAGGAGACAGAGAGGAGACGTGATAGGCATCTCAAGTGTTGTCACTTGAGAGAGGGAACAAGCTTGTTTTCTCCCGCTCTGGAGGGTAGAACTCGAACCCAAGGCTTCAAGTTACAAGAAAGGAGATTTTCACTAAACATCTGGATGAACTTTCTGGTGGTAAGAGCTGTTTGAGAGTGGAACAGACTCTCTCGCTCACTGGACCAAAGACTTGGTTTGGGGTTCATTGGCTAAGTGCTCACATCCATCACTATTTGACGGAAGGGAGAAATTCCTACTTGAACGTTTGGTACTGTATTGCTTTGATAGCAGTTTCTTGGGAACAGATTGCACAGAGGCCACTGCACGTCTCAGAGAATCGCTTCGAACAAGAAAGTGTTAAATAAAATTTGAAGCAGTCCGCTCTCTATGCATGGGCTCCTAGGTATGACTCATGCAACCTCAGTCTTCAGAAGGCTGTTAGAATATAAATTTCTCTGGGCGTTAGTGCTTCCTAGAAATTGCGCGACACGCTTAGTTTCTAAAGTATCTCTTCCAAATCATTATGCACTGTAGAAGAGCAATTTAAAAATGCAGTGCATTCGAATTTAATCTAAGCACACAGGCTGTTCAAATATTATTGTTATTGCCCATTAGACTGCTGCTGCCACATTCTGAAATTAATGATTAATTCAACTCCACAGCTGCACGCAAATGTGTCCCAGTTTCCTGCAAAAACTGGCAATTTTGGTTGAGGTAGGAAGGCTGAGACCTGTTAAGGGTTGTCCATTTTGGCGGCGGCTGATTTCTCCCTTGGCTGTATTGGTCCATGGATGTCCCAGCCAATCAGGGAGCATGTCAAAATACTACATAGCCAATCAGATTTGATCTGCAAGATGATGCAAGCGAGAGCAATTGCAATAATTAAACGTTTTCACAAGGAGTGCTGAAACATTGCCAGAGACAGACATCCTTTTTTGGCGTGATTGACACCATTTGTCAAAACGAAACGAAACACCTTGCTCTGCTAATCTTTAAATGTTAAGTTTTAATCTGTTCTCAGGAGGCATGCCTAGTCTTTTCTCAGTGCTTCGTTCTCATACCTGAGAAGCGGTTTTGGTATACAGTCATGCCTCATGTTACGTTTGCTTCATGTTACGTTTTTTCAGGTTGCGTCCCGCGGCGACCCGGAAGTGGCAGAAAGGGTTATTTCCGGGTTTCACTGCTCGCGCATGTGCAGTAGCGCTAAATCGCGCTTCGCGCATGCGCACAAGCACCAAATCATGCCATAGCTGTCAACTTTTCCCTTTTCTTGTGAAGAATCCTATTCGGAATAAGAGAATTTCCCTTAAAAAGGGGAAAATGTTGACATTCAGGTTGCGGGCTTTTCGTGTTGCGAACGGGCCTCCGGAACGGATCCCGGTCGCAACCAGAGGTACCACTGTACTGCAGCAAGCTGGCACCTAGCTACCCTCAGGCTGAATATTTTTAAATAACAAAATAAATGAAAACATAAGAAGGGTCCCCATCTAGGCCAGTATCCTGTTCTCACAGTGGCCAACCAGATGCGTCATCTGCGAATGCCAACAGCAGAATTCAAGCCCTCTTCCATCCTGTGGTTTCCAGCATCTGATATTCTTAAGCATCACTGCCTCCGACTGTGGGGCAGAGGGGAGCCTTCAGGTCTAGTAGCCATCGATAGGCCTCTTCCTCCTCCTCCCCAAAAAACTGGGAGGGGAACTCCTTTTCTTTCTGCCACTGCCTCTTCTTCAGTTGACAGAGACCATGCTTGTATATTCTTTTTTCTTTTTTTTTACTATTTATATTTTATTGAGACTATAATATTTTTTTAAAAAATTAATTTTTATTAATTTTCCATTTAAACATATATAATCACATCATTATTATCCACATTACTTCTTCGGCTCTTTAGAGCCTATCAACTTCCTTCCCTCCCACCTGATGGCTTTTGAAAGTAATCTTTGTATCACAGCATTTTATATATTTCCCAATTCTAATATAACTCATGGCAAGATACCTCAAAATTTAAATAAATATAGAAAGGTGAGAAATTTCTCATTACAAGTCTTTGGGTAACCCTGCTAGTGTTGTTAATTGCTTACAATGATCTTTCAAATATTGTATAAATTTGCTCCAGTCCTTTTGGAATACTGTATTTTTTGCTCTATAAGACTCACTTTTTCCCTCCTAAAAAGTAAGGGGAAATGTGTGTGCGTCTTATGGAGCAAATGCAGGCTGCACAGCTATCCCAGAAGCCAGAACAGCAAGAGGGATTGCTGCTTTCACTGCGCAGCGATCCCTCTTGCTGTTCTGGCTTCTGAGATTAAGAATATTTTTTTTCTTGTTTTCCTCCTCCAAAAACTGGGTGTGTCTTGTGGTCTGGTGCGTCTTATAGAGCGAAAAATACGGTACTTGATCGCGCTGGTTTTGGGTTTTTCCCGTCAGTTTCGCCAGTTCCGCAAAGTCCATCATCTTCATCTGCCACTCTTCTTTTATTGAGATTATAATAGTGAGTTAAAGGAAATAAAAGGGAGGGGGAAAGAATAGAAAAGAGAAAAATAAAGAGGATACAGTAAAAACATTATAAAAAGCAAAGGAAAACAGCAGTAAGAAAATAACCATAAAGTATAATTAATTTTACAAAACTTTGTAGTATATATGTAGAGGTATAAACTTATCCCTCGGGTATATGTTGATTTAAGTGCCACTATAGTTTTGATAAATACGTTTCAAATATCATTAAATTTCTCCATGCTATGTAATGGTAAACTACCTTAAAAGCCTTTTCAGGAGAGATTTTTTTTTTTTTTTGGAACTAACACCTCCGCCTGATGGAACAGAATCCAGGAGGAGGAGGAGGAGGAGGAAGAGAGTCTACTGTGATGATCATTACATTTTTATCCCACCTTTCCTCTGAAGAGTTAAAGGTGCTGCACGCGATTCTTTGCCTCTTCATTTTATCCCCACAATGACCCTGTGGGGTAGGTTAGAGTGAAATAAGAGTGCCCCAATGAGCTTTGTGGTTGGCCCGGGATCTGAACCCGGGTCTCCCAGATCCTGGTCAAACACTCATAACCAAGATTAGCATTTGGAATTCAGCCTGGAAACCGACTGACGGAAAACGCAGCCAGGCCAGAATTCAGGTTATATCCTTGGGTCCGCCCGGTCCCGTTCAGCAACTCGGCTGCCAAATTTTGCGCCAGCCAAAGTTTCTGCAACTGTCTCCAAACGCAGCCCCAAGTGCCGCGCAGTGCAGTAGTCTAACCTAGATTGCTAAAAAGGCATCGGTACAGAAGACCAGCGTTGCCAACACCATACCCTCCAACATTTCTCCGATGAAAACACAGTGGACGCTCGGGTTGCGGGAACATGATTCGTGCGGGATTCGGCGCTTCTGTGCATGCACAAAGTGCGATTTAGCGCTTCTGCGCATGCGCGACCGCCGAAACCCGGAAGTAACCCGTTCCGGTACTTCCGGGTTTTGGTGGGTGCGTAACCCAAAAAAACCCAACCTGAAGTGGCTGTAACCCAAGGTATGACTGTAGGTGTACAGCGGGACATTGCGGGATCAAATCGGAAACCAGGACGGCTTCTGTAAATCCGAGACTGTCCCTGGAAAACAGGGACACCTGGAGGATCTGCAACGCTCCCTTTTGTCTGTGACCTTTCTGGCTTCGCTACTGGTCTTGAACATGACGGCAATTATTGCAAAGGCAGAATTTCTGGTGGTTTAAGGGGAAACCCTTGCTGTGGCTGCTCTCATTTTCTCTTCCACCCCCCTAAGCCACCGACTAGATGGACAGCTGACCTGGTCGTCCCCCTGCCCCATTGATAGGTCAGACCGCTCTTGTAATAGCATTCAACTCCTGTTTTAATAGACCATTGGGAACAGACGTTTTATACCCTTTAAAACTATGTTCTGAGCTCTCTGGGAGCACTTAACTCCTAACGGGCTCATCTGATCCTTGCGATTGAAAGCAACAACCCCTTACTGTTCATGTTGTTATTTATTAGGTTTCGAAAACATGCCCAGAACCTCGAGGCGTTTGGATGCATGTGCATAATGCAAGTATAATAAATCTCATACTTGCGCTGTCATAGGCTTGCTTTTAAAACTGTCAATGTGCTAAACTTTAGCATAATTTTGCTTGGGGGAGTGAAGGAGGGGAAGGGAAAAAAGAACAGGGCTTGCACAATTTATTGAAGCTAGTCAAATTGGAAGTCTGTCTTGTGGAATTCAGGGCTGCGCTATGTTTTTAAATGGTTCCCCCCCATCCCACCTTAGAATCATAGAATAACAGAATTGGAAGGAATCCTGAAGATTGTTTAGTCCAATCCCCTGCAATGCAGTTGTCCCGGACGGGGATCGAACCTGCAACCTTGGCGTGATCAGCGCCACGCCACGCTCCCAACAACTGAGCTATCCAGGCTGACATTGGGACATTTTGTATACAGTGGTACCTTGGTTCTCAGACTTAATCCGTTCTGGAAGTCTGTTCCAAAACCAAGGCGCGCTTTGGTCATGCAAAATGGATCAATCCGTTCCAGACTTTTAAAAACAACCTCTAAAACAGCAATTTAAGATGGATTTTACTATCTAACGAGACCATTGAGCGATAAAATGAAAGCAATAAACAATGTACTGCAGTCACACAATCAATCAATCAATCAATCGTTAGTTGAACTGGGTTCCACACAGTCACAGAAACAAAAAGGAAAGAGCCAGAGAAACGCAAAATAAATAGCAAAAACAGATAGACCTCAGCGTAACACTCTAAACCAGTGGTTCTCAACCTGTGGGTCCCCAGATGTTGTTGGACTACATCTCCCATCATTCCTAGCCAGCATGACCAGTGGTCAGGGATGATGGGAGTTGTAATCCAACAACATCTGGGGACCCACAGGTTGAGAGCCGTTGCAATGGAAGCGTAACACTCAAAACGGAGCTTGTTTGGCTTCCGAAAAAAGTTTGCAAACCAGAACACTTACCTCTGGGTTTGCAGTGTTTGGGTTCCAAGTTGTTTTAGTACCAAGGCGTTTGAGAACCAAGGTACCACTGTATTGGAAAAGAACTGTGCTGTGCCCTACACATGGCAGGTCTTTTTTTGGGGGGGGGGTAAGGATAAGAGCATTCAGAAATATGACCTGAGTCTGCCTCTCAGGTTTCTGAGGCCACTTCCATGTCTTAAAAGCAAAGGCGGATTCGTAGAACCATGTTAAATTATGTGCCCAAGAAGTTACTAGTCCTTAGGAAGGTATCTGACGAGTCTGGAGGTTTGTGATAGCTTTAGTGGTGGAAGGAAGTAGCTCTGTGTATAGTAACTACTACAACATCCCAGCAGAATGAAAAATACGGGGAATTAGATCTGAGCGTTGTTGCTCAAAGGTAGGAGAATAACGCAGCTATTTAGAATCAGAGAATTGTAGAGTTTGAAAGGACATCAAGGGTCATCTAGTCCAACCCTCTGCAATGAAGGAATCTCAGCTGAAGCATCCAGGACAGATGGCCATCCAACCTTTGGAACTTAAGCCTGTGAAGATAAAGGGTTGATTCACACATTCTGTCTTTCAGGTACAAGGTGTCTGCTGTGGATAATTCCCGTGCCCTGGACTTGCAAGCATTTTGCATTGTCCTAGACCAGGGGTCAGCAAACTTTTTTAGCAGGGGGCCGGTCCACAGTCCCTCAGACCTTGTGGGGGGCCGGACTATATTTTGGGAAAAATATAATGAACGTATTCCTGTGCCCCACAAATCACCCGGAGATGCATTTTAAATAAAAGCACACATAAATAAAAGCACACATAAAAGCTGATTCCTGGACCGTCCGCGGGCCAGATTGAGAAGGTGATTGGGCCAAATCCGGCCCCCGGGCCTTAGTTTGCCTACCCATGTCCTAGACCTAGACAACCAGCGCCAAGAGGAAAACACAAGTTATTTGGTGGTGATGCCATTTCTCGTTCCACAGCACAATTGATTGATTGATTGATTGATTGATTGTATTTCTACCCCACTGTTCAAAGGAATCCCAAAGCAGCTTCCAACAAAAGATTTAAAATACATTGAAACATCAGTATTACAGTATTTTAATATTTTTTGGATGCCCAGAGTGGCTGGGGAAGCCCAGCCAGATGGCCGGGGTATAAATAATAAATTATTATTATTATTAGTCATTAAAAACTTCCCTAAACAGGGCTGCCTTCAGATGTCTTCTAAACACTATCAACAAAGCAGCAACTAAATAAGCTAAACATCGCAGTTACAGCAAAATCCCTATTATACGATTATCAAATCAATATGGGCGTTTCAAACCTGTAAAATAACATCAGCATTAACCACATATCAGCTAGAAATATTTGTGTGTGTACCCAGACGCAGGGACGCCTGAAATGTCCTTGCCTCGGCCATCTTCAGCTCATTGTACATCTCCTTTAGCAAAATGACAAACTTGAGTCTGAGAGGCTTTCTGTGGGGAAACTGAAAGGTGAGCCCATTTCTGCTCCCAGATTCAAGATTGTGAATATTGGACGGTGCCAACTGGGGAGGAGTTTAGCTCCATTCAGGAACACCTGCTTTGCATGCAGAAGGTCCCGGGTTCCAATCCTGACATCTCCAGGAAAGGCTGGAGAGAGCCCTATCTGAAATCTTGGAGAGCTTCTGCCAGTCAGTGTAGACAGTACTGAGCAATATGGGACCAAGGACAAGTCATTTTTTAATTTCCCCCGTCTGTGCTCACTCTTTTACTAGCTGGCTTGTTTCCTAATGGCAAACGCTTCTCCGTGCATCTGTGCCTGAGGTCGAAAACAAGAAAGAAAAAAGTTTCTGGCAGTGGTTGTGTCCAACCCCCCCCCCTTTCCTAAATCATTATTATTATTTTCTCGGTGGTAGCAATTTGGTGGAGAGCCAGTTGGAAGGCAGGATGTGGCTTTGTTTAGCTGTAATAATGGGGCAGCCTTTACACTTTCTTGCACACAAACACCCACTTTTAATAAGGCTTGTCCCACCCTCCACACAATAGACCGTGCCGAGATACTGAATCGACAGTTTCCTGAAAAGCGCTCCAGACGCAACGCAGGCACACCCGGGGCAAACCACCGGGAAACTCAACCGGCAAGCGAGAGCTTCCAAAACATGGGGGGGGGGGCGAGGGCAGGAGGTGGGTCCCGCTGCTGAGATAATCCCCCCCCCCGAAAGGAGGGGTTGCGTGGATATAAGAAGCAGCCCACTCTGTCGGCGCCAAGGAATTCCAGAGAGAGAGCCGTCCAGAGACAAGTGGTCTGGGACGGCATGGGTATCATTCTGTACACAATAGTTGCGTTTCCTCACATTAATAGCAAAGCCCTTTTCATGTCGCCAGGCACAATGCCGGCCCCGCGAGCTCCATCTGATAAATCCTATTTTAGAAACCCTGATGTCAGGGTGGGATGCCGGCCACTTCAGCGCTTCCTACTCCGAGAATGGAAAATGGATGGGCCAATTGTGTTCCCTGATAGGTTAAGCCTCTGTCCGTGCTTCCCGGTTGACAAGGGCAGTTCAAGAAAGGGGAAAAGAATTAAAATGTTTCTTAGGAACTTCGCTCGCCCGGCTTAAAGCCTTTGCAACGCTTGTGCGCAGTTCTCGCACGCGGTTTTGAGGTCGGAGGCCGGAGGGTTTTGTTTCAGATGGGCCAGGATAAACCCAAAATGAGCAAGAGGGAAGTCAAAATGGTCTGCCTGCCGTAGAGTTTGCAGAAGAGGCTGCTGTGTATATGGGAGGTCAGCAATGTCTAGGCAACACGATGACCATGTACATACGCAATAGACAATCTGGGTGGCGCTGTGGGTCAAACCACAGAGCCTAGGACTTGCCGATCAGAAGGTCGGTGGTTCGAATCGCCGCAACGGGGTGAGCGCCCGTTGTTCGTTCCCTGCTCCTGCCAACCTAGCAGTTCGAAAGCACAAAAAGTGCAAGTAGATAAATAGGCACTGCTCTGGCGGGAAGGTAAACGGCGTTTCCGTGCGCTGCTCTGGTTCACCAGAAGCAGCTTAGTCCTGCTGGCCACATGACCCGGAAGCTGTACGCCGGCTCCCTCGGCCAATAAAGCGAGATGAGCGCCGCAACCCCAGAGTCAGCCATGACTGGACCTAATGATCAGGGGTCCCTTTACCTTTACCTATAGAATTCCTTCAAACCATAACAAGTACAAAATGAAATCTTTCGACTCAAAGTCTCTGAAAATCTTTAAATGAAGCGAGGTACCAGACTTTGTACGATGAAAAACAAGCTGTGAAGCTTTGTGTATTCAGTAAATATGATGTCCAACACTGAACAGTGATACTGGATGTAGACTACTTCGTCAGCGTGGTGTAAGGATATAGAATGGCTTCATAAACGGAAAATATTTTTTTTACAGATGGTGGCCTGCATGCACATACGACTTTACAAAAATTGTAAACCATAATACAAACAGTAATGAAAAAGAGTACATACCCCATCTTATTTCGAATGAATATATGTAAATGAAAATATCAAATGCTGTGTTTGTGGGGATGCCAGGTGCTGCCCGGGTCTAGAGATTCCTTCCAGTGCTCAAATAAGGCAAGATCTGATCTCAGGGTGCCCATGTGTCCTACTTTGCAGAAGACGGTCCTCTATTTGAATGGCTGCCAGGGTATCTGAAGAAATGTGCATGCACACGAAAGCTCATAGCAATAACTAACTTAGTTGGTCTCTAAGGTGCTATTGGAAATAATAATAATAATAATTTTTATTTTGTTTCGGCTGCCAAGGGGACAGTCTTCTGCCGGAAGCCGTCCCGTCCTGCAATAGCTTGCCCAGGACAAGTCTGGCTTTAAGGGACCATGGTGGAAATTGCTTGTCTATCGCAAGCACCTTGATACCAGACCTAGCAGGGATGCATGCAACCTGGGTACCATATTCCTTTTCTATGGTGAGATTGCTTGCATCTCTTTTTAAATTGCAATCACAGTGGTACCCTGGTTCTCAAATGCCTTGGTACTCAAACAACGTGGAAGTAAATGTTCTGGTTTGTGAACTTTTTTCGGAAGCTGGACGTGCTCTGTTTTGAGAGTTATGCTTCCGATTTGAGTGCCACGCTTCCATGTTGAGTGTTACGCTGAGGTCTGTCTGTTTTTGCTGTTTATTTTGCGTTTTTGAGCATCAGCTGCTGGAAACCACAGGATCTGGGAGTGCTCTTGCGCTTGCAAGTTTCCCACAGGCATCTGATCCTGATCTGGCAGGCCCTCCTTGCATTCTCTTGCATCGCCTGGCAGGTCTGCCCCAAACGGTCCCAGTTTAATTGCCCCTGAGCCTCGTATACACTTCAGAATGCAGGTTCTCGGTGCACGCTGGAGCATGGGGTTTTTTTCCTTCCCCGTCTGACAGAATGAGCAAGTTATTGTGGGGTGCGATGAAACCTGCGGCTTCCAGGGGGTTGGAAATCTCAGTCCCGCCTGCTCTGTCGCTGGGTGAGAAGTGAAATCGCCACAGCTCAGGGGATGCAACAGGTTCCTTCGACGAGAAAGGGAAAGGGGCTGCTATTTTTGAGAACTGGCGATGGCAACACAGCCGTCTCTTTGGCATGCAGAGCTCAGCCAGACTCAGCGAGGGACCCAAAAGGGCGATGGAAACCTTATTGGATGTTTCACACCTCCTTCAACATAACATGGGCTTCCAGACACCTGCTTATAAGCGCTCCGGGGTTTGGCAGAGGTTGTAATATCTTGGGATCCCTTTCGTTTCTCTCTCTTGCCACATGAAGCCGGCATCTGCAGCACCAACCCAGGTCTCAGTCGCATCCCTGAAATATATATATATATGAATAATAATGAGGTGGTCTTAAAAGCTCAGAAAAGACAAAAGAGAAAAACTCAACACAGGCCGGTTTTTGTTTTTCTTCAGATTTAGGTGCGAGCTATTTTCCTATTTTTAAGTATGATTCCAATTAGGTGTTTGTGTTTTCTTTCTGCAAATAGGAACGGATGACTAATTCTGACCTAGGAGAGAGAGATCCTGGGTAGAAATCTCTGAACAGCTCTCTCGGCTCCAGTAATGAGAGCTGCTTTTGAAGTATTAAAACAGGCGAAGGAAAAAAGTTACGACGTCAGTTGTATAATGTCAGCAGAGCTAAGCAGCTCTTTACTGCATCGCAAGTGTTTTCGAGTATATCTTCCATCCCTTAAATCACCTGGTACCCTCCAGGTATTTTGGACCAGAGCTCCCTCCCATCACCCTGGCTATTGGCTGTGTATGTTGACTGATGGGAATTGGAGTCCAGAAGAGCGCACCATGTTGGGGAAGCTGGCTTTAGCAATCTTCAGCACAGCCCTGTAAGGCGAGGCAGGCTGCATTAGGAATATGTGTGTGTGCAGTTTGGGTTCCCCAGGACTCTCGGTGTTTCGCCTTGGTGGAGAAGAAGGTGTTTGTGATGCAGAGGCTGTGATAAGAAGACAGCTCAAACAGCCTTGGTCTATTCTCATTCATGATGACCTATGCAGTTGTCCTGAGTGTGATGATCGTCCCCACCTCTGGCATTGAAACCTCCCAGTTGGAAGAGGTCTTCGCAATCTGGGACCCTCCTGGCAGCCCGGACCAGTTCCTCGTAGAACTGGTTCTTGGTTTCTACATCAAAGCATACAGTGGGTGCATAGATGTTCAGGATGTTGACCAGACCGGAACTGGTTGTGAGGCAGAGGGAACTGTTCTGAGCCCTTGGTTGGTGGTTCTTTCGCAGGCAGAAGGGAGCTACACACTGCGAAGCTGTGCTTCCACAGTTGGAGACATCAATGTTCCTGAATACCAGTTGCTATAAGCCACAGGAGGGGAGAGGCCTCTTTGTGCACAGATTCTGCTTTTGTGGTTCCCTGATGAGGCATCTGGTTCGCCACTGTGAGAACAGAACGCTGGACTAGATGGGCCATTGGCCGGTTGATGATGATGATGATAATGATGATGACGATAATTATAATAATAGTACTACAGTAGATGCTTGGGTTGCGAATGTGATCCGTGCAGGATGCACGTTCGCAACCCGCAGCGTTTGCAACCTGTGTCTGTGCACGCGCGGGTTGCGATTCAGCGCTTCTGCACATGCACGACTGCCGAAACCTGGAAGTAACCTGTTCCGGTACTTCTGGGTTTTGGCGGTCCGTAACCTGAAAAAACGCAACCTGAAGCATCTGTAATCCGAGGTATGACTGTAATATTCATTCATTCATTCCCCGCCCAGCTGGCTGGGTTTCCCAAGCCACTCTGAGTGGCTCCCAACAGAATACTAAAAACACAATAAAACATCAGACATTAAAAACTTCCCTAAACAGGGCTGCCTTCAGATGTCTTCTAAAAGTCAGGTAGTTATTTATCTCCTTGACATCTGATGGGAGGGCATTCCATAGGGCAGGCGCCACCACCAAGAAGGCCCTCTGCCTGGTTCCCTGTAACCTCACTTCTCGCAGGGAGGGAACTGCCAGAAGGCCCTCGGCGCTGGACCTCAGTGTCTGGGCTGAACGATGGGGGTGGAGACGCTCCTTCAGGTATACTGGGCCAAGGCCATTTAGGGCTTTCAAGGTCAGCACCAACACTTTGAATTGTGCTTGGAAACGTACTGGGAGCCAATGTAGGTATTTCAAGACCGGTGTTATGTGGTCTTAGCGGCCACAGCAGGACTCTTCTTCCATTCTTATGGCATAGGCAAGAAGACTGACCACCTGCCTCTGCATAAGGCATCTTTCCAATGTTCCCCATTCATATCTCCCTAATTTTAAATCTGGTTCTCCTGATTTGCCCATTGATGAATTAAAGAAGCAAGTTTGTCTTTTTAACCCTCTGAAACCTGGGCCGCAAAGGCATTTCTGCCCCCCAAATCCTTCATAAATTTCATGCCCAAGTCAGCATATAATTACACTAATGGCGTGGGCATTCTGCCACTCAGGTTTTGGGAAAGCAGATTTTGATTCGTCAGCAAAGCCATGCTAGATTCCTCTTGCATTGCTTCTAATTATTTGCATATTTTTATTGGATTCCTCCACATCAGTTTGTGTTTTTTTAAAAGACAATGGTGGTGGGGGGGATGTATGTTCTTCTCTGAAGGAAGACAAGACAAGACTGTGGTTAGCAGTTCTGCTCCTGTCAGCATATTCGCTTCAATATTTCTTCGGCAAGTGGCAAGCATTTATGCTGCAGGGCTGATGAATAGCCGGTTGCAATCCCTAGGAATTTAATGCACGTCACGAAAGGCTGGTGGGGTTTTTTAAGAAACTGTATTTATGAAACAATAAGAAGTGCATGAGGTCAGGAGCAACTGTATTGGGCCAGAATGGCTGGCATGCGATCGTTCTGAAAACGGGGCCAAAACTTATATTACCGCTTCACATGGGAAAGCTGTGAAGGCCAGCCTGTCTTCATAGATCATAGAAATGTAGAGTTGGAATGGGGCCCCACGGGTCATCCAGTCCAGCCCCCTGCAATCTGCTATATTAGTAGTTCTGCAATGCTTCCTCAGAGTTTCTGCATCTTGAAGAGCCTATAGTGCAAAAGATAAAATAAAATAAAAAATAGCCAGGAATGGGTGGGGATTAAAAGCCTGCAACAGGTGCTATAAGGAGTTGAAGGATTTCAGCAGCGAGTGAGAGGCATGTCCTGACTGGAAACAAATCATTGTGTCTGCCCCAAAACCTTTGCAGGTGCAATATTATTACTATTATTTTATTTTTATTATTTATTGAATTTATATACCACCCTATACCCAGAGGTCTCAGGGCGGTTCACAACATATAAAATCAAAATAAATACAATAACCCAATAACGCACACAGGCCCCCAAAAGAGCCACATTTTAAAAGGGTATAGGATGTCAATCATGTCAACCAAAGACCTGGTTAAAAGCAGCGTCACATCTAACTGCCTTGTAAGCACCGTGAGCACGAATCATCATCAATGCAATAAAAGGGACATATCCTTGGACCTCTCAAAGTCATTTTCGTTTTATAAGAAGCATGGAATCATGGAATTGTAGAAGAGTTGGAAGGGATCCTGACGGTCAGCAACTTAGGAAGTCCCGCCGGTGCCTGGGGATGCATGTGAGCTCTATGTCATGGAGGCGAGGCAGGGCCGGATTTAGGTTTGATGCGGCCCCAAGCTACTGAAGGTAATGGGGCCCTTTATTATATGTCCACCTGTCCTTTGTCGACAACAAATTGCCGCTGTTTTTTGTGTTGAACATATGCTATATGGTCATTTATGGACCTAATAGGTATCTAAAACTATTTGTGCATGCAGAATGTAGGCACCCTATATATAGAAATGAGCAAACCAGTGATATTTTAGGGAGCAGGCTAGCAGGCAGGCCCATGACTTACATCATAGGAGCCTACACAACACAAAACACTGTTGCTGTATGTAGGTTTTATTTCATTTCTTTTTTATCTTCTATTTCGGAAATGTACATCTAGGTTTTTTTCCTTTAATTTTTTGGGGGGCCCCCAAGAGAGTGGAGCCCTAAGCTATAACTTGTTTAGCTTATACATAAATCCGGCACTGGCCGGAGTGGTTGTGTCCCAGACATGTGCCGGCTCTGTGCTGCTTTTTCGGGCAGCGCTGGGCCTGCAGGGAGTCCAAGCCGTTGTATCCCTCCTGGGCGCCCTCCAGCCGGGAAAGATAAAATATATATATAATATACCGTATTTTTCACTCAATAACACGCACCCGACCATAACACGCACGTAGTTTTTAGAGGAGGAAAATCCGTAGGTATGCCACCCATAGGCATTCCCTCCATAACACGCACAGACATTTCCCCTTACTTTCTAGGAGGAAAAAAGTGAGTGTTATGGTGCAAAAAATACGGTAATTTATTATTTATACCCCGCCCATCTGGCTGGGCTTCCCCAGCCACTCTGGGCGGCTTCCAACAAAATATTAAAATACAGTAATGCATTAAAAGCTTCCCTAAAGAGGGCTGCCTTCAGATGTCTTCTAAAAGTCTGGTAGTTGTTTATTTCCTTTACATCTGATGAGAGGACGTTCCACAGGGCGGGTGCCACTACCAAGATGGCCCTCCACCTGGTTCCCTGTAGCTTTGCTTCTCGCAGTGAGGGAATCGCCAGAAGGCCCTCGGCACTGGACCTCAGTGTCTGGGCTGAACGATGGGGGTGGAGACGCTCCTTCAGGTATACTGGACCGAGGCTGTTTAGGGCTTTCAAGGTCAGCACCAACACTTTGAATTGTGCTCGGAAACGTACTGGGAGCCAATGTAGGTCTTTCAAGACCGGTATTATATGGTCTCGGCGGCCGCCCCGAGTCACCAGTCTAGCTGCCACATTCTGGATTAGTTGTAGTTTCCGGGTCACCTTCAAAGGTAGCCCCACATAGAGTGCATTGCAGTAGTCCAAGTGGTAGATAACCGGAGCATGCACCACTCTGGTGAGACAGTCCACAGGCAGGGAGGGTCTCAGCCTACATACCAGATGGAGCTGGTAGACAGCCGCCCTGGCGGCTCAGATGCCCTGCAGGTCCAGTGTCGCCCGGGGCGAGCCATCCCTCCTGTACACCCATAACTGCCACTACTGAGGGTCCTGCAATGCAGGAATCTAAACGAAAGCATCTATGGCACTTGGCCACCCAACCTCTGCTGAAAAACCTCCAAGGAAGGAGAAACCACCACTTTCCAAGGGGGTCCGTTCCACTGTCAAACTGCTCTTACTGTCAGAAAGTTCTTCCTGATGTTCAGTCGGAATCTCCTTTCTTGTAACGTGAAGCCATGGGTTTGAGTCCTGCCCTCCAGAGCAGGAGAAAACAAGCTTGCTCCCTCTTCCATGAGATATTTGAAGGTGGTTTTCATATCTCCACTCAGTCTCCTCTTTTCCAGGCTAAACATCCCCAGCTCCTTCAACCGTTCCTCATCAGGCTTGGTTTCCAGACCCTTGATCATCTTGGTTGCCCTCCTCTGCATACCTTCTAGCTTGTCAATATTCTTCTTAAATTGGGGTCCCCCAGAACTGGAAACAGGACTCCAGGTGTGCTCTGACCTAGTGGTAGTGGACATCCTGATCAGCTCTCCACCAAGCTGTTATTAACCATGGAATGCAAGGGTTCAGATTCCTGGTTAGCAGCGGGTTGGAGTAAACCAGATTTGGGGGGGCAGCGCATCGGAGAAGGGTTAGAGCCCCTCGCCCCATGGCTCAACCCAAATCAAAGCTGCTTCCGCAGAAAGAAAATTTCACCAAGAGCTCTCAAACGCCATAATGTGTAGTCTGGCCCAGTAGCTGGCCTTTCTGAGATGAAGTGGGATGAACATTTAAATACGAAAACATGGGTCACAAAGCTGGGATTTCCCCCCTAGGTGTGTTGCGAACCTAAAATTGCAACTTTTCCTCTTCTTTTCCAGCAGAAAGCGAAGGCGCTGGGTGCGTTTTATTACACACATCAAGAAAAGTAGGTACAATTGTCTTTTTTTATTATTGTTGTCTTTTAAGAATAACTTGCCTTTAACATACTCTCAGAGCAGAAAGGCGCTTAGCCTTTCTCCAGCCATTCCCTTTTCCGTAGAGTAGAGGAAATGTGCGTCTCTTGCTGTCTCTAAAAATCTGTTCACCTAAATCCCTAAAGTTTGATGTTCTTCTGAAATAGTAATGATTTTCACTCTCCTTAGTGCAGTAGTTCTCCCTTTGATGATGCTGGTGATGGTAATAGTAATAATAATAATAATAATAATAATAATAATAATAATAATAGTACAGTTTTATTATTTATATGTCACCTGTCTGACAGGGTATTTCTGCTTTACAAGATGCTCCTAGACCTAGGGTTCAATTGTGGGCTCTCCTAGCTGTTTTTTTCCCTTGCCGTCAAGATTCTTCCCTCCCTAGGACTGCTTTGCATCTTTTTTGAGGGTATCTGCCTACCTGGAATATGCCTTTGAACTCTGGCAGTGCATCTGAGAAAGATCAGGGAGGGGTGTGTGGGTGTGCAGAAAATAGCCTACTGCACAAAGGTGACATTTGCTCCACCCACTTTTCCCTCTGGCCCCACCCACCACTGGCATGCGGCCCCTGAGAAGTTGCCCAGAAGCAAATGCGGCCCCTGAGCTCAAAAACATTCACCGCCTCTGCCATTCCGGAAAAGAGAACCAAATAAGTATAAGTCTTGTAAGTCTCTGAAAGTCTTTGTAGACTATGCAAGTCTCTGAAAGAAGCAATGGGTCAGATTCTTATCTGGTGAACACAAGCTGTAAAGCTTTGTTATATGATGTCCAGCGCTGCCGAAGTGGTTCACAAACAGACGTAGTGAACAGTGATTCCGGATATACCCACTGTTTCGTGGAATTCTTCTTCAGCACAGCAGAAGGATACAGAAATGCTTCATAAACCCATCTAAATGGTGAATGGAATGATATAACAACGATATCTATGTAGCAGTGGTCATAAAGTTATTTGGTTCTATGTTTTCAAGAGAATCCATCAAGAATGCACATTTAGAGACTTTCAGAGATTTATAAGATTTCTGTTTATTTGGTTTATTGTTCAATGTTCCGGATAGACTATATAAAGAGTTTATATTGATATTGCATTGTTGTACTTGGTCATCGTGTTGCTTTGGATATTACTGATAATTGTTTGCAACACAGGGGTTTAATTGTTTGGTTACTTATTCCGGAAGAGAAGGCAGGCTTCTCCTTACATTGGGCTGATACTGGCAAATCACAGAGAATATTTGTGCAGAAGGCTCTCAGTTCCGGATTGGAAAGGCTCCATCTCCCATCAGCCACAGCCAGCATGCCCAGTGAGCAGGAATGATGGGAGTTGTAGTCTCAGAGCATCCTGAAGACCACAGGTTTCCCCATCCCTTTGTGTAGGCAACATTGAGGTAGAGGAGCCCAGTGGTCTGTTCCAGAACAAAGCATCTTCCACTTTAAGTGCAATCACACCTCCTGACATATGAATTATAGCTCGGTTGCCCTCTCCACAGGCCCCTCGTGCCCCATCCTGGCTGGCTGATGCCAGTATTTATATACGACTTGGTATAGCTATAGTAACATTTGCCCCCTGCCAACGAACGGTGCGGCGATGACTGCATAATTACCGTAAAGGAAAGTTAGATTTCCTGTTTCACAAGCACCGGTGCCAGCTCCGCAGCCTGGCAAATTAAAGCAGCCTTTCTAAAGCTTTAATCTTTTCTGCCGACATTCTTCCACTGCAGCCCACTCCCTCGAAGGGGGCGATGCCTTTGATGTATATTCCTGCCTGTTAACGTATCCCAGGCTCTTCCTTCCGCACTCGGCGGCTGTGGCAGTTTATGCGCAAGGAACGTATGAAATCCCATAAGGCGCTTATCTGCTTGCTGGCACCTCTGAAACCCAGAAGGTCTTGTTCTTTGTGCCCGAGGGGGGAGCTGCCTGGGCAAACAGTTGGCAGCGCTGACGGGGATTCCTCCTCCATCCTAGATGGTGGGCATTCAGAATGAAAGGCAGAGACCAGGTGTTTTTCAGGGTCTGCCCTCTTTGTCGTCTTGTGCCTCTGCTGGGGAGGGACGCGGGTGGCGCTGTGGGTTAAACCACAGAACCTAGGACTTGCCGATCAGAAGGTCGGTGGTTCAAATCCCTGCGATGGGGTGAGCTCCCGTTGCTCGGTCCCTGCTCCTGCCAACCTAGCAGTTTGAAAGCATGTCAAAGTGCAAGTAGATAAATAGGTACTGCTCCGGCGGGAGGGTAAACGGCGTTTCCATGAGCTGCTCTGGTTCACCAGAAGCGGCTTAGTCATGTTGGCCACATGACCCAGAAGCTGTACGCCGGCTCCCACGGCCAATAAAGCAAGATGAGCGCCACAACCCCAGAGTCGGCCACGACTGGACCTAATGGTCAGGGGTCCCTTTAGCTTTAGCTCTGCTGGGAGATGGAACTTTGTCCGCTCACGTTAAGCAGTTGGGGAACTGAGGCCGAAGGAGAGTGACTTGCGCAGAACCTCTTAAGTCTCATTTAAAATAAAAATATAAATCAACTTCTTCCTATCTGGGTTGAGCTGCTCAACACCTCAGCCTGACTGCATATTCCTTGAATGAAACTAGCATGAACCTGACTGTTTCAAAGTGATGTTTGTGTAACTCATTGGCAAGGAGCAAGGACACGCAACTTATAAAATTGTGTTTTTAAAAAATATTCTCTTCTCTCTTTCCCAGCTGCTTTTGTCATGGTCTGGGAAAGGCTGCAAGGGCTTTAGGGTGGGGCAAAGCAGGTGGGAAAAGCCATTGCCTGATAAACAGCAGAAAGTCTCTCTTACCTTGGATAATGTAATAGAAAAGATTCAGAAATTTGGGGAAGTGGCAGGATTTAAACGAAATAGGAACAAAACTAAACTACTAGTCAAAAACTTGAAGGAAGAAGGAAAAAAAGGATTTAGAGCAAAATATTGAGATAGAAGTCCATAAAAAGGTTAAGTATTTAGGGAATATGGTTAACATCATGAAATATAAACTTATATAATTATGAAAAAAAATTTGGTTTGAGTTAAAAAGAAATTTAGAAATATGGAGCAGAATGAATCTCTCATTGCTAGGGAAACGTTTCTCAGGCGTCGCCTTTCTGTTGCAGTACCTAAAGTTAAAGAATTTCGAGGAAGAAGTGCGAGCTCACCGCGACCTCGACGGGTTCCTCGCCAGAGCCAGCATCATCCTAGACGAGACGGCAACTTCTCTGGACGACGTCCTGCGGGAGATGCTGAAACACTTTGCGGAGGACTCTGACAACGCAGAGCCCAGCTGCAACTTTGACAAAATCATGAGCACTTTATTCACCGATTCGGGGGCCCCCAGAGAAGGGAATGGTGAGAGACCTCTTAGTTCTTCCTATTTGCCTGAGCTGAAAGAGGTTGAGCGTCCGAAGCCCTGGAGACGCACTGCCAGTCAGTGTCGACAGCACAGAGTTGCGTGGCGAGTTCTCCCCCCCCCCCCGTCCCCCGTGGAAATAATGACACAATTATTAAGGTTAATGGCCTAAATAAGGCCACAACTTTATTGGTTACAGGTGATGAACGGTACTGGCTTAGGCATTGGTCCTACCCGACTATATCCAACTTCAGCCTGTCTTCTTGAAGTCTGGGAAGGGTTAACCACCAGTAGGGGGAGTCCTGCTGATGCACATCAACTAGGAACTCCCCCGGGGTCACCGATAGGGGGTGTCTTAGGCCCTCAACCTCCCCAGGCTTCGGACAGGGCTACGCACCCCGGAATCCTTTACCTGACTACCCTCTACAAAACAATACCAAAACCAATGCCTAACCGCCAATACCCAGAAAGTTGTGACGATTTGCTTTGAGGTAGGCAAAAACCAAGTGGCTGGTGCCAGTTTGCCAAGTGGAAAAATTCCTACCAGGCCCCTAAACAGGGACCAACCAAGGTCCATTGCAAGTTCAAGGAACAAAAACCTTATAGGGCGGGAGGGTGGGGAAAGCAGGAACAGCTGGGAGGCGGGAAAAGAGGGAGATCCCCAGCCGTGTCCTGCCTTAAACAGGGGAGGCCACGCCCCCGAGCCAGCTGATTGGCCGGCCAGGGGGTGACAAGGCCAGGAATCCCCCCAATCGTGTGGGGGGCCCATGAAGCCCGCAACCCCACCTCCTCCATAGGGTGGATGTGGCTTTAGGTGATCCCAATAGTCTGATGTTTTAAGGCATGGTTTTCCTGCACTGCTGCTACCTCTTGGCTTTTTTATTTATTTGAAAAACTTCCACCCCCCTTCCCCTTCATCGCCAAGTCCTCTTGAGACGGGTTACATAATAAATGGACATGCACAATGGACTCAACCAGCGTGACATTAAAACCCCGCAAAACAGCGTAAAACACTTAACCTGCTCCTTTTAATAATACGGCAAGGGTGGAATCCAAATCGAGACTTCCAGTTTTGCAAAAGAGCTTTGCCTTTTCTCTGTTCACCTGGCAGTCCAGACACTCCCTTCTCTTCTAATTCTGGAGGAAGAGGAAGGGTTTTAGGGGACGCCAGCCATGTTTGGGAGGGTGGGAAGAGCATTCCCCAGCCAGGGTGCCACCACTAAGAAGGCCCCGTCTTGGGTCAGGGCTTCCTGTGAGCGTCCGATTGGCTGCCTGGAAAACGGAGTGATAATATGATAATATACATAATTTAATGCAGATGGAACCTCTCTGATATGAGTTAGCCTCCAGCATTTTCTCCCTGCTTTTGTCTCCCATAACACCGCTTGTGTCTTCGGTCCAAGCCATGCTTGGCCAGAACGTTTCGTTTCCCAATTAAGCAGGAAGTTGCAAAATGGAACGAGCAGGGAGAATAACCCGATCCTACCCTCTCGGAAAACCTACCAAGCCACATTAGCCATTGTTCCTCTTTTCTTTTCAGCTCGAGAGAGGCTGAAACTTCACACTTCAAAGCTGCAATGGGTTTTTCAAGGATGGTGTTTCATTGACATTTTCCTTTTTTTAATGCTTCTTATCTCTTTATACCAAGACCATTGAGCGGCTGAGAGCGACCCGGCCTGTTAAAAAGCTCGGATAATAGTTTGTGGCTGAATGAAGATGTAATTCCATATATGATAGTCCTTGAATATAATTCGAAATGTATTTAATTTCCTCTTCCTCCCCCTTTTCTGCAGTTCACCTCTTGTCAGATACTATTCAGGGCGTTACAGCGACAGTCACTGGGGTCCAGTATCAACAGTCCTGGCTTTGTATCATGTAAGTACAGTATGTTTCTGCTGAAACTTGCCAGAGCATCTCTGTCCAAACTGTGTGGCGGGCACTATATTTTTTTTCTCTTATCACAAGACTCCATCTTCTTTTTCTCCTTTCTGCGCGCAAGTTTCCCGAGGGAAAGTGCTATAGCTCAGTTCTAAATTATCTGCTTTTGCACACAGAAGCCCCCCAAATTTGAATCCTCGGCTCCTCTAGGTAGGAATGTCTCAAGCCTCAAACCCTGGAGAGCTGCTGCCAGCCAGTGTATACAGTACTGAGCTAAATGGGCCAGTTGTCTTGACTTGGTATACAATAGCTTCCTGTGTCTAGGGGGTTGGGGTTAGTTTAGAACAGGCCACCGCCTACAGATCAATTGAAATCCAGTGTTTTTGCAAGCAGAATTCTGGTGAAAAGGACTACTCCACTAGGAAATCTTGTCCTAGAATCGTGGAAGTTGGAAGGGACCCTGAGGGTCATCTAGTCCAACCCCCTGCAATGCAAGAATTTCAGCTGAAGCATCCATGGCAGATAGCCATCCAACCTCTGCTTAAAAACCTCCAAGAAAGGAGAGGCCACAACCTTCCATCCTACGGTCAAATTAGCTCTTACTGTCAGAAAATTCTTCCTGATGGTTAGCAGGACTCTCCTTTCTTGTAACTTGAAGCCATTGGATCGAGTCTTGCCCTCCAGAGCAGGAGAAAAGAAGTTTACTTTCAACCCATCTTTCCCCACGGAATCTCACGAAGGTCTCTTTGCTTTATAATACTAATACTAATAATTTATTATTTCTACCCTGCCCATCTGGCTGGGTTTCCCCAGCCACTCTGGGCGGCTTTCAACAGAACATTAAAAACAGAATAAAACTTCAAACATTAAAAACTTCCCTAAGCAGGGCTGCCTTCAGATGTCTTCTAAAAGTTGGATAGTTGTTTATTCCCTTGACATCTGATGGGAGGGCGTTCCACAGGGAGGGCGCCACCACTAAGAAGGCCCTCTGCCTGGTTCCCTGTAACCTCACTTCTCACAGTGAGGGAACTGCCAGAAGGCCCTCGGAGCTGGACCTCAGTGTCCAGACTGGATGATGGGGGTGGAGACGCTCCTTCAGGTATACTGGGCCGTTCTTTATCTCCCATAAATTAACACACCCCCCAACTGCTGGGATAACCCCTCTATAGAAATTGAGCCAGTGGGGGCTGGTTTGTTTGGAGAAATGGGGCACTGCCCCACCAATCTGCCCTTCTCACAACCAATCCAGGGGGTCGTACTTCCTATCAGGTTCCTGCTCCTTAAGCCACAGAATTCACAGAACCTTAAACAGCGGAGTTTGAAGAAACCATGAGGATCATCTGGTCCAACCCTTTGCAATGCAGGAATCTTTTTGCCCAACCTGGGATTCGAACCCACAACCCTCAGATTAAGAGTCTCGTGCTCTACCAACAGAGCTAGTTAGTTGGCCGTTCCTGTCTTCCAAGCTACCAGTCCCAAAAGGCGCTACCGACTGCTGGCTTTCCTCTCCCTCTTACACCTGGGGAGGTTATGCCACCCCACCATATAAATATAAAAGAAAGTAAACTGGGACAAAAGCCTGGAACATTTCTGCCTGATAAGCTGCGTTGGAAAAGGGCCATAACTTGGCAGAAGAGCACCTGCATTCGATATCCCAACGTCTCCAGACAAGGCTGGGAAAATAATCCTTTCCGAAACCCTGGAGAGCTATTGCTCATCTGCATAGAACAGCAACCCTCAAACTTCGCAGTTAATGCAAACCTTTTAAAAATTGCTGGGGGTCTTGGCAGACCACTTGGCAAACTTTTGTTTTCTTTTCTTTTATCAAAACCAGTGCCGATCAATGGAAATTGTGGGCCATCGGCCAACCGGCTAAGAAAGGCCCACTTTTTTTCCCTTTAAAAAGGGAGTTATTTGGGGGGAAGAATTAGCCGGCTGCACCCGCTCCGTTGCGGACATCATAGGCCTTGCCAGCCTGCTTCGTAAATCTGGCACTAATTTTATCAGCTTTGGTTGTGATGATCAGGGGCTGAGTCCCTGGCCATGTCAGTCAACCTTCTTGACTTTTTCCGCAACTGAGTGGTGCTCACAAACAACCCTTTGAAAACCTCTGCTCCGAATGGACCAATGGCCGGCCTTTGTAGAAGGGAGCATCTTGTGTTTGCAACGCCATCTGATTGGGAGAATTACTTTGCAAACTGGGTACGAGGTTCCTTTAACCAGGGTAAAGGTAAAGGGACCCCTGACCATTAGGTCCAGTCGTGGCCGACTCTGGGGTTGCGGCGCTCATCTCGCTTTATTGGCCGAGGGAGCCGGTGTACAGCTTCCGGGTCATGTGGCCAGCATGACTAAGCTGCTTCTGGCGAACCTGAGCAGCGCACGGAAACGCCGTTTACCTTCCCGCCGGAGTGGTACCTATTTATCTACTTGCACTTTGACGTGCTTTCGAACTGCTAGGTTGGCAGGAGCAGGGACCGAGCAACGGGAGCTCACCCCGTCGTGGGGATTCGAACCGCCGACCTTCTGATCGGCAAGCCCTAGGCTCTGTGGTTTAGACCACAGCACCAACCACGTCCCTTTTAACCAGGGTAGCCTTAATGCAAAAAAAGCAAAAAATAAATAAATAGTCTCTTCGTGATGGTTAAGCAAAAAACCAACACAAAACCAGAACCCACACAGGAACACAATTCTTAACAATTTTCCATTCAATGATTTTCGGCAGCTAAAAGTTGTTCACGTTTTGGTGACTGGGAAAGGAAATGAGGCACATTTAACTGTAAATGTATAATTTGTGTGTGTTTGTGTGATGTTGTGACTTTTGTACCAACAGTCCTTGGTGAAAGTTTAATGCTGGAGGAATTAATTATTCCCCGAGCACCTTTTAAATTTGCTTTGTGCATCCTTTCTTTGAGGTTGAAATGAGACAGGCTTTGTAAATATATGTCTTTTTAAAGCACGTTCGAGTTAATAAAAACTCTGACCTTTCAAGCTCTCAGAGACATAGGGGTTTTTTTCCCCTTGGAGAAAAAGAAAAGTCATTTTTTAAAAAATAATTTGGCTGGTGCTTGGCTGGTTGATCCCCCTGAATGCTCTATTGTGAGGACAAAGAGTGTGTCTAGGTCAATTAGTTTCTAATAGAATCTGAGCTCGCTTGCCTTTTCCAGGAAAGATGGGCCGGGCTGAGATTCTCAGGGCTTTGAGTCAGAGGAGAGCAGCAGAATGGATGTTCTTATGTGATAGAATTATTATTAAGCGAATTTACAGCCCACCCTTCAGTGCAAGAGATCCCAGGGCAAGGGACGGCACTCACATTACATGAAACAATCCATCATAAACTAGAAACTTTAGAATGAAGAATCAGAACTGTTTATAAACTACAGAGCGGGCTACTCTCTGTCAGTCAGCAAATGGATTCGAACGCTGCAAACACCTTATGCCCATATAACTCAGTATTGTACAGACCAGAATTCCCCGACCTGTTGCTTTGTACAGCGGTACCTCGGTTGTCGAACGTAATCTGTTCCGGAAGACCGTTAGACTTCCGAAACGTTCGACAACTGAGGCGCAAAGGGCGGTCAGCAAAGTCAATGGAGAAAAAAGAAAAAAACTGAGGTACCACTGTAGATGTTTTGGACTACAACTCCCATGATCCACGGTGTGCTGACAGGGGATTATAGGAGTTGTAGTCCAGCAATAGCTGGGGACCCAAGTTTTAGAAACACTGCTCTAGATGTTGGGCACAGTGGCCTTGAATCATAGAATCAGGATTCCCCTCACGGGAATCGAACCTGCAACCTTGGCATTATCAGCAGCATGCTCTAAGCAGCTGAGTTATCCAGCTGGCTTTAATTACTGCAACACACCCTATGTAGTAGTAGTAGTAGTAGTAGTAGTAGTAATTTATTTATACCCCGCCCATCTGGCTGGGTTTCCCCAGCCACTCTGGGCTGCTTCCAACCAAATATTAAAAACAATACAGCATCAAACATTTAAAAACTTCCCTAAACAGGGCTGCCTTCAGTTGTCTTTTAAAAGTAAAATAGTTGCTTATTGCCTTCACATCTGCTGGGAGGGCGTTCCACAGGGCAGGTGCCACTACTGAGAAGGCCCTCTGCCTAGTTTCCTGTAACCTCACTTCTCGCAGTGAGGGAACCGCCAGAAGGCCCTCGACGCTGGACCTCAGTGTCCGGGCTGAACGATGGGGGTGGAGATGCTCCTTCAGGTATACAGGACCGAGGCCGTTTAGGGCTTTAAAGGTCAGCACCAACACTTTGAATTGTGCTCGGAAACGTATGTAGGGATATATGTAGCTGCTGCAGAACAAAACTTATAAATTGTTGACTGGCTTTATCCCATTGACATGATAAAATTTCTCTACTGAAGGTATTGCAGAAGAGTTTTGTCAGTGTGGGTTAAGATGGTCACAAAGCATAAAAATGAAATGGGTTTTTAGATAGAGTGATATTTTATTAGTTGTCATGTAGCTTCGTCTGCAGATTTGTGTCTTAAGACCGTTATAAGATTCCGCTTCATTAGTTTCTCATTATGAGCTTTGCAAAATCTGGCATTTTCTTTGGCGCTGAACATTATCCGTGTGATGTGTACAATGCACTATTGAATAAGAGAAAGAAGAATGTTTTTAAGATGCATTAACAATATGAAGTGGGGAGGGAAGAAGAGAAGAGAGACCAGGACATGTGCTATCGGTAAACACTCTGACGTGATGTGTGAAATCTCTGCTTTGAGGATGGAGAACCTTATAGGCCGCCCACCAAGGTCTCCCTTTGGGTAAACTCATGATGAGACCCTTCCCGTGTGTTAACAGAGGTTGTCTTCAATCAGGCACTATGAATCACAGGTGAGCAGGTACATTTTGCCCCCAAAAACAGCAACCTCAAACACCCACACACCTCTCCTAAAATGTTCCAACCAGTGCGGCTGTTTATCCACAGTTCTTATGTCTCAGACATCTAATTGTGTTTTTGTCAAGTCTTTGGAAGGGAAGATTCCCACGCTAGGAATAAGCTTTAAAAAATTTCAGCCTTGGCTTGGTAGAAAAACATGAGCGCTTGACGACGACATTACTACCATGTTATATGGCAGGCCTGGGGAACCTCAGGTCCTGAGGCCAGATGTGCTCCCCCCGAGATCTATTTGTCTGGCCCTCAGGACCCTCTCCAGACTTCACCCCGTTCCCAGCAACACCCCCTACTTGCTCAGTTTTGCGGCCTCCTTGAGTATTTTTTCCTTTAGCTGAAATGTGTTCTCCAGTTCTGAAAATGCCTCTCGCTTCCCTGGATGGAGGTTTGAGTGGGTTGCGTAGCAACTAGCCTACTGCACAAAGGGGAGACCTGCATTTGTTTCTCGGCCCACTTCTGCCTCTGCCCACCACTTGAACACGGCCCCCAGAAGAAGGCCAAAAAGCCCCCCCTCCCATCCCTTCTACAAGGCAACCGTCCTCATATAAAGTCCTCTCTCCCGGGAGGCGTTTGCTGGTGAGATTCACAACGCACCTCTTTGCGTTCCTGCTCTCTTGCCATATTTTGATGTGGGAGAATTTCTTAGGGAGCAAAGGTTCTGGTTAATTAAATGCATGTGGCAAGCTGCTGTCGATTCCGATGTTCCCTTCTTCGGAAGGCAGGCAGCCACGAGGAGTGAATAACATAGAGCATCTGAGTCATGCATCCTTCCGTGGCAGCCTTCGTCAACCTAGTGCCCTCTAGACATTTTGGAACACAACTCCCAAAATGTTGGTAGTCCAACACATCTGGAGGGCACGTGGTTGAGGAAGGCTGTCCTAGAGTAACCAGGGCTCAAGAAACTAAATATCCAAATTCTGCTAGTATGTTGGTTAGTTTTCTTCACACACACAGAGAGAGAGCTTTTGTATGCCTCATTTTAATCAGAGTAACCACATGTACTTTTGCTGGACAGCGGCGGATATGTTAATTGCAGTGATGACTCTTAAGAAACTTATTTCCCCCATATCCTTCCCCCACTGTCCGCGTTTTAGAAAAGCTTTAAATAGCACCGTGAGTTTTGTTTTGTTTTGGACAATGTGTTATTGTGCCTTTATGTATGTGTGTATTTATATATATTAGAAACACTTTATAAATACAGGGTATAAGCAGCAAAGATGTTAAGGCACTTGTGGTTTGTCAGATGAAACAAAAACTCGCTACTATTTTTAAGACCTTGCGGCCGGAAGTGTCTCGAATGTGTTGCGTCCCAACCGTGGGCATGAACACAAACGCATCGTCCCTCGTTGCTCTTCTGCGGGCGACACTTCGGATGCCGATCTGCTCTGTTTGAAAACGTGTTTGTTATCGCCTCTGCTGTCGACAAGGGGCAGCTTGAGACCGAAAGAGGCCAACACAGTGCCTAGTGAGAGGGTGGTATTAATTGATTAAAACACGCAAATGAGCAGAGGATGTCTTCTCTTGTGGCGTGAAAAATCAACGCCACCCAAAAGGGAATCCATTAAAGTCTGATCCTTGCACCAGCAGCAGGTGAAGCACACACACACACAAAATAAACTTTGCCCCAAAGCTTTTCTTCCTAAGTCCATCTGTCAAATCCTGCAGCTGGCACAGATTTCTTCAGAGAACAGTCTGGATAGTATCTGCAAAAGCTGTCTTGCCAATATAGATGACTTCAACTTAGCTCTCTCTCTCTGGCATTGCTCTCCACTTGAAATGTACAGTCGATTTTCTTTCAGAATATTCCCCTGAAATATGGCATTAAGATGCACTATGTGGGAAATTGTGCAAGAAATCACGGTTTATTTTGTTCTCTGTGAAGTGGCACATCCTGTGTATATTGAGCATTGATCCTGATTTGTTTGCTTCGGAAATTGGAAGACGTCGTTGGCGATTTCTTCGGGGTTAGCGCTGCCTTCTTCGCAGGCAGGTTGGATGGAATTGTGTTATCACACACTTTCCTTGTGGGCCTACCTTTGAAGGTGACCCGGAAACTACAACTAATCCAGAATGCGGCAGCTAGACTGATGACTGGGACCACATAACACTGGTCTTGAAAGACCTACATTGGCTCCCAGTACGTTTCCGAGCATCGGTCCAGTATACCTGAAGGAGCGTCTCCACCCCCATCGTTCAGCCCAGACACTGAGGTCCAGCTCCGAGGGCCTTCTGGCAATTCCCTCACTGCGAGAAGCAAAGCTACAGGGAACCAGGCATAGGGCCTTCTCGGTAGTGGCGCCCACCCTGTGGAACGCCCTCCCACCAGGTGTCAAAGAGATAAACAACTAACTGACATTTAGAAGACATCTGAAGGCAGCCCTGTTTAGGGAAGTTTTTAATGTTTAATAGACTATTGTATTTTAATATTTTTTTGGAAGCCGCCCAGAGTGGCTTGGGAGACCCAGCCAGATGGGCGGGGTACAAATAAATTATTATTATTATTGCAAAAAGTCCAACAATTTGGGGAAGTGGCTTACAGCACGGGCAGAAACCATGCTCAATCCGCCAGAGCCTGTCTTCCCATATTCAAATATATTTAATATGTGTTTCTCTTGATTACGGCCCCACTTGCATTCTACATTGAAAGTGGTATCATGCCACTTTAAAGAGTCATGGCTTTCCCCAAAGAAACCTGGTTTGTGTAATTCGTTAAGAGTGCTGGGAGTTGTTAGGAGATACCTACTTCCCCCTCTCCCCGCAAGCTGCAATTCCTGGTGTTCCCTGGGAAGAGAGGACTGTTAAGCCAGTCTGAGCATAACTGCATCCGCAGAGGAATTTTCCCACCCACCTTCAGGTGTCACAATTTGATGGGTGTGATATTTTCTGCCTCCATGCATGGAGGAATTTCCATCTCCGGTACTCAGAGACTTATTGAGCTTAGAAGGCGGCAGTTGTCATCTTGACAGCTCCTGGGAGCTTGTCTGCAGAGCTCATTGGGGCTCCGCACGAACTTTCTTGCTCAGAGTGTTCGGGGGCTATTGAGTGTGCGCATGCAAAGAGGCGAAAGTCAGCTCTGTGTCCTTCAGTCAACCGAGACCTTGCTGGTTTTGTAGAGCTCCAACATGAGCTTCCTTTTGGCTATAACTTACAGAATCCTAGAATTGTAGGGTTGGAAGAGGCACCCAAAGGTCAACTAGTCAATGCAGAAATCACAGCTAAAGCATCCCTGACAGATGGCCATCCAACCTCCGTTTGCAAACCTCTCAGTGAAGGTCCACCACTTCTGAGGTCGTTCGTTCCTCCGTCAAACAGCTCCTCCCATCAGAAAGTTGGTCGGAATCTCCAAATCCATTGGTTGAGGTCCTCCCATCTGGAGCAGCAGAAAATAAGATTGCTCCATCTTCACATAGGACAGCCCTCCAGGTATTTGAAGATGGCAATCATATCATCTTTCAGTCTTCTCCTGGCTAAACATTCCCAGGTCCCTCAGCTGTTTGTCCCCTTGAACTTTTGATTTGTCTCCAGTATTTGTACCAAATCACAATTCTGAGCAAGAGGGTTATAAGCTTTATAAGCAACAACCAGTGTGGCTGTAACTCAGTGTTTCGCAAACTTGGGTCCCCAGCTGTCGTTGGACTACAACTCCCATCATCCCTGACCACTGGTCCTGCTAGCTATGGATGATGGGAGTTGTAGTCCAACAACAGGAGGAGGCCCAAGTTTGAGAAACACTGTTGTAACTCCTTGGTGAGTGGTCTGCTGGATTCTTCTGGCTTTTTTGTGTGTTTGTTTAGGATTGCACTGTTCATGATTCCTCACAAGTGCTTGCTGGGGCTGATGGGACTTGTAGTCTAAAGCATCTGGATGGGACCAGGTTGGGGGTGTCCGGAAAGCCTCACTCCTGCAATATTCACTGCTGCTTGCTGGAGACCACATTTGCAAAGCTGAGGTTCGGAGAACCTTAGCACCCCACCGCTTGCGGCTGAGTAACCACTCAGTTGATTTCTTGCTTTTTGCAGCAGACAGACAACGGCAAACGCTTCTGTTTGTGCAATCACGGCCCACGCTTTGCCCTGTAATAGGCGACAGTCCGGAATGCGCTTGTCTGCTTTATTATCATTATTATTATTATTCAGAAAACCCTGCCCAATGCCAACTGGTGCGATGAACAGAGCTGCCTCCTTCTGTCACAGTTATTAGGCATTTGAAGGGCAGTGAAATCTTCCTCTTAATTCAATAAAGCCACATAGCTGCTGAGCTGGGAGGCAAAAATAGCCTTCGACTGAAACGCGGGCAATGACGCCGTACATTGGATTATTCCTCTAATCTGCAAATGAAGCTGTCCTCGCGGGAATCTGGAATGATCAGCGACACACAGACAGACAACAGGTTTCCCCTTTACGGAACAAGTATCGGAGTCATCCGAGACAGCGGCCTCAGCAGGTTTGCAGAGCAGAAAGATCTGAAGCTGGCAAGTGGCCACTCAGTTCCCTTAATGCGAACAATTCGTCTTCATATGACACATTTTCCCGCCCCGAGCCTTGGGATGTGCTGAGGAGCAGTGAATTATTTCTGCGAGTGATTTAAAAGTAATTTTCTCCCTGGACTTGAGGCCACTTTTCTTTTGGTCTTCTGGGGCTTGAATTACTGTGGCGAATCCAGGTCATTATCATGCAGTATTTTAAAAAGGAACATGCATTTTACATCTAAGGCGCCTAAAGTACCACAATTAATTAGAAGTTGTGCCCTGGAATTAAGCAGCCAAGTGTTATTGATTTTCTTTTAGTATTTTACCCCCACCCTTAAAGTGTTTTTTTTAAGCAGTAACTTATTTTCTGATTTTATCTTTTATTTTTATGTTGCGAACCGCCCTGAGATGTACGGATGGAGGGCGGTATACGAATCTAATGGTGCAGCAGCAGCAACAACAAATAATTTGCTGAGGTTGCTGAATATCTTCCTTTTTTCTTCTTGACTCTCTCCTGCCCTGCCAAACTAAGCATGCAGAACTTTCTGTTGAGGCAGTGATAGACAGCCTGTGGTCTTCCAGATGTTTTTGGACTACAAATCCCAGCATCCCTGACCATTAGTCACGCTGACTCTGACAGATGGGAGTCCACTTTCACTTCGCTGCCTTTTGGCCACTTCCAGGCCAAACGTTGCTGAACCCTGGGCAGTTTGCTCAGTGTATCGATTCTCACTCTCTGTGAGCCTAGGAACCGTCTTGGCCTCCAGAGCAGGACTGCATAAGAAGAGGACTTGCTGAAGCCGAGCAAGAGTCCCTTTAGTCCAGCGGTTCTCAACCTGTGGGTCCCCAGATGTTGTTGGACTACAACTCCCGTCATCCCTGAGCTTTGGCCTTGCTAGCTAGGGGTGATGGGAGTTGTAGTTCAACAACATCTGGGGACCTACAGGTTGAGAAAGGCTTGTTGTTTAGTCGTTTAGTTGTGTCTGCCTCTTCGTGACCCCATGGACCAGAGCACGCCAGGTCTTCCACTGCCTCCCGCAGTTTGGTCAAACTCATGCTGGTAGCTTCGAGAACGTTGTCCAATCATCTCGTCCTCTGTCGTCCCCTTCTCCTTGTGCCCTCCATCTTTCCCAACATCAGGGTCTTTTCTCTTCTCATGAGGTGGCCAAAGTCTTGGAGCCTCAGCTTCAGGATCTGTCCTTCCAGTGAGCACTCAGGGCTGATTTCCTTCAGAATGGAGAGGTTTGATCTTCTTGCAGTCCATGGGACTCTCAAGAGTCTCCTCCAGCACCAGAATTCAAAAGCATCCATTCTTCGGCGATCAGTCTTCTTTATGGTCCAGCTCTCACTTCCATACATCACTACTGGGAAAACCATAGCTTTAACTATACGGACCTTTGTTGGCAAGGTGATGTCTCTGCTTTTTAAAATGCTGTCTAAAGGCTGTTTTAGTCCAATTCCCTGTTTAAAACAGTAGCTAATAATGTGCTTCCAGGAGGGCAGGGCAGGAAAACAACACACCTCTCACATCGCATGCCTTCAGCATTTTGTATTCTCAGCTATACTGCCTTTCTTTGATGGCCTTGCCCTCTGTGGCTCTTTCTGCTCCCCTTTCAGCGCCATCTAAAGTCCTTGTCCTTGCCACATCTTGTGGCAGCGAGTTCTGTAAATTAATCCTGCACTGCGTGCAATATTTTATCACTGCATGTTCCATAATTCCATACCCCGCAACTGGCCCATTTTGAGCGGGTACGACCTGGATCCCGGCTTCTGTTTGGATCCCGTTTAAGACTGCCACCCTCGTGCGAGTCAGCGGGGTCGTGCCAGAGCCTGTTGACGGGCACCAGAGCGTCTTCTTGGATCACTTTGGCGCGACCGTCAAAGGGTCGTGCAAAACCACCTCGCCGTTGGCGCGATCTTTTCACGGTCGCCTTCCGGGAAGGCACTTTGGCCGCAGTGGCAGAGGAGAAGGCAGGAGAAGATTTGGGGGGGGGGGGGTAAGACAAGTCAAGTAACCTTTATTGGTATCACATAGGAACATTCAGAATACATTCAGAATAAATAGGCCAGTGCGATCTCGTCGCCATTCCAACAATACAGTCATTTGCCAAAGGGAAGAAGAGGCGAGCATTCTGTTTCAGCTCTGTGGGTCTCCAGCAAGGGCAGGATCCTGTAGCGTACTTTGGCGACAAAAAAATCAAATAGAGGAACTTAGCTACTGTCTTGGTGAGCTCCTGGTCTCTCCGTTGTAATAAGAAGCGTATAACCTCTGTCTCTGGCTTCCATGTTGGAATACATAGATGGTCTAGAAATTGTTGGCAGAGATCATCATACGTTTTACATTTAAGGGTCATGTGAGCTAGAGTTTCCACCAGGTGGGCATCGCATGGGCACATCCTGTCTCCTTCTGCCATACCCGCAAACCTACCCCAAAGGAGGTTAGAAGGATCAGAATTGAACCTAGCCAGCGAAAAAGCCCTTCTTTCTTGCGGGTTAAACAAAAATTGTAAGTCATTGGGCAGGAAGGCAAGGGAGCGGGTGTGTGATGAGTGGGCGCACGATGGCAGCGGGATGGTGCGAGGGTGCTGGTCCCAATTTGCCCTCCCAAAATTTTGGAAGGGTATGTAATTCTGCAGCAGCAGCACATAAAGGCAGAGAACCATTCCTGGCCCCCCCTCTTTGCTAAGTGGAAAATAACTTGCTTTGAGAGCAAAAAACCTGTCTGGGTCACTGACTCTGGACTAAGCAAACCAGGCCTCGCTTGGATCACGTCCGACGCAATATGGTTTCAGTCTGTGGTTGTTGTTTTTTTACTCTCGGCATGAGGAAGTTTTTTTTTTGTGGTTCAGGTATGTGGTGTTCCCTTTGTTGCCATGTGTTCAGATGACATTTTGGCAGGACAACGAGTGACGTCACTGCGTTGGGGATTGTTGTCTCCTGTAAAAAGCCCACTAGGAAAACTGCACACTCTTGAGAATCTGTTTGGGGCTTTTGGCTCTAGCAGTAGCTGGGGATACTTTATTTTCAGATGTTGTTTCCCTGTTCTTGCACATAATACATTTTTTTTTAAGCACCTGCATCCCTTTGTCTCAGTCGGCTGAGCCTTCTAGCCCAGCCCTTTCAGCGATATCCTGGCTAGCTTGGTCATCTGAAAAAGAGCTAGTAAAAGAGTCTGTGTTCCGTCTGCCAAAGCCCTGAGCCCACCAGCACCATCGTAGATCGCTATGTTCTGTTAAACCAGCATCACCAGCAGTCCATAGATTCAATCATTGATGGCAGAACTCACAAAACTTGAGCATGACCAGTAAGCTGCTCTTCTCCCATTTGGGCCTGCCTGTGCTACGAAATCTTCCAGACATGCCTTTCTCTCAGTCCTGTCAACATCTGAAGTGTGTTTGGCAGAACTCGAAAGAAGGGCCTTTTCAGTGGCTGCCCCAGGATTCTGTTTAGTCGTAGGGAGCCACCTCTCTCCTCCTGCCAACACATAGAGGCATTTTTATTTAGACAATTCTTTGGCCCATCTAATCAGGCTGGTTTTTTGCTGCTGTGTTTTATTTTATTTTATTTTTTACGTTTTTATTAATTTTTAACATACCATTTCCAACAATCATTTAACATACATTCTTATCTTATACAATTTTTTAGACTTCCGCCGACTACCTCTGAAGATTTTCCATTCTTTATCCCTTAATCTGCATTTCTTAATTTCTCTATTACTTTTAATTGTCCTTAACTAATAATTCTATTCATAGTCTTCCTTGCAATATTTCGCATAATCCTCCTTACAAAACCTCTTGCAGTCCTACTAGCGTAATCTGTTTATTACAATTGCTTTTCAAATAATTCAGATATTTACTCCAGTCCTCTAAGAATCTCTGGTCCCGCAGGTTTCGAATCCTTCCTGTCAGTTTGTCAAATTCTACATAGTCCAATTGTTGCTGCGTTTTAATAGGACTTCAACCTGACCTCTGTTTTACAGCTGTCCTGTTTTATTCAATCCTCCGACTGGTTTTTATTGGCTCCTGTTTACTGTATATGTTGTGATTTGCACTTATTTTTTCATTGCTGTTTTTGGGTGTGTGTGTGTGTTTTTCTTTGCAGAGTGCAATGCGTGGAAAGGAAGGGCATCCATGTGGTATTTAGACAGATAAATTAAGAACCGGCATTGGGTAGTGGGCAGTTTTTGATTTAGACCTGACGGACCTGGGTTCAAATCCTGCGTCTTCCATGGACCTTGCATGGGTGACTTTGGCCAATGTACCTCTGCCAAGGATCCTTCCTCTTTGTATCTTAAACATGATTCATCTGATCAAAGGAGTCTTGGCTTTAACCTCCAACCAGACGAGAACTTCCCATGACAACGTCAGAGCCAACAAACAGAGATCCCAACCTACAATTAGGGGTGGGGGAAGAATCCGCCAATCTCGGATTCCAAAGCAGACTCCCCTCATCCTATCCGGGTGAATCAAGACCCAAATCGGATCAGGGAAACGCAGCCAGATGGGCGGGGCATAAATAATAAAATTATTAAAAATCACAAATTATTATTGGTCCACTCCAGAACCTGCAGAACCCAGGTAAATACTGGAGGAAGCCACGTTTTTGCCTCTTATACAATTCTCCCTAAGAGTGATGGGTTGCTCCCTGGGAGACTCGCTCCGTTGCATTCAAAGTGTGCAGTGGCAAGGAGTCCCGTGGGCTAACCGCTGCAGGCTATAGCCGGTTGTATTCAATGTTTTTACAAGTTTAAAGGGCAGATATCCCTTTCTGAAGGCTCAGGCCAGCAGTGCAGCCGTTGCACTGGCTTGTAAGTCTTCTTTAAAGGATTTTCCATTTAAAAATCTTTGCGGAACTGGGATGGACCAGGCAGTCCATTGCTTCTTACAATGCAATCATCAATGTTGATGTACAGAACAAGGTTCTTGTGAGGATACAGTTAGGTAGCCCTCTGTGTCTGCCACCCTGAGAAGCAGAAAGAACACCAAACATGAACAGTTATTATTATTATTATTATTATTATTATTATTATTATTATTACTTAGCATTCATACTCATGATTCCAGGTAGCACCTGGGTATGCAATCAAACCATTGTTCCTTACCACTGGGGGTGATACATTTCAGCTTCATTGCCATGGCAAAGGTAATTAATTATTTTTCCTAGTCGGAACCCCCTTGGTTATATATTGTCTTCTAATGATGCCATGCCAAAAACTGGACCCCCCCTCCCATTTAAAATCAGGGTGGCATTAAAAAATATAATTGAAGTATTTATTCCCAGCACTGGTGAGCTTGATTCAGTCACAGAGATCTTGTGAGTTTATAAACTGTTAAGGCATAAACACTCAGGTCAGCTGTCAGTTACTGGTTTTTCACATGCACACACACATTTTCCCTTTCTCCCATATGCCTTAAAAACCCCCAAAACCCTTGACTTTTGATTTTGCCTCACAACCAGGAGATGCCTTACATGTCTTGAGGCAGCTGTCTGCCGAAAAGATCTCCAGGCTTCCCTTCGGTGTGTTTTGATCGGGCCAAGATAGTTGACAAGATAATCATCGTCAGCTGTTTGTCACATTGTCATGGGGAATTTTTGGAGGTCAAGCCAAGGGCCCTATGATCCGTCCCAGAGCACGCAAGGCACTCCTGTCTTCCACTGCCTCCCGCAGTTTGGTCAAACTCATGCTGGTAGCTTCGAGAACACTGTCCCACCATCTCGTCCTCTTGTGTCCCCTTCTCCTTGTGCCCTCCATCTTTCCCAGCATCAGGGTCTTTTCCAGGGAGCCTTCTCTTCTCATGAGGTGGCCAAAGTCTTGGAGCCTCAGCTTCAGGATCTGTCCTTCCAGTGAACACTCAGGGCTGATTTCCTTCAGAATGGAGAGGTTTGATCTTCTTGCAGTCCATGGGACTCTCAAGAGTCTCCTCCAGCACCATAATTCAAAAGCATCAATTCTTCGGCGATCAGCCTTCTTTATGGTCCAGCTCTCACTTCCATACATCACTACTGGGAAAACCATAGCTTTAACTATACGGACCTTTGTTGGCAAGGTGATGTCTCTGCTTTTTAAGATGCTGTCTAGGTTTGTCATTGCTTTTCTCCCAAGAAGCAGGTGTCTTTTAATTTCTGTCACCATCTGCAGTGATCATGGAGCCCAAGAAAGTAAAAACTCTCCCTGCCTCCATTTCTTCCCCTTCTATTTGCCAGGAGGTGATGGGCCCAGTGGCCATGATCTTCGACTGGTTTTCTAGTGGATCACATTCAGAGCCTTTAAATCAGGGGTTGAGGAAGCTGTAGTCTTCCGGACGCTGCTGAATTACAACTCCCATCGTTGTCCCAGTCCATGAGAATTGGAGACTATTGGAGGGCCCCAGGTTCCTCACCTGTGCTTTAGAGGCTATATTTTAATGGTAGGAGAGCCATTGCGCTGAGTCCCCTTTCCATTCTGTTTGGTAATGCCTGCCTCTTGGGGAGGGTCCACTCTGCAGCTTGCCTCAGACCACTTTGGGCCTTCAGATTTGCTGAGGAAATACTGTGCAGACTCGTCTTACGCAACCTCAAGACAAATTCGCCAAAGTGACCTCCCCGGGGCGCAAGACCGGGCAGTGTGTCTGGACATCCTGGGCTGCGCAGACTACAAGACGCTCGGTGGACCAAAGGAAAGCAGAGCAAAATGTTGGGCACCAGGAGTTGACGAAAAGAGGTGGACAAGGCCGTGGGAATGTTAAGGATAGTAGGAAAGGATATACTAAATAAGTATTATCCTTCCTTCACTCATGCTAGTAAGTGATGTAGCAGAGCAGATTCCTCTCAATATAGCTGGAAGTTAGTTTGCAGATTCATTAGTTAAGGATATTTCCTGGTGTCCCCTTTAATCCCTCTCAAAAGAATAAAGACACCAGAGTCTTTCTGAGTAAAGTAACAAAAAGTTTACTCACATTTCAGTTCACGATTTAATCCCTGAAAGGCAGGGTTTACTTGGTAGTTTCATCAAGTTCATTCTTGACCATTGGACCCACTCTTGGTCTTGTCCACTCCATCTGCAGGAGCCTGTCTTTACATGCAGGGGAAATCCCTAACTCACTAAGGGTTCGAGACTCATTGGCTACCGCCACCTGGTTTAGCCAGCCAGTTGAAGCCGTTTGCTGGGTGTGGCTGCTGTCGCGTGTTGACAGCCACAGGTGAGAGCTGAGTGCACAGTGGGGACCCAGGGTGGACAAACTACCCCGGAAGGAGCATGACATGTCCCCCATCAGATATACTACCCCTGCCCTGACACCCCATGCACCCCAACATGAGTGCACAGGGGAAAGGACTTGTGATGGGGCCCCTCGTTGAGTCAAACATAAAGCAAGTGAGGTGTGCTTAAACACAGTCATAAAACTAGTACAGAAATCTTTCCTTTTTCATTCCCTCCACCTCTCTCAAGCTTCCAGAATTTTAACCTTTAAGGGTGAAAAGGGTTGCTCACTGAACACACAGAACAAAATGGCAAATTGCAAATAGTACATTAGCTCCTCACCTCTCGGTTCACTCGCTGGCTCTGCCGATGAATATGTATGAGAGTAAAATGATCTGCGAAGCTAGATGACTTAACACCCAAATAGTCCTAGGAACTGAACAGCCTATTTATCTGGAGTGTTCCATGGCAATAAATACGAATTTGCACAAGAGGGTGTGAGTGCAATTAAATCTAAGCACACTGACGACTCCGGGGAATTGAAATTAGCTTCTTGGAGCAAATGGTATTCAAGTTCTGTTTGTTTAGCTCAATGGAGGGATGTCATAGAAGGTTTTCCACCTGCGCTGACGCATCGATGTCTCCAGGCTTTCAAATGAGTTTATACAAGCCATTTTATGTAGTACTTATTTGTCACCTAGCGTGGAGCTGTAGCCAATCCCAGTTCTTGCTCTTTCTTTCGCTAGCATATAAATTTTATTTTTGCATGTGTGATCTTGCTCTGACTGACAAATCGTTATAGACAAATCAGCTGATTCTGCGGGAAGGTACAGAGAATGCATTGCATTATTGTGGGGAAGCAATTTGTCAATGCACTGCAGCCAACCAGGGAACGCAGAGCAGGATCTCAGGTGATGAGCAGAAATTGCAAGCATGAATGTGCAACAGGAGAAGGAAGGCCTTCATGGTAAAACCAGCAACTTTAATTGAGCTCAGAAATGAACAGGTGACCTATGCAGGTCAGCTAGGACTAGAGTTGTTTGATCTTTTCACAGGAATGAGAGAGAAATACTATTCCATTGAGTTGTAAGGGCGAACCCACCTAATCTGTACTTCCTGAAATAATAAACCCGAAACACAGGCATTCTTTGCAAATTGCACATTGCTGAACTTTGTAGTGTGCTTCTCCAGCCGAATAGTGTGCATGAAAATGCACTGCGTTGGGGGAAGTTCCATACAAAAAATACCCAGGAGAAATTCACATGCTGGTGAATTTTCACTCTTTAAAAAATAATAATCACAAATTGATGTGGAAAACTGGACTTAAAGTTGGAAAAATGAGAAAGTGGGAGAAACATGGGCAGATTCCCTCTCTGCTCATCCCATGGTAGGCAATAGGTTGGTGGCAACATTGTGGACCAGTTAAGAACATAGGACAAGCCTACTGGATCAGGCCAATTACATATCTGAAGGCAGCCCGGTTTAGGGAAGTTTTAAATGTTTAATGTTGTATTGTGTTTTTAATTGTATTGTGGGTGGTTGGGAGTGGCTGGGGAAACTCAGCCCGACGGGCGGAGTATAATTATTATTATTATCTGGTCCAGCATCCTATTCTCACATTGACCACTCAGATGCCTCTTGGAAACCTGAAAGAAAGACTCCTGAATCTGGGAGAACTCTCTGTTCCTGAAGCTGAAGTTTTTGGGTGCTTTTCATTATTGGAAATCATGTCTCCAATTTTTGTGATTCAGTTTTAAACCTAACCCGTAAATGATCCTCATAGCCCCAGAACGTTTGGTTTTATCAAGAATAATTAAATAATAATAATAATAGGGCCCTAGTCTCTTGTGACAGAGCATTCCACCAAGTCGGGGCCAGTACTGAAAAGGCCCTGGCCCCAGTTGAGACCAATCTAACCACCTTGTGACTTGGGACCTCCAAAGTGTTGTCATTCGTGGACCTTAAGGTCCTCCGCGGGGCATACCAGGAGAAGCGGTCCCGTAGGTACGTGGGTCCTAGGCCGCACAGGGCTTTACAGGTCAAAACCAGCACCTTAAACCTGACCCTGTACTCTACCAGGAGCCAGTGCAGTAAAGCACTGGATGAATGTGATCCCGCAGCAAACATTGGAGGAGAGTCTTGCACCTTTTTCCCGGAAAAAAAGAGGCTGCAGGACATCGCAGTCTAACATTGTTGGCACCGTTCTGCATAGGAAGCCCCCTCTGAGTGCATTTTTGTTGGCGAGGAGATACCCAGACTAGGGGAGATTTTGCATTGCTCTTGGGAGGCCGGGTCATTTAGAAAGTTCGGTCAGAAGGAAAGAAGGCAGCGGAGAAAGGCCGTGCAAGAGAAACGGAATATCTTGCATGCCTGAGAAACTCTCTAACCGTCCTCAGCAACATAATGGAAATGAGCTTGTCTTTGTTATGGTTCGCGGGCGGCTTTCATTTGCATGACTTAACTATCAAGGTGTCGATCGGAAAGGGGCCTCCTTCAGCATTCGGAAACTCTCATATGGATTCACTTACGTGCTAACCAATGGCACCTGGGTGGAAGGAATTAATTCAGCTCTGGCAGACCCCGTCCGAGACTCAGGGAATCTCGCTCTGAGCAATTCGACTCAGGATGTTTATGGAGGTGTTGAGAAAGAAAAATGTATGGGGGGAAAAGGAAGCGCGAGTTTTGGTCCAGATCCTGGTGAGGCCCCATCCAACTCCTTTAATCATCGGCCATTCTTTGATTGGCTGGCTAATGCCTCGCATTTGAGGAAAGGATGCATGTGTTTTCAGACTAAGGGTGGGGGGCAGGCGAGGGGAGATGGCTCTTGAGAGATGTTGTATCCGCCCAGAGTGGCTGGGGAAGCCCAACCAGATGGGTGGGGTGTTCTTGTTGTTGTTTATTCGTTTAGTTGTGTCGGACTCCTCGTGACCCCATGGACCAGAGCACGCCAGGCACTCCTGTCTTCCACTGCCTCCCGCAGTTTGGTCAAACTCATGCTGGTAGCTTCGAGAACACTGTCCCACCATCTCGTCCTCTGTCGTCCCCTTCTCCTTGTGCCCTCCATCTTTCCCAACATCAGGGTCTTTTCCAGGGAGGCTTCTCTTCTCATGAGGTGGCCAAAGTCTTGGAGCCTCAGCTTCAGGATCTGTCCTTCCAGTGAGCACTCAGGGCTGATTTCCTTCAGAATGGATAGGTTGGATCTTCTTGCAGTCCATGGGACTCTCCAGAGTCTCCTCCAGCACCAGAATTCAAAAGCATCAATTCTTTGGCGATCAGCCTTCTTTATGGTCCAGCTCTCACTTCCATGCATCACTACTGGGAAAACCATAGCTTTAACCAAGCCAGAACAGCGAGACGGAGGGCTCCGTCTCGCTGCTCCTAGCTAGGGAGGGCTGCACGCAAACCTCTGCAGGGCAGCGGGGTGCCTTCACCCCGCTGTCCTGCAGAAGCTAGCAAGGCTGTTCCCAAGCCAGAACAGCGAGACGGAGGGCTCCGTCTCGCTGCTCTAACTTAGGGAGGGCTGCGCGCAAACCTCTGCAGGGCAGCGGGGTGCCTTCACCCCGCTGTCCTGCAGAAGCTAGCAAGGCTGTTCCCAAGCCAGAACAGCGAGACGGAGCGCTCCGTCTCGCTGCTCTAGCTGGGGGAGGGCTGCGCGCAAACCTCTGCAGGGCAGCGGGGTGCCGTCCCCCCGCGGTCCTGCAGAAGCTAGCAGGCTGTTCCCAAGCCAGAACAGCGAGACGGAGGGCTCCGTTTCACTGCTCTAGCTTGGGGACGGCTGCGAGCAAACCTCTGCAGGGCAGCGGGGGGCGTCACCCCGCTGTCCTGCAGAAGCTAGAACGGCTGTTCCCAAGCCAGAACAGCAAGACGGAGGGCTCCGTCTCGCTGCTCTAGCTTAGGGAGGGCTGCGCGCAACTCTGCAGGGCAGCGGGGTGCCTTCACCCCGCTGTCCTGCAGAAGCTAGCAAGGCTGTTCCCAAGCCAGAACAGCGAGACGGAGGGCTCCGTCTCGCTGCTCTAGCTTGGGGAGGGCTGCACGCAAACCTCTGCAGGGCAGCGGGGTGCCTTCACCCCGCTGTCCTGCAGAAGCTAGCAGGCTGTTCCCAAGCCAGAACAGCGAGACGGAGGGCTCCGTCTCGCTGCTCTAACTGGAGAGGGCTGCGCGCAAACCTCTGCAGGGCAGCGGGTGCCTTCACCCGCTGTCCTGCAGAAGCTCGCAAGGCTGTCCCCAAGCTAGAGCAGCGAGACGGAGAGCTCCGTCTCGCTGCTCTAGCTTGGGAGGGCTGCGCGCAAACCTCTGCAGGGCAGCGGGTGCCTTCACCCCGCTGTCCTGCAGAAGCTAGCAAGGCTGTTCCCAAGCCAGAACAGCGAGACGGAGGGCTCCGTCTCGCTGCTCTAGCTTGGGAGGGCTGCGCGCAAACCTCTGCAGGGCAGCGGGGTGCCTTCACCCCGCTGTCCTGCAGAAGCTAGCAAGGCTGTTCCCAAGCCAGAACAGCGAGACGGAGGGCTCCCTCTCGCTGCTCTAGCTTGGGGAGGGCTGCCCGCAAACCTCTTCAGGGCAGCGGGTAGCCTACACCCCGCTGTCCTGAAGAAGCTAGAAAGGCTGTACCCAAACCAGAGCAGCGAGACCGAGGGCTCAGTCTCGCTGCTCTAGCTTGGGGAGGGCTGCGCGCAAACCTCTCCCGGGCAGCGGGGTGCCTCCACCCCGCCTTCCTGCAGAAGCTAGCAAGGCTGTTCCCAAGCCAGAACAGCGAGACGGAGGGCTCCGTCTCGCTGCTCTAGCTTGGGGACGGCTGCGCGCAAACCTCTGAAGGGCAGCGGGGTGACTTCACCCAGCTGTCCTGCAGATATATGGATCTTTGTTGGCAAGGTGATGTCTCTGCTTTTTGAGATGCTTTTTAAGATGGGTGGAGTATAAGTAATAAATTATTATTATTATTATTATTATTATTATTATTATTACTACTACTACTACTCTGGACCTTCTTCGTAGGAAGGGAAGGGGGGGATCCACGAAATGGTCTTACACCTTAGTTGCTCAGTTTAATGTCATGGATAAAAAAGGTAAAGGACCCCTGATAGTTAGGTCCAGTTTCCTTGAGGAAGGTGAGAAGGAAGGCTAATGAGAGGTTGGCTTGGGGGTAACACAAGCGGCTGGGGTGGAGGCAAGGCCAGGGAGAGAGATCTAAGGGGCTGCATTTGTTCCCTTGACCTGAGGCTCCTCACCTCTGCATTAAAGAGATGGCCCATTTAATGGCCAACCCAGCTCAAGTGATTGATCCCCTCATCCATCCCTCTAAGGTTAAACACTCACATTTTTGCTAGCAGAAAACAACAATAGTTAGTTACCAACTCAGTTAGAGCTCAGTCTTTTCTTTGGCTTCAATGTAAAAAAAGGTAAAGGACCTTTGACAGTTAAGTCCAGTCGTGAACGACTCTGGGGTTGCAGCCCTCATCTCGCTTTACTGGCCGAGGGAGCCGGCGTACAGCTTTCAGGTCATGTGCCCACCATGACTAAGCCACTGCTGGCGAAACCAAAGCAGCGCACGGAAACGCCGTTTGTCTTCCCACCGGAGCGGTACCTATTTATCTACTTGCACTTTGACATGCTTCCAAATGTCATGGATAGAACAGGCATATATTTTTGTTTGTTTGCTTGTTAATTGGATAGGTGGGCACCTGGCACTTAATGTATCGTTGCTACCCCAGCATTATTTCACTCAAATGCCAAAATCCATCATTTAAAATCTTGCAGAATTATTTTTTTAAAAAAACAACTTAAAAAGGTGAGGAAACTTGGGCCTGTCAGGTGTTGCTGAACTACAACTCCCAGCATCCCTTGCAAGCATGGCGAGTGGCCAGGGATGATGGGAGCTGCAGTTCAGCCGCATCTGGAGGGCCATCGGATTTAACGCACCGTCCCCATAGACATCTGCACATCTTTCGCGCCTCAAAGTTACTAGTCCATATGCGTTCCTCCATCGGTAGTCTGTAATAGCAGAGTCCTACTGCCCTTCCTTAGGAACCTGATTTCCTTCTTTGAAGGCAACGGTCTGCTGCCCTGTGCATTGCTTTGACTACTGATAATATTCTTCTCTTGTTTGACAGTTGCACTATAAAATCCCTTCAGCGTCGCCATGTTTGCATCAGCCGCCTCGAAAGGCCTCAGAACTGGGGGGAGAACTCCTGCGAAGTGCGATTCGTCATTCTGGTCCTTGCTCCTCCAAAAATGGTAGGGTTGAGCGCCTCCTCCATTTTATTTTTATTTTTTTTAAAAATAAATCCTGTACCTTTCCCCTTATCCTTTGATATGCCATTATAATAGAATATAAGAATATGTATGGTATTTTTATATATAAATAAAAGTTGCAAGCAACTTGGGATCTGAACATCAAAATCCCTCAATGAAAGATAATTGTATCCACTAGTTATATCACAAAACATGAGCAAGAGTTGTTGAGCTTTTTCAAAAGGGGGGGGGATGACATTCATTGCTCACCTTAAAGTACGCCGCTAACAAACTCACACAGCGCAAAAAAAAAATCATTGTATTCCCAATCGCCAACAGAAAGCGCCAAACGATGCCCACTGGACGAGGCGGAGGGGCAGAGCAAGGGGGGGCGGGGGTAGAGACATTCATTTCCCAGTTTTTTCAATCCAGCGATCGATAAGGATGCCGCAATCGACCAGGATCACCCAGGGATCTACCTGTCGATCGCGGTCAATTGGTTTAACCTGTCTGAGCTAAGGTATAACATAAAACTCAAGCTGTGGTGTAGGTAACCCAAACCACTCATGGATGTGCCCTGTTTTTCCTCCCTCAGAAAAGTACCAAAACTGCAACCGAAGTGGGCCGGACATTTGCCACAATGTTCTCAGATATAACCTTCCGGCAGAAGCTTCTAGAAACGAAAACGGAGGAAGAGTTCAAGGAGGCTTTGGTTCACCAACGTCATCTGCTGACCGTCGTGAACCAGAGGCCATCGGCAATGGCCGACGGGCACATAGTACACAACCACAAGCCTCTCAAGGTACGTGTGGCGAAGGTCCACTGTTTCAGGTGGACATTATAAAGCCAAATCATCTTGAGATGAATATCAGTCGCTCGTCCGAGGAGGCCAAAGTTGCGTAAATCCTGACAGGGAGTTGGGCATCCCCTCAGAGTCAAGGTCCAGGTCTCTCATCCTGGGTCGACAGAGCTCATCCAGCCCTCAAAGTCCCATATGTCCATTCTATGAAGAGAAGTCCCACCAAAAAAAGTTCAGGACTTCTCCGCTGAGTGAAAAGCAGGTTAAGCACAGAGGTGGACATGATAGGGTTGCATAGAATTATGCACAGTGGATTGAAAAAAGTATAACGCCCCCTCGCTGAATTGGCCACAATCTTTTTCCTTCTCCCTTTTCTGCCCTGTAACGCCAGCAACTTCTCGCATGTCACGGCGGGACAAGTTTGTTAGAAGCTGTTGTGCTCCTTCCTTTGACCTTTTCCATTGGGAGCTACTTAAAAAGAAAGAAAGAAAGAATCTTAAAAATAGGCCTTTTAAACTCTGCTTAAATCATTCTGCACTTTAAACCCACCCTCTCCCTGCCACCAGCCCTGTAGACAATTGTGTCTCAAAACAAAGGAGCAGAAATGAATTTTCTCCCTGGAGGGAGAAGAGGGCCCGAGGTTAGAAATCCCTGTTGCTGTAACAAGTTTTCCCGCAAGTGGAGAGACGTAATGGCGATGAGGCAGGGAGAGGCTGGAAGGGACAGACAGGGAGCCAAGCAGCGAGGGGGCAGGCGAGGGCCATGGAGGACTGGCAGCAAATGCCACAGCATATTCCAGGTACCCCTGCTGGGTTTTGGAAGCTGGTGTTGACAGATGCACTTTGCATCCCTTTTGTTCCCAAATGTACGTGGAAAACATGCAAAGCTGCCGCGTACAGACCCAGGAAAAGGCTATCTTCCGACCACTAGGAGTGGGAGAGAAATGCAATCCTGTTCCCATTCAAAGGCGAATTTTCCCCATTCGCACTTACCCAAACAATACGTGCACCTAAACACAGCTGTCCTTCAAAATCTGCACTCCTCCAAATTTTACGTTGCACTTCTGGGGACTGTAGTTTATCCCTCAATTCCCAGCAACCTTTAAAAACTACAGTTCCCATGATTCTTTTTTATTGGGGAGGGGAGAAGCTGTGTGTTTTAAATCTATGGTGCGGATGTGACCTCAAGCATGGTTTTTTGTATTGGAAATGGTGAAATTAAGAAAGGGAAACAGACAGATTCAGTGACATTTGGTACTGTTTTATGGAACCTGCATGCAACAAAGAAATTAATTTTATGACTCCTCAAATGCATGGGTAGTTGCGGCTAACCTTGGTTAGTTATATTATTTCCCATATTGTTACCAGATCCACGTTTATTGATTTGTGCGACAGTGCAGTCCTGTCAAACATGGGGGTTCCATTCCAGAGGTAGCGCATACAGTCATACCTTAGATCCCGAACGCCTTGGTATTCGGACGTTTTGGCTCCCAAACGCCGCAAACCCAGAAATGAGTGTTCTGGTTTGTGAACGTTCTTTGGAATCCAAATGTCCGACAGGGCTTCTGCGGCTTCCGATTGGCTGCAGGAGCTTCCTGCAGCCAATCAGAAGCCACGCTTTGGCTTTCGAGCGTTTTGGAAGTCGAACGGATTCTGTTCGACTTCCAAGGTACGGCTGTATATGCAAAATCTGACTGCTGATTGGCAAGAGGGGGGAGCCTTCACGAAGGCCCTCCCCATATCTCAGCTGCCTCCTCTCCTCCCTGCACAGAGGTAGTATCAAGAGAGTCAGTCAGTCAGTTTTATTGCACATAGCCAAAGGCTGCCGCAATGTACACAGAATCATTCAACAATTAAAAGAAAATATGCTGGATTAATACGAAAAACTTAAAATATTTATATTATCAAGACGTTACCTACTCTAAACAGAGCTATAAAAGTACCTGATTATACAGGTTCAGACATTAAACAGTAAAATTTATAGGCTAAAATCACCACATGGCCACTAATATATTAAAAAAATAATGTTAATTAATACAATGTGCAATTATATTCGGAGTTTGGTGATAAAGATAGAATATAACTTGATATAGATAGGGTCAAATTAATTCATCTCCTTTACAGTTGGTGACTATCTTGGCTATATAATTTGCTCTAATTTTCCTAGTGGCAGTTGCAAAGAGTGCTACACGCCAGGTCACATACTTATCTATGTCTGCGAGGAGATATAAAATCATGTCAGAGGGGTTCTGGCCAGGGGACCTTGTCATTATAGGTGCTAAAAACCGTTCTCTTGCTTCATTATATAAGGGGCAGCACAAGATATAATGCATAAGGTCTTCTACTTCAGGACATCCCCTAATGCAAACACAGTTGTTTGTTGGTATGCCTCTGGGAGCGGGAGAGATATGAAACCATTTTACAAATATGGCACACACAATAGAGGCTGAGTTCCTTTTCTTGCCTCTTTGAGCAGTGCTGAGACGGGATGGCCGCTTTTCCAAACCATGTGCATTGCCTCGTTTGCACTGCGGCGGGTTGGTCTAGATGACCCTCGGGGTCCCTTCTACCTTGACGATTCTGTGATTTAGCATCTCCTCTGCACAGCCTTTAAAGGAAAGCCGTTGGTTTTAAAGGTCTCGTGGCAGGCGGCTCGAGCCTCCCTCTCCTCTCTCAACAATAGATGAGCATTTGAACTGACATAACATTTCCTTCCTCTCTCCAGCTCCACGAGTTCTTCAATGTTGGCAAGGGAATTTTTGATGACATCGCACGAAGGTTTCCAGTGTACGCGCTGGACTTTACTGATGGTAGGTGAGCCATTGTTTACGACAACGCCGGCCTGACTGGGGTCCTCATAGCACCGTGTCCTGTTTACAGAGCACTCTCTTATTTTTTTCGGAGGGCAGGGAGATGTCTGCAGTAGCTCTCTTGTTTATGAAAGACAACCACACACTGGACCAGGAAGGATCCCAAGGGTTGGGCTTATAGATTATTCCCAATGTCTTCAGCCAAGCCTGGTGCTTTAGATAAATTCCCTGATCCAGTAAGGCTAGTCCACATGTAGAAACACATTTTCATTCAGAAGCAAGGGAAAATCCAACAGAACTCGAGTTCTCATCCTTGTTTTTGGCAAAATCGTACTGCTGGCGCTTTTTAAATGACTGCCTGAGATTTCTGTAAGCTAAATGATGAGTAATGTCTCCATAGAGTAGAGATTGGCAATTCTGTCAATTTCATTTTCTCATTAATTTCGGTTTGCTTTTTAAAGTCATTTTTAAAAATAAAAAAATCAGGGTTTTAGCGCGTATTTCTCCTACAATACACAATTTTTTACACTATTTTGTCTAATCGCATTTTTGCAAAGCATTCCCCCCTAAAGATTGCATTTTTTAGTGTTGTTTTTGTTGCTTCAAGGGGGGAAAAAATGATATGAAAAGGATAATACCCTGAATGCCAAGATCCAAGGTTGGGGTAATTACTCTTTTGTGAGAAGACCCCAGCAGAGATTTAAAGTCACAAAACATGCAGCAGAACAAATTTGGAAATATAGGCTGCTAGACCCTTAAGATATACCCTTTCAAGTGCGTCCCAAAGTTTCCTTCTCCCCCCAGCAAAGAAAAAAAAACACACATTTGGTAAGTTTAAAATGTTTTACTTACAAACTCTCCAAAGGTCATATTCATGTGATTTTCCATGCAGCATTCAGAAAAAGTTGCACAGGCAGTAAAATTTAGCTTAGTTACAGAGTGATGAGAGTTTCTAAATGATTGGTATATAAACTCAAGAGTGGCTTGTGAGAGCTGCCAGGGGCCGGTGGGGGTTGAACAATATCGGGAGGGGCCCAGATTCCTGGCACCTGAGGAGATGGAATGATGGTCTGACTCTGTATAAAGGCAGTTTTGTATGAGAGGCTTCACATTTGCGGCCTGTGCCCTTCCATGTACCATCCATCCCTTTCCCTCATTGCCTAAGAGCTCTGCAGGACTGCTTTTTTCTACCTAAATAGCTTTGTGGGAATGCAAAGAAAAGCAATCATTGCATTCTCTGGACAGAGCACTATTGCTTATGTACATATATCTCAGTGACGTGATTTCCCATAAATTTGGGTACGATTCCTAGGCAGAAGCTATTACCGGCCTTGTCTGACTGTCGACAATTTCATCCGCCGTTTGCCATTTATCTCGCGAAGGGGCCTGTTTCAGAAATGCCGAGAGCTGATTCTGGCATAAATGCCTGCGATACTTTCTCTGTTTTCCTTTTATTTACTGCGCGAGTGTCCCCCTCTTTCGCTGGGAAGCTCAGAGCAGATTACGCGGGGCTCCAGGCAGTCTCCCGCCTCCTCGCTGTGACTAAGCTGAGGCTCGCTGAGCTGCGATAACAGCCATGCAACAGCCGTAGGTGAGTTTTGAAACAGCTTTGCAGGGTTGGTGCAAACCCCCCGGCCTACTGCCTTGGGTCATCCATGCACCTGGTACTGCAACTGTTCACATGGGGCTAACTGTGCCCCGGTCAAAACCTCCATGTTCCTTATACGGTACATGATCAGGTTTATTTAAAAATAATATTGATAGGGCAGCTGTATGTAGACAAAGAGTGACAGTACAACAGAAAGGTGCCAGGGAGAGGAAAGCAGGCAAGCATTCTTCAGGATTATAGGAGGCAGTTCCTTGGCAAAGGATGTTTGCCGAACAGCGTTTTCAGCAGGGAACACTGCCTTGCACCCGGTTGCTGCAGGACTTGCTGTCGCCGCCAACCAGCTGATTGGCAGCGACAACAAGCCCTCCCTTGCCAATTAGGAGCGCGTTTTGGCATTTCTGGTTCTTCGTTGGGAGGCATATTTTTCCCTGCCTCATGCCTGACGTCATGCACAGGCCCCCCCCCACTTAGTGCGCGGTCAACTTGTGTGCAGTGGCGTAGCATGGGTTGTCAGCACCCGGGGCAAGGCAAGCAATTTGCGCCCCCTAAGTGAGAGAGAGTGAGTGAGCCAGGTAGGGGCAGAGAGCTGCGAGTGCGAGCGCCCCCCCCAGATGTTGCGCCCGGTGCGGCCGGCCCCCCCCATGCACCCCCCACGCTACGCCACTGCTTGTGTGTGACCGTGTTTGCGTGCATGCCGGGAAATCAATCAATCAATGGAAGCAGTACGTTTCCGAGCACAATTCAAAGTGTTGGTGCTGACCTTGAAAGCCCTAAACGGCCTCAACCCAGTATACCTGAAGGAGTGTCTCCACCCCCATCGTTCTGCCCGGACACTGAGGTCCAGCGCCAAGGGCCTTCTGGCGGTTCCCTCACTGCAAGAAGCCAAGTTACAGGGAACCAGGCAGAGGGCCTTCTCGGTAGTGGCACCCGCCTTGTGGAACGCCCTCCCATCAGATGTCAAAGAGAACAACAACTACCAAACTTTTAGAAGACATCTGAAGGCAGCCCTGTTTAGGGAAGCTTTTAACGTTTAATAGGTTATTGTATTTTAGTGTCCTGTTGGAAGCCGCCCAGAGTGGCTGGGGAAACCCAGCCAGATGGGTGGGGTATAAATAATATATTATTATTATTATTATTATTATTATTATTATTATTATTATACCAGGAAATGGTGGGAGAAAGCTAGAGAGCCCTTGTGGCTTGTGAGAAGACACACACACACCCCGAGCCTGAAGAGGACATCAGTGAGGGCAGAGAAGGGGCTATAGGCTCAGTGGGGCTTTGTTTAGGCTTCTCAGCCTCTCCGCCTAACAGCCGGCTTGCGTGGTAGCGCAGCAGCCTCAGTTTTCCAGCACCTCCTTCAGCCTCCTGCCAGCCCCAGAGCTTCAGCTCTAGATGTTTTGGTCTGGAGTGGAGAGAGAGCAGGAGAACATCTGGGAATAAGCATTTAGAAGCTTTTTTTTAGAGGATGCTCCCCACTTTGCACGATTTCACTTGAGTGTGGGGGCCCAGAACGTAACCTGCGCATTAGTGGGAGGAGGTCTGTATAAGATGGGGTGTGGGGCATGTGGGCATGGTTGGGGCAAACAGGCTCATGGGTCAAATTAGGCCCCATGTTGGGCTTAATTAGGCCCATGGGCTAAACGCTCCCCACCTTTGCTGGATAGGTTCGGCCGGCCTGATTTGGCCCATAGGCTTCCCGTGGTGAGGTCATGCTAGCTGTTGACTTTGGGCCTGCAGAGAACTTTAGCCACAAAGAGGCTGTTAATTCCTTCAATATCCATGTGGCTTAGCACTAAGCTATGGTTTCTCGGCTGAGAGTGTATATTTGGGGCTTCAATGACACACACCTGTCCTATGAAATCCAAGGTCTTGCGGATGCTGTTTGGAGATGTGTAGCAACTCTGTGGCACTTCTCTTCCCGGGTCTAGCACCATGGGCTCAATTCCACAGCCAAGCACCTCTAGGCAACTGCTTTTTCTGCATTCTTTCTTTTTTTTTTTACTTTATATTAACTTTTTATTGATTTTCCTTATTTTCAGTTAATTCACACTACATGTTAATTGCCATACACCTTCAGCCTTGTACCGCAGATTCCCGCGTATAAGACGACTTTTTAACCCTGGAAAAGAGGTTAAAACGTCGGGGGTCGTTTTATACGCCAGGTATGGCTGCAGTGGGCAGCAGGATCTGCTCTGCGCCAGGAAGAAGCCACCCAGTGAAGCCGGCTTAGCATCGCTGGGCAGCTTCCTCCTGTCGCAGAGCCCGCTGCCCACTGCTGCTGCCGAAGCGTATAAGACGACCCCCCCCCCCCCAAAAAATTGGCAGCTTATACGCCCAGTCACCTAATATGCTGGAATCTACAGCACATAACATGAATATATTATTTCTGCAAATTCCCCACATCTAACCCTGCAAGGCAGGAGTGCCTGGCATGCTCTGGTCCATGGGGTCACGAAGAGTCGGACACGACTAAACGACTAAACAACAACCCTGCAACCACCTCTCCTTATACCCAAATGCCTGTGCGACTTCCTTCACACGCATGAGTGAGATCCAACATATTACTTAATAAAAACCTCTAACATTGTGTTCCTTTTTATTCATTACGATAGTCATTCATCCATTTTAAAAAAGGAGGGGAAGGAAAACATAACTTCTTAACTTAATGGGTTCAGTCTATACTTATCCAGAGATTTCTAATAGAACGATTTTGTACAATATATTCTTCAACACATTTCCATTCCTTGCTTTTTCTGCATTCTTGTTGCTACTTGTTGTTGTTGTTGTTTAGTCGTTTAGTCGTGTCCGACTCTTCATGACCCCATGGACCAGAGCACGCCAGGCACTCCTGTCTTCCACTGCCTCCCGCAGTTTGGTCAAACTCACGCTGGTAGCTTCGAGAACACTGTCCAACCATCTCTGTCGTCCCCTTCTCCTTGTGCCCTCCATCTTTCCCAACATCAGGGTCTTTTCCAGGGAGTCTTCTCTTCTCATGAGGTGGCCAAAGTATTGGAGCCTCAGCTTCAGGATCTGTCCTTCCAGTGAGCACTCAGGGCTGATTTCCTTCAGAATGGAGAGGTTTGATCTTCTTGCAGTCCATGGGACTCTCAAGAATCTCCTCCAGCACCATAATTCAAAAGCATCAATCAGTTCTTCGGCGATCAGCCTTCTTTGTGGTCCAGCTCTCACTTCCATGCATCACTACTGGGAAAACCATAGCTTTGACTATACGGACCTTTGTTGGCAAGGTGATGTCTCTGCTTTGACACAGAGGAGTAAAGGGAAAGAAAATGCCAGGGAGCACTGTAAGTTAGGGGGCCTTCTGGGTCTCCCCTCTATCCTGTTAGCATCCTGCAGTCAGGATAGCTCAGCTGGTAGAGCATGAGGCTCTCAGGGTCGTGGGTTTGAGCCCCACGTTGGGCAAAAGATTCCTGAATTGCCGGGGGTTGGACTAGATGGTTTCTTCGAACTCTACAATTCTATTATATTTGCTGTGAACTGGGAATTCCACTTGCTCTTGGGACATACGTAGGGATGGGGCGGAAATTCGCTTTAATGTGAACCTCCCTCATCCTCGCTTTTCAAAATGGTACGCAAAAGGGAACACGGCCATCCCTCAAAATTCGCACTTCTCCAAATTTTGCAGCTCTCTAACCAAACAAGGTTTACAAAAACGTGCATGTTAGGGTGATATGTGTGGATAAAAACACATGGCACTGGCAAAAATACCACATGGAAATGCATTGCATTAGGGACGTCACTTGCAAGGATGTACATCAGGAGAAATTTGCTTTAAAATCTGATGCACAAAAATGGAGAACCGAACATGAGATTGAAAAAATTAGAAGTGGGGGAAAATGAAATTGAGAGATTTTCTGCCCCTAGACAAGCTGCACAGCAGAATATTTCGATATGCCTTGATCTGAAATGAAAGAGGGCAGCCTGCTTTTAAGTGTACATGTTCAATAGCAAAACATTGAATTGCTACAGAAAGACATTTTGGGCTGTTGGCAAGCTTTGCCTTATGCTGTGAGGTTGAATCTGTCGTCCTTTTATTACATTGGGTCCGGCACAGCATTCTCTGTCTGGGTCCATGCAAATGCAGCTTATTAAAAACTGCATTATGCTTCAGCCTGAGCACTTTGATGCTGCTTTCGTGCAACTGAGATCAGCAAACCATGAAAGGCTTAGTTTAGCTTAGCATGGCATCCGAACCCAGGATTGCGGTTTCTTTTGCTCTAGCCAACCGCAGTTACCAAGCCAAATGCAAAACTATGGTTTAAAGCGGTCTAGCAATCATGGTTTGTTGTTAGGGCGAAACAAAGCAAAACTCCAGGTTTGAGCACCTCACTAAGCAAACTTGTAGAATTGTAGACTTAGAAAGGACCCCTGCAATGCGTGGCTTCTGCAAACTGACCAATCGTGTCTCAGGTAGCTCAGTCCTGCCTCCCCACAACATAAATTCTGGCTACGTCCATGCTCAGGCCTTCTTTAAACCATGAGCCAGGGTTTCTTGACTAATGTTTGCTTCCATTCCACTCCATAACACATCCAAATTCTCTCCCCTCACCAAAGCATCTAAGTAACACTAGGGCTGCCATCTGTCCAGAAATTCCCAGAAATTCCCCAGGAATGTCAGCTGGAAATAGTATCAGGGCAGAATTTTCAAAAATTGGTAAAATGTCCAGGAAGGTGGTTTTTTTTGTGTGAATTCCCTTTAAAAAACAGCTCAAAGACTTTGCATTTTTTTTGTGTGTGTGTTTTTGCAAAAAAAAAGAAAAAGTAAGCAATTTTGCCAGAAATAAAAGCTCAACAACTTTTTGGAATATGGCAACCCTAAGAAACAAAGAAGTGTGTAAATAAAGTCTTTCTGAGGTCTGGAGCTCAGGCACGCAGCTGAAGTTGTCTGAACGCAATTTTTCCATTCTTTTCCTTTCTCTGCCCACCTTCCCCAACTCCAAATATTAATATTTGAGTTTTGAATTGTAGGAATAATAGGCGCTTTCAGTTTTACCGCTCTAGGCTGTTTGTGGCTTTGTTAATCTCTCAAGTGGCTTCCTGTACAAAGCCGGACGTGCTAACTCTACATCGCCTTTGCAGCCACAAATGTAGCTTTTGGGTTTTGTTTCACTCCTAGTGCGTCGTGCCTACTCCCCTTAGAACAACTTTGTAATTCTGCAAGCTGGAATAAATATGCTTAATTTACATGCTTTTAAATACAGTCGTACCTTGGAAGTCGGACGGAACCCGTTCCAGAAGTCCATTCAACTTCCAAAACGTTCGAAAACCAATCACTGTTATGCTCCATCTTACTTTTTCAGCAGTGAAAACTCCCTTGGCAACACTAATTAATTTTTTGCTTCATTTAACTAATGGAGCCCATGGACTTTCAAACTGTTTGTGTCTTTGTGTCCCTTCCTTTAATCTTATTCTGTAATTTAAAGACTTTCTTTGACATACTATATTTTGTTAAAACACTCATTCCATGGGTGCTTCTGATCAGCGCCATTTAGCAGCTAACAACGTTTTTGCAGCTCTTAATAGATTTCCTTAAGATGAAAATGTTTTGGACCAACATCATTTTGCAGGTATCACAGCAGAACTTGTAATGGATTTAAATGTATGGTGTAATTAACCATATCTTCTGATAAATTTAAGATTTTCTCCGAATAAGTTCTAATCTCATCACAACTCCACCAAACATGTAGTTAACTTTATTTCTTCTGCTTTTCCAACAATGATCACTAAGGTTGCACACCTTGTAATCTGATTGGAAAATTTAAATTATAGGGATCCCCCCCCCAGCCCCTCCAGAGACTAAGGAAGATGGAGGTACCTCAGAGATTGAGGAATGATTTATGTAGAGGCCAGAAGGATGGAGCGGAGAACAAAATCACCCATTTGATTTTGCAGATACCTGCCCGCTTTTTTGACTATTTCTTTACAGATTTAATATCCCACCAGCCGTGTGTAGCTTGCAACTCTTGCAAAATTCCTAAAAGTGAGAGCCAGTAGCTTGAAACATGAGAAATGTGTGTGTTGTAAAAGTGTCATAAGTCAGCTGTGGTATCTGAAGAAACAAGCCAGATACGAGTTCTAATCAAGTTTAACATACCAAATAAAAAAGTTTCCGAAGTAAGAAGTCTCTTCCTTTTCCCTGCAAGGCTAGGCTCAGATTAGCCTCTCTGGAAAATTGTGGAGAAGTCTCTACTCCACGTCCCCAACCTTTCTGCCAGTAGAAATGGGGCTTTTGAGCCGAGGTCTTACTCTAGATCAGGGTTTCCCCAGTTGAGTCTCTGGCTGTTGTTGGACTACAACTCCCATCATCCCTAGCTAGTTGTTGGAGATGATGGGAGTGGTAGTCCAAAAAGAGCTGGACAGCCAATTTTGGGAAACCTTGCTCTGTATCTCATGTTGTGGTCCCAAGAGGGGTGCCCTTGCAAAGTACGCAGGACCCCAGGAAAAGACCCAATGCTTTGAGTCACTACCATTTTGCTTCGTAGCCAAAAGGACTAAAAAAATGTGCAGTGTGTACATCAAGAGAACTCTGATGCTTGCTTTTAGAAATGGGAAAATCGCCCAACACAATGTGCTCCCAGCCGCGCATAGCGTTAGATTTCTTGGTTCGAAGTGTGCCGTTTCCCAAGAAGGTCTGATTAAGGTCTTTCCAGATAGCATGTGCCTACTTCGGGGAATGTGTAGTTGTCACTTAATTCCTTGTGGGATGTAGAGGAGGCTGCATTCTCGCTCTCCCGCCGCCCCTGCTGAGTTGGGCACGGTGAGCTGGGTATGTTTTTGCCTGGAGGAGAGACGATTAAGGGGAAACCCGATAGAATTCTTCAAATATCTGAGGAGCTGTCAGGCAGCAGACAGAACACACTTGCTTCCCTGCTGCTCCTGTGGACGTGACTAGAACTAATGGGTGGAGATTGCAAGGAAGCCGATCTTGGTTAAGCATTAAGAGAGAAAAGAACTGTCGGACAGTAGAACAACCTGCCTCTGGAAGTGGGAACTTTTCAGCAGAGCAGGAGTACCAGCTTGGCCCCGTGACGTGGGTGCCCATGCAGCATGCATGACCCTAGTGCCGAAATTTGTGGGTGCCCAGCCACTTCATGGAGAATTTTGTGGGTGCTATGAAGCAGAGGGTGGATGGCCACCTGTCAAGGATGTTGTTGTTGCATCCTGCACTCATTTAGCAGAAGGTTGGGCTAGAAGCTCTCAGGCTCACTTACAACACCATGATTCTTTTCCGATGAGTAGATGCTGCTGGGGTTGCCATATGTCCTCTTTTTCCTGGACATGTCCTCTTTTTCATAGGTATGTAGAAGGAGAGTCGCCATTCATGGTTAAAGGTAAAGGGACCCCTGACCGTTAAGACCAGTCGCAGACGACTCTGGGGTTGCGGCACTCATCTTGCTTTTTTGGCCAAGGGAGCCAGCATACAGCTTCTGGGTCATGTGGCCAGCATGACTAAGCCGCTTGTGGCGAACCAGAGCAGCGCACGGAAATGCCATTTACCTTCCCACCGGAGTGGTACCTATTTATCTACTTGCACTGTGTGCTTTCGAACTGCTAGGTTGGCAGGAGCTGGGACCGAGCAACGGGAGTTCACCCCGTCACGGGGCTTCGAACCGCTGACCTTTTGATCGCCAAGCCCTAGGCTCTGTGGTTTAACCCACAGTTAAAAGTAGAAGTCATCAAATGTGCCCTCTTTTTTGCTCTTCAAAATATGCATCTCCCTTTGCTCAGCCTCTCTGGCATTCTCTCTCTTCATTCTGGCCACAGTTGTCTATCAGTTCTTTGGCTGTTTCTCTCTCTCTTTTTTAAAAGGTGGGATGAGAACAGGGTTCTCAGTCTCCTGCTACTTTCTTACAGTGTGAATGTGTCCCTTGAAGCTAGAGTTTCAGAGCAGATAGTTTGGAGCCTATTGCAGGCCAAGTCGTTTCCCTAAGTGAGGGCGAACCATGTTTGTCATAAGCAAACGCTTGCACTTCAGAGTGGTGAGATCACTGGAAGCGGAGACTTGCAGTGATGGACGCTGCTGCCTCTTCCCTGCCAAAGACTAGCCTTGAATTTGTCACTTCCTGCCTTGTTTTCTTCACACGGGTGTTGTGTCACCTAATTAGAGTTTTGTGTTTTTGCAGTTCTGCAAGGAGCGCGATTGGTAAGGACTGCAAAACAGTGAGCATCCGTCTGCACAGATCTTTCCTCTTTCCATTATTTTGCAGCTGTTCAACATGCGTAGTTGGGGACAGGCGGGCGATCCAATTCGGTTTGCGTTTAAAGGCAAACCTTCGTCATTCTCACTCGCAAGAACTGGGATGCCGCCATCTTTCGAAATTCGCACTTCTCTGAATTTTGCAAGGCGGTTCTCCAACCGAGTGATGCGTTCAGAAATGCATACATTGGGATAAAGCTTGTGTTAAGGATGCATATATCACTTTAAAAAAACACGTGCTGATGAATTTTCATGGGGACTTATTTAAAAAGGCAAATAGATAAGGAAACATGGAGAACTGAACTTAAAATAAGAAACGGAGAGAAAACAAAACTTACTGATTTGCTCTTTCTTTTTTGTGGGAGCTGCATTTAGAGATGGAGCGCTTGCTTGGTAGTCATAGGTGACAAGAAAAGCTTGCAGGTGTGAGCAGAACTAATGGAGAGGAGTCGGGGTGCTCCATCTCTCTGTGGAACACAGCAATAGAAACCAGAGAGTCTGGAAGAGCAGGAAAACCCTCTTCCACTTACCTAGTATAGGAGAGCAGTGAGCTGCTGCAAGAGGCATGGTGCTTCTCATCCCTTCCGCTGCCAGCCCACAGCAGGCTAGATGGAAAAATGATGCTCTGCAGGCTAGTAACTTCTCTGCACCTATTTGCAAGGCTGGACAAATAGTCTGGCTCCGCATAAGGCTATGTTCCATGAATTCATAAATATTTTTTTAAAAAATTCAAAAGCAACATTTATCTCCCCCAGGGATAATGTTTGTTTGTCGGCGTGTTTTTGAGCTGGAAGTTCCAGTCTCTCTCTCTCTTTTTTTAAATGATATTTATTAAAGTTTCAGATAGAAAAAGACACATCAATAAAAAAGAATTTAAAAGTAAAAAGAAAAATACACAATATAAAATACAAAAAGAAAAAAAAGAAAAAACAGTTAAAAACAATTCCATCTTTTCATCACTGCTTTTGAATTAACTTATTTTCTGGACCTCCTCATACCTCCCTCTTTTGTATTCCAATTCAGTTTGTTTGTCCAGCAATTCCTTTCCCTCTTTTTTAATCCCAATCCTTAATCTTAATATAATATAATATAACATTAAATTTTTATCTATTAATAGCCAATTTTCCATTCTTTTAACCTTTTTATTCCTAATCCCTAATCTTAATCTGTCTATAACTTTAAAGTCTGTGCAGCTAGAAACCACTTAATTTCAATCCATCATCACTCTAACATTCTTTAATTTTGCAATGTTTCTGCAGGTAATCTTTAAATGGAAGTTCCAGTCTCAAGGGCTCACGCAAACACATCTATTGAGCATAGTCTAAAATAACACCCAGACAAACACAGCATGTAAGGAATACGATGCGGTGTGCATTCAGCTGTGTGCAAATACAGATTGCCAAATTTGTGGCGAAAACTGAACACTTTGATTAAAAGTGTGTGTGTGTGTGTCCCCCAGGAGCAAACATGTCTCCTCCTCTCTGTGAGATATAATAGCCGTGAGGAATAGAAGCTGTAGAGCCATTGGAATCCCCTGGGTGTTCTGTTTATTTTCTCAAATTTAGCTTCCTTGCCTGGGAGTATTTTCCTCTGCTTAAAAAGAAATCTTATCTTCAGCAAGGAGTGTGTGCGTGTGTGTGTGTGTGTGTGCATAGCAGAGCCTTATTCAGCTGTTTCGCAGGCAGTCTTTGGCCAAGTAAGAGGAAATCCTTCATTCTGACCCTCTGCCCTTTGTTATATTCAGGAAAAGCAGGCAGATTCTGGTTCAGCTGCTGCTAGTTATTTTTCCCCTCCCTCCCTCCCGCTAGTTTCAGTCCTCGCCTTATACATGAGTGTACAAGCCAGGGGTTCATTTATTCGCAGGAATCAATCACCCACCAGCCTCCCCAAAGGAGCCTCTGTGATGCTTTAGCATGGGTCCATGTTTGGTTTTCCTTTGTCTGTTTGGAGGATTTTTAAAATAAAATAATTGACTCGCGTCCAGGGAAGCAAATGCCAGCACTTGAAGCAAGCCAGCAAAGCCGTTTTTGAGGTGCCGTTTTGCTGCGTGTTTTTCCTTTTTGACATTTCATCATACGTTCTGCTAAGCCTCCTACAGCGCTATGTAAACCCCTGGAGGTTGGCTGCCAGGGCGACAGGGTGTGCAAGATTTGGTTTACATCGGGTTTTCCCCTAAGGGCTTTTTGGTCTCTTCCTGCCACCCCACGCCACGTTATAATTGGAAACATTTGCTAGAGATTTTGCAGTGGGTGCAAACCCAACATGCAAAAGAGGGTGGCTGCACAATGATGGATTTTGCCTTGGACCAGGAATTTAAGATGACCTGGTATAAAGTGAAACAGAGGGGGTTTTTTGGGTGGGGGGCAGAATTACCCACTAAGAGGCAAGGAGACGGGGTGGGGGCTGCTCACAAGGTGCAAATGACTACCGGACTTTGAAAAGCTGGTTCATCAATTTTTTTTAACGAATTAAACCAACTAGTTTTCATTGGATTTTGAATAAATGTGCAATGAATTGTTGCCGATTTGAATTTTATCGCATTGATATCTTCGTGCAAACCGCTATTCTGAATACAGTGGTAGCTTGGTTGTCGAACTTAATATGTTCCGGGAGTCCATTCGACTCCTGAGACAGTACGAAAATGAAGGCGCGGCTTCTGATTGGCCGCAGGAGCTTCCTGCACTCAATCGGAAGCCGCGCCGGATGTTCAGCTTCCAAAAAACGTTCACAAACCGGAACACTCACTTACGGGTTTGCGGCGTTCAGGAGCCAAAACATCTGAGTACCAAGACGTTCAGGATCCAAGGTACAACTGTAATGCGCGCTCTTTCCTCTATAGGGTTTTATAAACAAGAATGCTTTTTACAGGGTAGGGGGCACCAGGGATGCATTTATCTTTTATTCCCCTTCCTTCCCTCCCCCTCCCCTTTTTATAAAGATTCCTCGCTCTGGGATCCCACAGCTAATTCTCCCCTGTCTCCTCGCTGGCTGAAATAGAACTAATTTAGCCAGCTAGCTCTGGTGATCATCTAATGTTTACTGGGTGGATTTCCCCCCTAAATTGATTTTTGATTTTATTGTTATTCATGTTTTATACCGTATTTTATGCTGTTTTTTGTAGCATCAATTAAGTGTTTTAGATTTGTTGTTAGCCGCCCTGAGCCCGGTTTTCTGAACCGGGAAGGGCGGGGAATAATAATAATAATAATAATAATAATAATAATAATTAATGGAACTAAGGGGCAGTGGCCCCCAAACTGTTTACGGACCACTGATAGTGAAGCATAGCAGCAGATTCACTCAGGGAAGTCTCCAAACCAGCAGTGGCTAGTCCAGTAGGGCAAATGGGGCACTGTCCCAGCCAACCCCCGCTTAAAAGGGATGACTCTTGTTGTCCATGTACTTCTTATTAGAATCATAGAGTTGGAAGGTACCGTGAGGGGATTGTCCAGTCCTTCCTCCTGCAGTGTGGGTCTGCCCTTTTGGTTACGGCTTTGGCGCCGAGCGCGCTTCGATCCATGTGGAGTTCGCCCACCCCTTTCTTCACTTTGCTCTTTGGGGTTTGTTTTAGGCATCATCGGCAACAACAAAGCCATAGGCAAATACATCACCACCATGATCTTTCTGTACTTCGCCTGCCTCCTGCCTTCCATCGCTTTTGGCTCCCTCAATGACGAAAACACGGACGGGGTCATCGGTGAGTCTTCCCTCCTTCCTGCCCCATCCCTCACTTGCCCCCCTGGAAGTTCCGGTTCTCACTGGGGACCCCGGAGGGAAGATCTAATCTGTGTGATCACAACCAAAGAAACCACTGCTGTCTAAACAAAGGAAGCCCTTTTAAGGGCGATTTTTCTTCTCTCCCCAAGATAAGCTTAAAGGTAAAGGTAAAGGGGACCCCTGACCATTAGGTCCAGTCATGACCGACTCTGGGGTTGCGGCGCTCATATCGCTTTATTGGCCGAGGGAGCCATGGGTCATGTGGCCAGCATGACTAAACCACTTCTGGCGAACCAGAGCAGCGCACGGAAACGCCGTTTATATTCCCGCCGGAGCAGTACCTATTTATCTACTTGCACTTTGACGTGCTTTTGGACTGCTAGGTTGGCAGGAGCAGGGACTGAGCAATGGGAGCTCACCCCGTCGTGGGGATTCGAACCGCTGACCTTCTGATCAGCAAGTCCTAGGCTCTGTGGTTTAACCCACAGCGCCACCTGCGTCCCAATATAAGCTTACTGCTTGGATTAGACTAGTAGTTCACAGACACACACACTCGGCCTGGGCCAGTAGAGTGCATGGCACATTCACCCGGTGGTATGTCAGAAGTAAAGCCCATTGGCTTGCTCTAATGAAAAAGTACAAATGGAGCAAATTTGCAGGTTCACTATAGCTTTGCATAACACATGTTTCATTTCAGCGTTTATAGTCTGCTTTTTCCAGTTCACGGTGGCTTGCAGAAACTGAAAGCAATGCATGATAATAATAAATTATTATTATTATTGGAAAATATCCAGCGCAATTGAAAAAGGGCGAAAAGTCAACAGTGCCTTAGAAGAGCTTACTGGAGTAAAACTGCCTTGACTGCTTGTCTGAAAGGAAGCCGTGTTTATTAATGTTATTTATTCTGGCTTTGCCAATCAGAAGGAGGGGTATCAAAGACTTGCCCCCAACCCCTGGAAATTAGACCCAGACCCTGCGCTGCCAGTTCCTCAGATTTCCACGCTCATTGTTTGCATGTGGTTCTTCACTGTCAAATAGACTGTGAGCTTTCTTGAAAGCTGAAAATCTGAAGTTGGTGCTTAGCACTGCATCCAGTTCCACTGTACTTTGTTAGGACACTTTTTTAAAAGATATATGCAGTGCAGGCACTGCGGCTGCAGTACGATGGAGAAGACTGTGACAAGGAGGAGGAGAGACTTAACTGTTTTGCTTTTGCACCAAAAAAGATGCAGGCATCTACACAACTGTGTCCAGTGTGACAGTCCATGCTCCCACAGCTCCGCTCCTAGCTAATGCTTTGAGCATGTCTGTTGCACCAGTGTGCATAGTGCACTGTGCTCTTTGCACCATCAGTGGTGCCATCATTTAATGCAAGCTTGCTTTGACAGCCACCTGATTCTTGCAAATTCATCTTTCTCTCCCCCCCCCCAACTTTTCAGATGTGCAGAAAACCATCGTTGGCCAGTGCATTGGTGGTCTTCTCTATGCGCTGTTCTCAGGCCAGCCGCTTGTGGTGCTGTTGACGACGGCTCCTTTAGCGCTCTACATCAATGGTGAGTTTGTCGCGCCAGCTGCTTGTGTTGCATCTGAAGGCAGCCCCGTTTAGGGAAGTTTTAAAATGTTGGATGTTTTAGCGTGTTTTTTAATATTCTCTTGGGAGCCGTCCAGAGTGGCTGGGAAAATCCAGCCAGATGGGTAGGGTATAAAAGAAAAGTAGTAGTAGTAGTAATAGGAGTAGTAGTAGTAGTTATTGTTGTCGTTGTTGTTGTTGTTATTATTGCATGTTTACAATATGTATAAACAAATCAAGCCCCATGTGGCCCTACAGTTCTGCAGCATGATTTAATAACTATATTCATGCACATGCCTTCTTTGTGCAACTGTATGCGTTGTTGCATCCAATTGTTTATGTGCTGGTTACTTTAGGCGTAGAATATTACTTGTATATAATTATTATTATTATTGACTATATTTATATACTGCCTGTTTTCCAAGGATCACAGGGTGGTTTACAATATAAAAACACAGAAACCTAATTCTTGTACGTGGCTGGTTGTTGTATTTGGGTAGCTGAGGCTGCCATTGGTACATTTCTGTCTTTGTGTGATGATGCTCTTTTCGTTTTCAGTGATCAAAGGGATCTGCACTGACTACAACTTGGAATTTCGCGCTTTCTACGCCTGGGTGGGACTCTGGAACAGTTTCTTCCTGATGCTCTACTCCCTTTTCAATTTCAGTCTTGTAATGAAGCTCTTCAAAAGGTAACTCCTCACATTATCTCCACCACTTTGGTAGGCGGGAAATTGCCACCATAGGGTCATAGACTTGGAAGGGACCCTGAGGATCATCTAGTCCAGAGCTTTCCAAACTGTGTTTCGCGACACTTCAATGTGTAGGTGTGTCACACGAATGCTCCCCGTGCTCCTCACGAGGCTGGAAAGGGGTTCGTTTAACTTCCGGTTTGCTAGTAAAACTGAATTACTGTGTCACGAAAGGATGCATATCAAAAAAGTGTGTCACCAACATGGAATTAAAAAAATAATAATAATCCAGTAGCACCTTAGAGACCAACTAAGTTTGTTCTGGGTATGAGCTTTCGTGTGCATGCACACTTCCTCAGATACACTGAAACAGATGTCACCAGACCCTTATATATAGGGAGAGGGTGGGGAGGGGTATTACTCAGAAGGGTGGTGGGAATGAATGATTGGCTGATAGGTGTGGTAAACCTGTTGACGACTGTTAATGACTGCAGTTGGTCTTACAGGAAAAAGCAAGGGGTGAGATGGCTAAAAATAGCTATATCATGTATAATGAGATAAGAATCCAATGTCTCTATTCAGACCAGGTCTCTCCATGGTTTTAAGTTTGGTAATAAGTTGCAACTCAGCAACTTCTCTTTCCAGTCTATTTCTGAATTCTTCTGTAATAAGACAGCTACTTTGAGATCTTGTATAGAATGTCCTGGGAGATTGTTCTCCTACTGGTTTCTCTGTCTTGTGATTCCGATACCAGATTTATGTCCATTTATCCTTTGGCGTAGGGTTCTCACGCCTTGCTTTGTCCTTAAAATATATTTTAAAATGCTGATCCGAATAAGACCTTGTAACTCACATGCGATGACCCACATGGAATTTCTTTGCAGGTCGACGGAAGAAATCATTGCACTTTTTATCTCCATCACATTTGTCCTTGATGCTCTCAAGGGCATAACAAAAGGTAAGCCAGGCAGCAGGTGACTCTCTTTGTTGTTGGTTGTGGAAACCACGAGGAGTTGTGTTGTTGCAGCCTTCTGTTCTTTTGTTGTTGTTGTTTAGTCGTGTCTGACTCTTTGTGACCCCATGTACCTGAGCACGCCAGGCACTCCTGTCTTCCACTGCCTCCTGCAGTTTGGTCAAACTCATGCTGGTAGCTTCTAGAAGATTGTCCCACCATCTCATCCTCTGTCGTCCCCTTCTCCTTGTGCCCTCCATCTTTCCCAACATCAGGGTCTTTTCAAGGGAGTCTTCTCTTCTCATGAGGTGGCCAAAGTACTGGAGCCTCAGCTTCAGGATCTGTCCTTCCAGTGAGCACTCAGGGCTGATTTCCTTCAGAATGGATAGGTTGGATCTTCTTGCAGTCCATGGGACTCTCAAGAGTCTCCTCCAGCACCATAATTCAAAAGCATCAATTCTTCGGCGATCAGCCTTCTTTATGGTCCAGCTCTCACTTCCATACATCACTACTGGGAAAACCATAGCTTTAACTATACGGACCTTTGTGGGCAAGGTGATGTCTCTGCTTTTTAAGATGCTGTCTAGGTTTGTCATCGCTTTTCTCCCAAGAAGCAGGCGTCTTTTAATTTCGTGACTGTTGTCCCCATCTGCAGTGATTCTGTTCTTTAGTCATGCAAAAAGGGCTTTGTAGAACGAGGTGTGGAAGGTGTTTGGAACTGAGGACCTTCATTCGTGCCTTGTTTTTGTGCCGTGATTCCAAAGGGTAGAATCGGCACAGATCATACCGCAGATCTGCTGAACGCTTGGACTCCTAACCTTAAAAAGCAAGTTCAAGTTCAATTTGGAGGCCTCTAATAGCGGTTGCTGGTTGAGAGGCTGAGGCCCAGAACATTTAGGGTGCGCCGGGCCGGCAAAAAGCTGCCTGTGGACACATTCATTCCATAAATTTAAAGCTCTGTGACACCACTTTAAACGGTGGTGGTTTCCCCCAAAGAATCCTGGGAGATGTAGTCTGTTAAGGGTGCTGGGAGTTTTTAGGAGACCCCCCTGTTCCACTCACGCAACTACAGTTCTCAGAGCTCCCTGTGAAGAGGGATTGATCATCAAATCAACCTGGGAACTGTAGTTTTGGGAGGTGAAATGGGGGTCTCCTCACAACTCCCAGCCCCCTTAACAAGCTACGACTTGCCCAAATATTTAATCAGGATAAAGCAATAGGATTTGAAATTAAGAATCAAAATTACAAAAACTATTATTACAAAACTCGAAAAAGAGTACATCCAAAATGTATAATTTATTATTAGAATGTGAGTTAAAGGATGAAGAAGTAAAATAAGTTATGACTAAATGGGCATGCGATATAGGTGGCGCAATTCGGCTGGACCAATGGGAGAAATTATGGAAATGTGATATTAAATTTACGCCATGTTACACAATCAGAGAAAATTTGAAAAAAAAATATGTTCTTTTTTGTTTGTTTTCATTTTCCTTTTTTTGTATCCTTCCCCCCCCCCCTTGTTTGTATGGTATTATTTTTGATTCAATGTTTGTAATTTTTGTTATAATTTTGCATTGGGGGGAAAAAACAACCAAGCTACGACTCCCAGAATTCTTTGGATGGAAACCATGACTGCTTAAAGTGGGGTGAAAGTGCTTCGAATATATGGCATGAAAATTCACAATTTCCTCTGCCCACAAATGAGTGCAAGATATGAGTTGTTTTCCTCTGCCTCTGTGGTCTGCAGATGTATGGAATAACCAGAATCTCTAGCCCTCATTAACCCCCCGCTTGTTTTTTTCGGAACTTGCTTGCTGGGGGCTTGGAGGGGGGAGGCCGTGTCCTTTTCCATCCCTGTGTATGACCCATTTCCTTCCAACGGGAAGATCAGTTGAATATCTCTCTTAATTTCTAAAGCTCCGCTGGTCCAGCGGCTCTGCAGGAAAGGGGCGTGGGAGGTTTCCCTCTCCCTCTCTTTTTAAAATCTCATCACATTCAAGCCGCACATTCTTCTCACCAGCTTAATGACACTTTGTTTTCCAAAGCTGAAGCTCAGCCACCTAAGCTGCACTCCTGTTTGATCTTGACTTCTGCACTTTGCAGGAAACAGCCAGGCAGCAGCTGAAGCAAACAACATCAGAGGGACCTTAAATAACTCCCCGAAGCTGCGACAGCTCTGCTGTAGTCAGGAGACGCCTTTTGTGTTATTTAAAGGGCAATCTCTTAATCAGTTTTCGTGCAGAGAGGGATCCCTTCAGCTGTCCTCCTGGGCCGCATCAGCCGAAAGTTGCTAAATAAGCGGCAGCTGAATATTAAATACTAAATTCCTAATTACGCAGCAGGCTTGGGGAGATAACCTGCCAGTCAGTTATCACGAACCAAGAAATGGGAGCAGGAGACAGAGCGTGTGCTTAGGATAGTTGGGAGGGCCACAAGGGTCATATACCCTATAATTCAGAATTTTTTCACCCCACACGGGGCTCAAACCCACAACCTGGAAATTAAGAGTCTCAGTCCCTACCGACTGAGCTATCCCCCATGCTTGTAGTGCCAGAGATCAGCAGTGGGGGGGGTTGTTTTTCAGCCTGAGGGCCACCTTCCTTGTAAGCAACCTTTGAGGGGCCACATGGCAGTGGGTGGGGCCAGGAACAGAAGTGGGCGTGGTTAATGGGCGTGGCTCTTACTCTTGCCCAGATAGGAATGTGGCCTTCAGCTTGGACGACAGTGTTCCCCAGCCCAGCAGCACAAAGTTGGGAATAAGTTCTGCTGGTGTCAATGGAAGCTCCAAGCGAGCACAGATAGGGACGGAGATGCAAATCTTGGAAGAAAAGGTTGCAAAAAGGGCCGGGGGCTGTGGCCTTGGGTTCCCTTGAGTATTCCAGCAGGCAGCCACAAGTTCCCCACTTTATTATTACCATTTTATTATTATGTATTTATTAAATTTCTATTTCACCCTTCATCCAATGATCACAGGCCGGTTTACAGTATAAAAACACGAAAACCATACCATAATAACAAACAAAAACCTTCCCCACCACAGAGTTTAAAAGGCCATAGATTGGCTAATTAGCCAAAAACCTGGGAGAAGTGGAATGTTTTTGCCTGTCGCTTAAAGGAAATAATTTATTATATTTTTCTGCCGCTTTTCAGTGAAACGAATTGCGAACAGGCTTACGAACAATAAAAGACAGTAACATGATGAATATCATAGAACAGGGGTCAGCAACCTTTTTCAGCCGTGGGCCGGTCCACCGTCCCTCAGACCATGTGGTGAGCCAGAGTATATTTGGGGGGGGGCGGGGAATGAACGAATTCCTATGCCCCACAAATAATCCAGAGATGCATTTTAAACAAAAGCACACATTCTACTCATGTAAAAACACCAGGCAGGCCCCACAAATAACCCAGAAAAGCATTTTAAATAAAAGGACACATTCTATTCATGTAAAAATACGCTGATTCCTGGACTGTCCGCGGGCCGGATTGAGAAGGCGATTGGGCTGCATCCAGCCCACGGGCCTTAGGTTGCCTACCCTCCTCATAGAACATCACAAATGCAACACAAATCATATAGAAAAATAAGGGAGTCACCGTTTTATGGAGTTCTTCATGTGCACAGACAAAGGAGCAGAGACTCTAGGCGTTATCGGCAAAAGTTGGCTTTGTTTATCCAAAGAATAGGAACGTGACGTAAAGATCAGCCATTTTCTACAGACGTATATATCCCGTGGCATTTCAAAGTTGCACACATCAGATCTTTGGTTATATATTAAAATGACGTACATGAGTTTCCAAGGAACAATAATTGAACTGGGGAACAATGGTTAGCAAACACCTGTGCTTGCGTGAAACCACATCTACACTCTTTTCTGCTGCTCAGCATCTTTACCCATTAACTTCATGATGTCTTAAAAGGGTCTGCAGCTCTTTTAACTCGCTGAAAGGCTGGGCTTGGAGGCATGGTCCTGTTTTGTTTACCCTTTCAACCAGTGCATGACCTATGTCAGCTTGTTCCCTTCACGACTCTGCCTTCTTTCTGCAAGAACAATCTGTCTCTGGCAGGCAGAAAAATCCTCTCCACCTGACGGAACCCTGGACTTTACATAAACAGTGATTCTAACCAGCACCATATTTTGTGTGGTTTTATGTGAGAGAGAGATGGAGAGTCTTAAAGGTCTCTGAGCGAGCAAACGAGACACTTCTGGATTTAGGTCAGGCTCCCGACTGTGAAATATGAGACGAATATCATATTTCACAGACTGGGAGAGTCTGTGGCAGGGAGAATCAGAATCAGAAACTGAAGTGGAGGAGGACGGAGACCAAGAGGCAGAGATGAGTCCAGCTGGAGTCATGGCTATTTCCTATTCCTGCTGCGACAAGCTCCCCTCCCCACTTGTCTCCCAGGACCAGGAGAGGCATGAAGAGGGCAGAGGAGAAATTAGGGTCACGCAGGCACAGTCTCAGATTGCTTGGGGGAAACCCTGGAGAGGAGGGGACTTAGGCAGCTGTGGGGAGGTGGGGAACTGCAGTCTGAGCAACTGCTTCATGGCGGAAAGACCTGCCGGCGTTGAGTCGCTGCGCTCATTAGGCATGACACCCCTCTGCAGATCCTGCTTTCTGCTAATAAAGACTTAGCTCAGCTTGTTTGGGTGATTCACTGCTGGCTCACTCCTGACAAAGAGAAACCTTGTGCGCTGAGCCTAGCATGTAGTTTGACCAAAGATGTCTTCCTTTTCTTGGAAAGAGCAGAGAAGGTAATACAGTGGTACCTTGGTTTTCGAACGTCTCCATTGCCGAATGTTTCGGTTTTCGAACGCCAAAAAACCGGAAGAAAATGCTTCCGTTTTTGAACACACCTCGGAAGTTTAACAGCTTCCTCTGCGTGTATCTGTTGTTTTTCACAATTTTCTCTATTGAATTAGCAGGCCTCGGTTTTCAAACATTTTGGAAGTCGAACGGTCTTTGGAACGGATTATGTTTGAAAACCAAGAAAGATTGTGTGATCCTCTGGAACAAGAAACAAGTTCTCCTCGCCCTTGTCCCTGTCCCAGCCCCACCTATGGGTGTCACAGGCCTGGCTTCTATTAAAATCCACTCATTTTTCTTCTTTCTCTCTCCCTCTCTGTTTTAGTTTTTACAAAGTACTACCATTTCCCGAGAGTGCACAGCACACCGATTGATAACACCACCTTCTTCTTGAACATGTCAGCTGAGCGCTCGGGGCTGGGGAACCAGACGGACGCCCCCCCTGCCGCTACGCAGTATGGGCGAGAGACGGCCGTTCTTAGTCTCATGCTGATGCTGGGAACCCTTTGGCTCGGTCACACGCTGTATCAGTTTAAGAAAAGGTATGTCAAAGGTGATGGGGAGCCCGTGGCCCTCTGGGTATTGCTGGCATCCAACTCCCATTGGCCCCAGTCGGCATGACCAGCGATGAGGAATTATGGGAGTTGTAGAGCAGCAAAAAAAAGCAACCAAAAAAAGCTGGGACACGGGTGGCGCTGTGGGTTAAACCACAGAGCCTAGGACTTGCCGAGCAGAAGGTCGGCGGTTCGAATCCCCGCGTCGGGGTGAGCTCCTGTTGCTCCTGCCAACCCAGCAGTTTGAAAGCACGTCAAAGTGCAAGTAGATAAATAGGTACCGCTCCGGCGGGAAGGTAAACGGCATTTCCGTGCGCTGCTCTGGTTCGCCAGAAGCAGCTTAGTCCTGCTGGCCACATGACCCGGAAGCTGTACGCCGGCTCCCTCGGCCAATAAAGCGAGATGAGCGCCGCAACCCCAGAGTCGGCCACGACTGGACCTAATGGTCAGGGGTCCCTTTACCTTTAGAGCAGCAAAAATAAAAATAAAAATGGAATAGCAAAGCCAGACATAGTACCAATACTTGGTGGGTTGCAAACATCTTAGAACCCGGTACATTAGATTGAAGGGGAAGGCCTGTGGCTCAATGACAAAATGCTGCTTTATATGTTGTGAACTGTCCTGAGATCTACATAAGGAGGACAGTATACAAATTGAATACCTAGATATGCAGAAGTTCGCAAGTTCAAACCTTGGCATCTCCAGGTCTTTTTAAAAAAATAATAATCTGTGTTTCAAGTGTTTTTAACTTGGCTTATGTGCTGTGTGTTGGTTAGTTAATCTGATTTTACTCCTCCCTTCGCTAGAAATATAGATGCAAACTTAGAAATAAAAGCAGTCTAAATTGGTTCATCCATCCTATGTCCATAAAGATTCGGGGGGGGGTTATTATTATTATTATTATTATTATCAGCAGCAGCACCATGCTCTAAGACACTAAGTTATCCAGCTGGGTCTGCTCTGAGTAGGACCAGTGCTGTATAACCACCCGCCATTCTGCCATTTTAAGCCCCTGAAGTAGAAATGCTGTATTCCTTTGCCCTGACTTGAGTATTTTTTATATATTTATCCTTGCAGCCCTTATTTGCACGCCAGAGTCCGCGAAATCCTGTCAGACTGTGCCTTGCCCATTTCTGTCCTAACCTTTTCCGCCGTGGGGTCTTACTTCTTCAAGGAAATAACAAGTAAGTCTTTGGTCTCCTTGCAGCAGGGAGGTTTTTGGGATCGCAAACATGCCTGAGGAAGGTATAGCTCAGAACTGTGACTCCCAAACCCCAGAGCTTCCCCGCCTGACCCCCCACAACCCAAATAATCACCTCCCAAGTTCACAGTCGGTGTTAATTCATGCGGCGAGCTAATCAGACGAGATGGTATCAGCAGGGTTTGTTTTGTTCCTGCGAGTTATTCCAGCCTGTAATTTAATTTCAGCGTAATAAAAATGCCGCTTTTTTTTGCTTTGTTTATTATTATTAAAGACCTGATCCTCCGTATGGTTCTGGCAAGGGAACAAAAGGCTCTCCTAATTGCCAAAGGCAGGAAGACTTGTCAGCAAACCTACAGATGTTCTGGTGATGGGTTTGACCTGTGAGCTTTTCCCTCCGTCCGCCACTTAATATTTTTCCTAATTGAAACGTGCTGATGGCCTGGTACATCTGCTAGGACGATCAGATGCACAAGGAAACCTGAAAAATTATCCAGGGTCCCTCTTGGCCAAGCGGGTCACCTTTTCCACATCAGGAAGGCAGGAATCGCCTGCCCCAGTGATGACGCGCATGGGAAGTCTGAGGAAATGAATGGAAGAGAATTAAGAAAGGTTCCTCTCCCCCCACTCTCCCCCCCCCCCCGGTGACCATCATTCCATCCATTCGGAACTGGAAAGTGGGCAGCTTTCGGTTGCGTGTGTGCATGCCTGCGCCCTGACTTCCTTAATGCCAATTGCTCCCTTGCCACCTGTCAGAAAGCAAACTAATGCGGGGTATTTTGTGGAAATCCCTGTTGCGCAGCTTGCAAAGGAACAGCTTCAGATGCGCCTCAGCTGCTGAGATGGGAACTGGCCCAAGCGCTGGAGGGATGAAAGATTTAACTCTGGTGTTTTGCCTGAAGCCCTTGGCCATCTTCTGAGTGCAGCCGCTCTGGTTTCCAGGCGCACAGACACACAAACGCCATCACACACCCAGTAACAACAACAGCTGCCAGCTGTTCTTCCTGCTGCGTACGGAGAACGGGGAAGACTGACCTTGCAATTTCTGGTCCACAGTCTTCTTCTACCTTGGGTCGCCATCGGCTGTTTGACTACGGCGCCCATCATCCCTAGCTCTCTTAGGCAAAGGGTTGGGGGTGATGGGAGTTGTAGTCCAACAATATTTGGAGGACACTGAACTAGAGGACATGCTTTTTCAAGCCTTGCTGGACCAGGCTTGCTTTGGCTGTGTAGCTTAAATGAAGAGGGGGCATGGATATTGTAGGTCCTGGTGGGGTTTAGGGGAGGGTAAGGAAGAATGCGGGAGGCGGGTGGCACTGTGGGTTAAACCACAGAGCCTAGGACTTGCAGATCAGAAGGTCGGCAGTTCGAATCCCCACGACGGGGTCAGCTCCCGTTGCTCGGTCTCTGCTCCTGCCAACCTAGCAGTTTGAAAGCACATCAAAGTGCAAGTAGATAAATAGGTACCGCTCCGGCGGGAAGGTAAACGGCGTTTCCGTGCACTGCTCTGGTTTGCCAGAAGCGGCTTAGTCATGCTGGCCACATGACCCAGAAGCTGTATGCTGGCTCCCTCGGCCAATAAAGCGAGATGAGCGCCACAACCCCAGAGTCGGCCATGACTGGACCTAATGGTCAGGGGTCCTTTAAGGAAGAATGCCAAAGTCAGTGCCACTGCTGAGGAACTCCAGGGATCTTGAATAGATCTTGACTAAGGGTCACAATTCCATAGGGAGAAGTCATTTTCAGAGCAAACGGCAATATTCTGCAGCTCTATGTCTACTGTAAAATGATAATGGGAACAGCTTCTGTCGGGACCAGAGTCCAAATTGCAGATGTCCCATGCATTGCACCAAATGTGCATTTTGGGGGAATAATAATAATAATAATATTTATACCCCACTCATCTGGCTGGGTTTCCCCAGCCACTCTGGGCGGCTCCCAACAGGATATTAAAAACAAGATAAACATCAAACATTAAAAACTTCCCTAAACATAGCATGGCTGGTGGCCCGAATTTGCACATGAGAGGCAGGTCAAACCATGCTTGGGATTCCAGAATGGTTTGTCCCAAAGGAGAAGGCTTGGACCACCCACCTCCAGTGTAGCAAAACTGACCAAGTGACTTTGCAAGGCTGCATTTCACACTACAGAAGTCTGCAGCTAGTTCACTGCTGCCTACTCATCTAAAATTGCCTCCCTCCAACAGGGTTGCATGATCCCTTGGTTCAGATTCTTCCAAAATTAGCACTTCCCATCCCCAGCTATATCCAGGTGATCCATTGAATCCTTGCCCCTGGTTGCTCAGGAAGATCAGGGCAGTTTTGCAAGGTCCCGTCCGCCATCTTGTTTCAAAATGGTATCCATTGGTTGTGATATCGCAAGAGTGTTCAAATGTATACCAAACACACAACTTTCCAAACAAATGTGGTAGATCCATCCTGATTTGTTTGCACAAATTTTGAACAGGTTTGTTACCTCTTTTTATTACCCTGGGGGCGCACTCTTCCATTGACAGACGGATAACAACTAATTTGCAACTATTACATTTCTTGAACATTCGTTCTTCACGTTGCATATGACATTGCCCAACATCATTGTTTATCCCACACTTCCCAGTGCATTTTCCTTTTTATCCCAAATTATTTTTTATTCATTTTCCAAGTGATACAAATCAAACCAAATTACTTTAATTTAATGCAATTTCTTAAAATCAAGTTTCTCGCTCCTGTTGCAAACATATGTCGATCGTTTCCTCCCGTAGACACATCATTTCTTATTTAATGTCCAATTGATCTTTCACTTGTCGTTAGTCCATTCTTTCAGCTGACCACATATTTTCCTCCTTAGAAAAAAGCGCCTCTGTTACATCTTATAAATATAAAATCCATTTCACATGCGTAGCCTTTCATAGACATAGTTGTTTCAGACCTGGGAGAATTAATTACTATCTTCCATTGTTCAGTGCATTTTCCCATCTCTGTTCTTGCTGCAAAAAAGACTCCCCCTTCCTTTTTCTTTCTTTGGAAATGGGCTTCTTGCACAAGAGCAGCAAGTCCACTTTCTTTCCACAGCCTAAGTCTGCCCGCAAAACCGTGGCAGTCAGGAAGCAGTTTCTGAAGAAGCCTTTGCTGCCCGTTTGTGTCTTTCAGTGTCTAAGTTTAATTACAACCCATCGGAGAGCTTGTTCGTGTTGGCCCCCCTCCTAGAGCTCTCCATTGGCGCCGTTATGAGTGCGATGGGCTTGGGGTTCCTGCTTTCCATGCTTTTCTTCATCGAGCAAAATATAGTGGCATCACTCACAAACGCCCCGGAAAACAGGTATTTTTGTGTGTGTGTCTGTTTTGTGTTCACCTGTTCTAATTCTTCCACGTTTAAGGTGGCAGTGGGGTGAGGGTAGGGGCAGGGGCAGGGGGCATGCTGGGAGGCCTCACATCAAGTTCTGCTTCCTTCACTATGAGGACTAGACACTGATGGAGCGTCTCCATCCCCATTGTTGTGCCCAGACACTGAGGTCCAGGCCAAGGGCCTTCTGGTGGTACCCTTACTGCAAGAAGCCAAGTTACAGGGAACCAGGCAGAGGGCCTTCTCGGTGGTGGCGCCCGCCCTGTGGAATGCCCTCCCATTAGATGTCAAGGAAATAAACAACTATCCGACTTTTAGAAGACATCTGAAGGCAGCCCTGTTTAGGGAAGTTTTTAATGTTTGATGTTTTAATGTGTTTTTAATATTCTGTTGGAGGGACTCGGGTGGCGCTGTGGGTTAAACCACAGAGCCTAGGACTTGCCAATCAGAAGGTCAGAGATTCGAATCCCCGTGGTGGGGTGAGATCCCATTGCTCGGTCCCTGATCCAACCTAGCAGTTTGAAAGCACGTCAAAGTGCAAGTAGAAAAATAGGTACCACTCCGGCGGGAAGGTAAACGGCGTTTTCATGCGCTGCTCTGGTTCGCCAGAAGCGGCTTAGTCATGTTGGCCATATGACCCGGAAGCTGTACACCGCCTCCCTCGGCCAGTAAAGCGAGATGAGCGTCGCAACCCCAGAGTCGGCCACGACTGGACCTAATGGTCAGTGGTCCCTTTACCTTTTTACAGGCCCGGCAGAAGGAGGTTAAATCCTGCAGGGCCCTAGTCTCCTGGGACAGAGCATTCCACTAGGTTGGAGCCATCACTGAGAATTCCCTGGCCCAGGTGGAGGATAGTCTGACTTCCTTAGGGCCCAGGACCTCTAAACTGTGGTTATTCATGGACCTTGAGGTCCTCTGCGGGGCACACCAGGAGAGGCGGTCCTGTAAATACACCTCTCCAGCCCCTACAGTCTGTTTGTGCCTGCGGATTCATCCTGCTCTGGTCCCCCAGATGCCAAGCAGCATTGACCAAAGGCTGTGAATATGAATTTAGAGACCGGTGTATCCAGAATCCCTTTCAGCCAGAGATAAAGACCAGCACAGAGTCTGGCTCTCTATCAGGCCAGTGGCCCAACTGGTCCAGGATCTTTTGCTCACAGTAGCCAGCTAGATGCTTCCCACCCTTCTCTTTGGTCTACAAGGCAGTGCAGTCCTCCAAGGGATCTGCGCCGCGGAGCTGCTCTCCCACGCTGCTGCTGCCGTCATCGTCGCTTCGTTCCCCCGGCGCTTGTGTCTCCCTCTGAGCCGCCCGGCAGGCGGGTGAGCTGAAAGTAGGCCAAGAAATGGAACGTGCTCTTGCTTTTATCTAGCGGAGAGCCCTGATTTATGCACAGGCTCTGCAGCGCTTGAGAATTCCCTTTGATGTTTCTGAGCTAACTAGAACCAAGCGGAGCATCAGATGCTGGCTGGTGGGAGACGGCGTTATTCCTCTTCCTATCCAACAGGAGACTTTCTGAATTTTTTCTTTCTGTATCGGTTGAGAGAGAGAGAGAGAGAGATGGTGTCTATGAGCACCAAAATTCACCAGAACACAAGGCTCTCTCTTTTTAATAATAATAATACAGCCATACCTCTAATAATAATAATAATAATAATAAAATTTATTTATACCCCACCCATCTGGCTGGGTTTCCCCAGCCACTCTGGGCGGCTTCCAACAGAATATTAAAATACAAAACCTATTAAACATTAAAAACTTTCCTGAACAGGGCAGCCTTCAGATGTCTTCTAAATGTCAGGTAGTTTTTTATCTCTTTGATATCTGGTGGGAGGGCGTTCCACAGGGCGGGTGCCACTACCGAGAAGGCCCTCTGCCTGGTTCCCTGTAACTTGGCTTCTCGCACGAAGGAACCGCCAGAAGGCCCTTGGCGCTGGACCTCAGTGTCCGGGCAGAACGATGGCGGTTGGAGACGCTCCTTCCATTTTCCTAAATGTAAATAGATGCAGCCTTCAGACTGAAACCCTGACAGTGTTTAGTCTTGGCATTATAAGCAGCCAGGCAGTCCTTTCTGACTTTGGTCTGGGCTTTTTGTTAAAAGAGATGGTTGGGGCAATAGTATTAAATGCGAACAAGCTCAGAGGTCATTGTGGGCCCAATGCAGACGAGGCCAAGAGCAAGTTTAGCTGAGTTGGTAGAGCATGAGGCTCTTAGGCTCTTAATCTCAAGGTTGTGGGTTTGAGCCCCATATGGGGCAAAAGTTTCCTAAATTGCAAAGGGTTGGAGTATACTGTTCCTCGCGGTCCTTTCCAACTCATTGATTCTATTATTACTATTACTATTATTATTATTAAATGTGTATACTGCCCTATACCCATAGATATCATGGTGGTTCACAACATAAAATTACAATATAAAAAACACAAAATACATAATAAAAATAAGAACAGAAACAAACCATTAATCCCCACTTCCACAACAGCTAAGGGAGCTGGGCATGTTTAGCCTGGAGAAGAGGAGGTTAAGGGGTGATATGATAGCCATGTTCAAATATATAAAAGGATGTCACATAGAGGAGGGAGAAAGGTTGTTTTCTGCTGCTCCAGAGAAGTGGACACGGAGCAATGGATCCAAACTACAAGAAAGAAGATTCCACCTAAACATTAGGAAGAACTTCCTGACAGTAAGAGCTGTTCGACAGTGGAATTTGCTGCCAAGGAGTGTGGTGGAGTCTCCTTCTTTGGATGTCTTTAAGCAGAGGCTTGACAACCATATGTCAGGAGTGCTCTGATGGTGTTTCCTGCTTGGCAGGGGGTTGGACTCGATGGCCCTTGTGGTCTCTTCCAACTCTATGATTCTATGATTCTATGATTCTAACACATTTAAAATGGCATTAGATGTCAATCAGCCAAAAGCCTGGTGGAAGAGGAACTTTTTTGCCTGCCGCATAAAGTTGTATAATGAAGGTGGCACCAGGTGAACTTCCCTGGGGAGAGCATTCCACAAATAGGGAGCCACTGCAGAGAAGGCCCTGTTCTCGTGTTGCCACCCTCCAGACCTCTAACGGAGGGGGCACACAAAGGAGGGCCTCAGAAGATGATCTCAGGGTCTGGGTAGGTTCACATGGAAAGAGGCGGTCCTTGACATATTGCGGTCCTGAGCCATTTAAGGCTCTATAGGTAAAAACCAGCACTTTGAATTGGACACAGAAACTAATAGGCAGCCAATGCAGTTGGGCCAGGATCGGTGTAAGATGCTCTAACCGTTTTGCCCCAGTGAGCAAGCTGGCCATTATGATTTTCTGTGATTCTCTTAAGTCTCTTGTTTCCGAAGCGCATAATGCTCTGTGTGACCCAAGAGGCTTGCTGTGCTTTGGGTGCCACCTCCCGGCTAGCATGCATTTACAACTGTACTAACAAGAATTTATTTCAGGTTAGTGAAGGGAACAGCCTATCACTGGGACCTCCTCCTTGTGGCTCTGATCAACATAGGGCTCTCCATCTTTGGGCTGCCGTGGATCCACGCTGCGTTCCCCCACTCGCCAATGCACGTCCGAGCCCTGGCCTACGTGGAGGAGAGGGTGGAGAACGGGCACATCTACGAGACGTAAGTCGGGGTCAACGTTTCTTTGTTTGTTTGGAGGCCAGGGCAGTTGGCAGCATGTGAAATATAAGATAATGAATTATAAGAAGGTAAAGTTAAAGGGAGCCCTGACCGTTAGGTCCAGTCGCAGACGACTCTGGGGTTGCGGTGCTCATCTCGCTTTATTGGCCGAAGGAGCCGGTGTACATCTTCCATGTCATGTGGCCAACCTGACTTAGCCACTTCTGGCGAGCCAGAGCAGTGCACGGAAACCCCATTTACCTTCCCGCCAGAGTGGTAACTATTTATCTACTTGTACTTTGACACGCTTTCGAATTGCTAGGTGGGCAGGAGTAGGGACCAAGCAACGGGAGCTCACCCCGTCAACAGGACACCGTGACGGAAACCAGAGCACATGGAAATGCCGTTTACCTTCCCTCCACAGCAGTACCTATTTATCTACTTCTACTGGTGTGCTTTTGAACTGCTAGGTTGGCAGGAGCTGGGACAGAGCAATGGGAGCTCAGCCCGTCACGGGGATTCGAACTGCCAGCCTTCCCATCAGGAAGCCCAGGAGGCTCAGTGGTTTAGAGCACAGCGCCACCCGCATCTGACTGTGTTGCCCCAGCCACTCTGGGCAGCCTCCAACAAATTAAAAACATCAAGTATTTTTTTCAAAAATCCCTCCCACCTTTTAAGGCTCTTCAGCCACACAGACCCCCAGAAGCTTTTCTAATTCCCATGATAAAGGAACGATGCATTGAACCGCAACACAGAATCTCAGCCCTCTGTGCCCATGATCAGATGAAATCTTTTAATTTTATTTTAAGAAATGCTGTGGCCGCTAGAGGGCGCCCTGCAGTTAGGAACATCTATGTTGGATGCATAGTCTATTCGTTTTGGTTGGCTGTAAAGAGGGATTTGGCAGGAAGGCTGCGTTGATCAATGGCTATAAAAGTGAGCCTCTGGGTTCAGCGGCAGTCTGAGCCGCTGAGCTGTTTCCTTCAAGCTCCACTTGTGGACTTCCCTGAGGAATCTGAGATACTACAGCTGTGATCTAATCTAGCAGGGTGCTTTGGGAGTAATAATAATAATAATAATAATAATAATAAATTTAATAATTTATATCCTGCCTATCTGGCTAGATTTTCCCAGCCACTCTGGGTGGCTCCCAACAGAACATTAAAAACACAAGAAAACATCAAACATTAAAACTTCCCTAAACAGTGGCTGCCTTCAGATGTCTTCTAAAAGTCAAATAGTTGTTTATTTCCTTCACATCTGATGGGAGGGTGTTCCACAGGGTGGGCACCACCACCCAGAAGCCCCTCTGTCTGGTTCCCTGTAACCTCACTACTCGCAGTGAGGGAACCCCCAGAAGGCCCTCGGAGGTGGACCTCAGTGTCCGGGCTGAACGATGGGGGTGGAGACGCTCCTTCAGGTATAGCCCTCTGGAATTAGTGGGTCTATTTTCTCAAGGGCAGAAGCAAGGCCAGAGGGCCTGGACTGGGAGACCTGTGGCTCTACGTATGTTGTCGGACTGCCAACCCCCAGCCAGTATAGCCCAGTGGCCACGGTAGGAAGCTCCCTTATTGACCAACCATCTCAGTATGGTCCTCACTGACTTGCAGTGGTTCTGCAGGGGTCTCTCCCAGCCAGTGGTGCGTGGTCAGTGGACTAGGGGGACTAGGCTAATCCCCTAAATGCTCCCTTCCCTCTTGGCGCCTTCTTCCCCAAACCTGGGAAGCTTTTGCCCAGCTTAGGGAGGGAGGAGGTGCAATGCTCATACGCACAGTGTCCAGACGTCCTGGCGCCTCTGCCCCTAACCCCCTATGAAAAATTTCACTGCAACCCACTGCTCCAAGATTGAGCTCGGGGCCTTCTGAATGCAAAGCAGATGCTCTCGTTGGATAGGAGTGGGGGAAGAAACGTGATTCAATTCTCATTTAAACGAGAACTTCCCAAACCGGCAGCATCTGAAAATTCACAAGCCGAAACAGACCCATCTTTTGACATTCTCGCTTCCCTGAATTTTGCAGTGTGGTTCACCAACCTAGTCTTGTGTATGAAAACCCATGGGCCAGGGCAAAGCATGCATAAGAATGCCTACGTTATCAAAAGCAAGGCAAAATTTGCTGCACTCAGGGGAATTTGTTTTGCAAACGAATGTGTGTTAGGATAAGTTTACATGAAAGGCTGGTGAATTTTTTCAGGGACTTTAAGCAGACAAACAAAATGGTTGTGGAAATGTGGAGAGCTGAGCTTAATAAGAGAAAAAGATGTTGAGGTTGACAGATTTGATCACCCCTATCCCTGAGCTACTTTTCCCAGTAGTGATGTATGGAAGCGAGAGCTGGACCATCAAGAAGGCTGATCGCCGAAGAATTGATGCTTTTGAATTATGGTGCTGGAGGAGACTCTTGAGAGTCCCATGGACTGCAAGAAGATCAAACCTCTCCATTCTGAAGGAAATCAGCCCTGAGTGCTCACTGGAAGGACGGATCCTGAAGCTGAGGCTCCAACACTTTGGCCACCTCATGAGAAGAGAAGACTCCCTGGAAAAGACCCTGATGTTGGGAAAGATGGAGGGCGCAAGGAGAAGGGGACGACAGAGGACGAGATGGTGGGACAGTGTTCTCGAAGCTACCAGCATGAGTTTGACCAAACTGCGGGAGGCAGTGGAAGACAGGAGGGCCTGGTGTGCTCTGGTCCAGGGGGTCACGAAGAGTCGGACACGACTAAACAACAACCCCTGAGCCACAGCCTTTCCCCTTTGATAATGAGAGTCATTGTCCTGCAATATCTCAGAGACCACAGCTGTTCCCATTCCTGCTGTCTAAGCACTGGGAACAGCTTTGCTGACCCAGAGTAAGGCTGTCCTTGCACACTCAGCCCTGCCCAAGAATTATAAAATTGTCGACTCGGAAGGGAGCCCAAGGGCCATCTAGTCCAACCCCCCACAATGCAGGAATCTCGGCTAAAGCATCCATGACAAATGGCCATCCAACCTCTGCTAAAAACCTCCAAGGAAGGAGAGTTCACCACCTTCTGAGGGGGTCCGTTCCACTGTCGAACAGCTCTTACTTTCAGAAAGTTCTTCCTGAGCTTTAGTCGGAATCTCCTTTCTTGTAACTTGGAGCCGTTGGTTCGAATCCTACCCTCTGGCGCAGGGGGAGGTATCAGAAGGCCAGCAGAATGAAAACTCATTTAAACATGGTGCTCCAGGAACAGCCTTGCTCCCATTCTGCTCCTGGTTCACCCAAAAGGGTGAGGGCTTGTGGGATGGTTGGGGCTTCGTATCACAGCGTGGAGGTTGTGTGCTGTGTCTCTGTACAACAAACTGTGTCTTTGGACCTGTGGGAACCCGAGGATCCAGACATGGGTGGAAAACAATTCCATCTGCCACTAAACATCCTGTTTCCACACCGGTGCACTTTAGAAGAAGGTTTATATAATGATGCATGTAAAGGGGCCCCTGACTAATTAGGTCCTGTCATGGCCGACTCTGGGGTTGCGGCGCTCATCTCACTTTATTGGCCAAGGGAGCCGGCATACAGCTTCCGGGTCATGTGGCCAGCAGGACTAAGCCGCTTCTGGCAAACCAGAGCAGCGCACGGAAACACCGTTTACCTTCCCGCCGGAGCGGTACCTATTTATCTACTTGCACTTTGACGTGCTTTCGAACTGCTAGGTTGGCAGGAGCAGGGACCGAGGAAGGGGAACTCACCCTGTCGCGGGGATTCGAACCGCCGACCTTCTGATCGGCAAGTCCTAGGCTCTGTGGTTTAACCCACAGCGCCACCTGCGTCCCAATGATGCCTGGTGGGTATTACGAGACCTCCCGGGCACTTGGAGCATATTTTCAAGATTCTGCTCCCTCTCCCTCCCCCCCGCCCCCGGAAGTTTCTGCTAGGCATGTGGAATCGTAGCAAATGTATTCATATGTGCAGGATCCAGGTACATATTGAAAATCAGGCCTGTTCTGTTCGTGGGGGAGAATCCTGTAGGCTCAGATTATAGGAGCAAAACAAAACAAAACCATTATCCCTGCGTGGCAAAAGCTTTTCCGCCCCCAGCCTGCCCCCAGTCCCTTCTGCTGGCTTAACCTTAAGCCCCCAAACAAGTTTTCAAATGCTTCCCAAACGTGCTCAAGCTTGGAATGAAGCAATCATGCAGGGACAGTGATCTGCAGCTGGTCTGCAGGTCACCAGTAACTCCTCTGATGGCAGGCTTGTTTGTCTGAACGTGATGCAGAATGCGAGAGGCTGTGGTAGTAGAGGGGGACTATGGTATCATCCACAATTCCGCTTGTCCTGCCACTTTCCCCCAGGGAAAACTGCTGTTCACTGCTGAATTGGAGCAAACGTTGATCGGGTTTTTTCCGGATTGCTGTTTTCCCCGATTTAGCACCAAAGAGCAGGTTTTCTGGGGAAAGCAGTAGGGCAAAGGGGAACCGGCACAGACCCATGCCTCAAAAGTGTGGGGAAAATGCTTGGAGCTGTGCTTTCTTGGCATAGGGCAAGCGGGAGTATGGGGGAGCCCTGTCTTATGCTAGTGGGTCATTCCATGTCGTTTCAACAAGGTCACGTCACCTTCCATTTTATAACACTTCGAAGTTTCGTTAAGTATCTTGTGCCGAGGGTCCCAAGAGGGACAGACAATGCAGATTTAACGAAACATCAAAGTGCTATATAATTAAAACCGTTTGAGATAGAGGTGGGGAATTCAAGGGGGTTTCTTTCAACCATAAGGGAAGGGTGTACACCAAGTTTCATCAAAATCAGAGACAGAGAGTGACAAAACCCTTGTTTTTTGCGTCATAATAAATAATAATAATAATAATAATAATAATAATAATAATTTATTATTTATAACCCGCCCATCTGGTAGTTTGGTAGTTCTTTTTCTCTTTGACATCTGGTGGGAGGGCATTCCACAGGGCCCTCCCACCAGATGCCACTATCGAGAAGGCCCTCTTCCTTGTTCCCTGTAACTTGGCTTCTTGCAGCGAGGGAACCACCAGAAGGCCCTCGGCGCTGGACCTCAGTGTCCGGGTAGAACGATGGAGGTGGAGACACTCCTTCAGGTATCCTGGACTGAGGCAGTTTAGGGCTTTAAAGGCCAGCACCAACACGTTGAATTGTGCTCGGAAACATACTGGGAGCCAGTGTAGGTCTTTCAGGACCGGTGTTATATGGTCTCAGCGGCTGCCCCCAGTCACCAGTCTAGCTGTCGCACACTGGATTAGTTGTAGTTTCCGGGTCACCTTCAAAGGTAGCCCCACATAGAGCGCATTGCAGTAGTCCAAGCGGGAGATAACCAGAGCATGCACCACTCTGGCGAGACAGTCCGCAGGCAGGTAGGGTCTCAGCCTGTGTACCAGGTGGAGCTGGTAGACAGCCACCCTGGACACAGAATTAACCTGCGCCTCCATGGACAGCTGTGAGTCCAGAATGACTCCCAGGCTGTGCATCTGGTCCTTCAGGGACAGAGTTACCCCATTCAGGACCAGGAGTCCTCCACACCTGTGCTCCCCCTGTCCCCCAAGAACAGTACTTCTGTCTTGTCAGGATTCAGCCTCACTCTGTTAGCCACCATCCATCCTCCAACCGCCTCCAGCGTTAATTTGATGTGGAATGACCCTTGCACCTCTCAACCCCAGGGATCCCTGATTAAGGGGTCTGTGGCTGAGACCCTGGCAAAGACCTGCCTGAGATACTGCAGGTCTGTATGTGATACCCTCTGCTGATGCTGCTTAAAAACTCTTGACGTTCTCCCTGGCTGAGAACATGCTCTATAAACGTCTTGCCCATTTTGCCGCTGGCCGGACCTGGAGTTTGCAAGAGGGATGCTTAGCGCATGTGAGATCACTTTAAATTCCAAAATTTGATCTACTTGCCTACTTGCCATTTGATCTTGGGAGTTTTGCCGGTGTTATCTCCCGTAATCCACATCAGGGCTGAAGTTCCTAACCCCCCCATAGAAATTACACTTTGCGTAGCTTCATTCGGTGCCATAAACAGGATTATCCTTGAAGTTCATCAGAACGCCTGGCCCCCTCAAGGTGATGGGTTTTCTCTTTCTGCTGAGATGCCCTTCGATTTTTTTTGCTTTCCTTTGGTTATTTGGATGCCACGAAACCGAAGGAAATCAATGCCCTCCCCTGAGATCTGATAGTTGCTGTTTGGAGAGGATCAAAAGGCAGGAAAGGGAGATTTGAACCGTTCGAAGAGATTTTGTGTAGCATGCCGCAAAGGCTAAATTAGTTTTAAGCTCTGAATGTGGGAACGAGAATAAGAGAATCGCTGGAGCTGTGTGTGCTCATTGCTAAAGAAAACACATTAATTGTGCGTCTAGAGAAGCAGGGTCTCTGGCCCATATAAATTACCGTATTTTTCGCTCTATAAGACGCAGCAGACCACAAGACGCACCTAGTTTTTGGAGGAGGAAAACAAGAAAAAAAATATTCTGAATCTCAGAAGCCAGAACAACAAGAGGGATCGCTGCGCAGTGAAAGCAGCAATCCCTCTTGCTGTTCTGGCTTCTGGGATAGCTGCGCAGCCTGCATTCGCTCCATAAGATGCACACACATTTCCCCTTACTTTTTAGGAGGGAAAAAGTGAGTCTTATAGAGCAAAAAATACGGTATGCACTTTCAACAAATCCTGTCACTTGCTAGCCACACATCCCTGAATACCAGAAAGCCCATTTAACTTTGGAGATTTCTTCAGACGTTGCACAAATAAGAAGTCTGCATTTTCCATCGATAAGGACTAAAACTTGATTTTTTAAAAAAAATTCAAGGTGTTTTCAGGATGCTGAAATTTTTTTCCTTACTGCAACTCCAGATCCCAACCTTGCACAGAACCCATCAATTTCCATAGAATTATGGGTGAACATAGAAAGCTCCCTTGACGCCTTTTCAGGCCCCTGGTTTCTCTATTGTTCTCTATTGTTTCTACTTCCTTTGGCCTTGCGGGATTCCAGATCAGGGACTAACTCCTGCCCCTGAGGCATGGCAACACCAAGGCGCTCACTATATAGCAAAACAAAAAGTAGGTCAATGCTCCAGGTGTCGACCAGAACCCTGACTCTAGTATGACACGCAGGACTCGTTCACACATGCATGCAGGCCGCTTGCTTCTTCTGTTTACCCAAGGGCTCAGCTGCTTGCATGTGAATCAACGGGAGATAGCTCAGTGAGCTAGAGTGCGGTGCGGTGCTGATAATGCCAGGGTTGCAGGTTCGATTCCCGTACGGGACAGCTGCAGATTCCTCCATTGCAGCGGGTTGGACTGGATGATCCTCAGGGTCCCTTCCAACTCTACAATTCTGATTTTATGACTCCTGCTAAGTACCAATTGCAGCTGGAATAGCGGGATCGATGCAACATTCAGTCTGCGGTGGTTGATCTTCAGTGGCTCCTCCTTTTGCGTAAATCATCTCTCGGCACACAGCCATCAAGCGTGACCGTGGTCTTTGTGGTTCTTTGTTGTTATTTGCTGATATTTAATTTTATTGTTCACTATTAGATTCTAGTGGATCGTTGAATTTTGCTTTATTTGATACAAGTTGTTTGTTTTAAAGTTTTTGTGACTTTCTTGTATTGGATCAGATCGTAATTATTAACATTTGACATTTTATTATGTTTTTATATGTGTCGGAAGCCGCCCAGAGCAGCTGGGGCAACCCAGCCATACCCAGCCAGACGGGCGGGGTATAAATTAAAAAATAATACAGTGGTACCTCGGTTTTCGAACATAATCAGTTCTGGAAGACCGTTTGACTTACAAAACGTTTGAAAACCGAGGATCAAGGGGAAATCTGCAAACTCAGTGAAAGTAGTTTGACTTCTGAGGCGTGTTTGAAAACGGAAGCATTTGCTTCCGGGTTTTCAGCGTTTGAAAACTGAAATGTTTGACTTCCACGACGTTCAAAAACCGAGGTACCACTGTATTATCATTACTACTACCACAGTCATACCTCGGGTTACAGTGGTACCTCGGGTTACATACACTTCAGGTTACAGACTCCGCTAACCCAGAAATAGTATCTCGGGTTAAGAACCTTACTTCAGGATGAGAACAGAAATCGGGCGGTGACGGCAGCGGGAGGCCCCATTAGCTAAAGTGGTACCTCAGGTTAAGAACAGCTTCAGGTTAAGAACGGACCTCCAGAAAGAATTAAGTACGTAACCCGAGGTACCACTGTACAGACGCTTCAGGTTGTGTTTTTTCAGATTACGGACCTGCCAAAACCTGGAAGTACCGGAAGGGGTTACTTCTGGGTTTTGTGGTCGTGCATGTGCAGAAGCGCTAAATCATGTTTTGCACATGCGCAGAAGCACTGAATTGCAACCCACGCGTGCGCAGACGCGCCGCTGCGGGTTGCGAACGTGCCTCCCACACGGATCCCGTTCACAACCCGAGCGTCCACTGTACTACTATTTGCTCTCTCAAACGCTTGCATGTATCCTTGCGCGATGGGCTCTCTTGCTGCTCAGTAACACACGCTGCTTCTGTGCTTCCTCCCCGGCCAGGATCGTGAGCGTTAAGGAGACCCGTCTGACCACCCTGGTAGCCAACTTCCTGGTGGGCCTCTCCCTGCTGCTCCTACCTTTCCCGCTGCAACTGATCCCGAAACCCGTCCTCTACGGCCTGTTCCTCTACATCGCCCTGACCTCCATCGACGGGAACCAGCTCTTTGAGAGGGTCGCCCTCCTGCTGAAAGAGCAGGTAAGCGCACTGGGGGGCAGCACGGACTTTGCAAGCTGTGCAGGATAAGGAGCTGAGGCCCCAGCGGACCTGCACGCCTCCGTTTCCTGAGGAAGCTAATAATCACGAGTTGATTGCCGCAACTTGAAAAACACGGCCGTTAAAGAGCCTCTGATTGCTTTTTATGATCTCCCTCTGCTCCTGCCACCACCGCTGCCGCCTCACGCCCTGTTTGTTGTCTTGGCTCCGCTCCGGCAGCAAAAAACCCTACGGACGAAATGCCGCTGGGACAGTTGCCAGCAAGAACATCCCAGTCATCCGGTCCAGGGGGGAAACAGCAACTTTCACCTCCTGGCACCAGAAGCGGCCTTGGTCTTGCCCTCTGCTTGTGCAACGGCATAGCAGCCACTGTTTAGCCTTTTCAAAAGAAAAGGGGACATTTCCACACTGCGGTCGCAGCGGCAGGGGCGCCGTTTCCGTAGCGAGCGAGACCCTCTCCGCAGGGGCAGGGCGCCGACTCGGATTGAGTGGGCTCCCCCACACACAAATGCTGAACCAAAATCCAATGGGAAATGGCTTTTAGCAAGGCTCTCGCTTGCAGTTGCATGTGGTTAGCCCCCGTTAATGCCACCGTCTTGTGGAGGAAGGAGAGGTCAGGCCCAAGACTGAGGTGTATCAACATGGTTGACTGTTTCAGGTGGAACGTTTTTCTTGCAAATGTGTCAGCTGGGGAGCTTTCCAGAATGCTTCCCTGCACCACCAATGCACACGTGTATGCTCTGTGCAGAAAAATTATTATTATTATTATTATTATGAACCTACCCAGACTCTATGTTCATCCTCTGAGTCCCTTCTTCATGTGCCTCCTCCACGAAAGGTCCAGAGGGTGACATCACAAGAACAGGGCCTTTTCTGCAGTGGCTCCCCATCATGCGATGCTCTCCCCAGAGAGGTTCGCCTGCCACCTTCATTATACACCATTACTTGCCAGGTGAAAACGTTCCTCTTTAACCAGCCCTTTGGTTAATTGACATCCAATGCCCTTTTAATACGCGTATGGGAGCCGTGGTTATTGGGTTGCTTTCATTTTTATTTTGATTATATATTTTGTGGTTTTATATTATGATTTGATCCTGTGAACCGCCCTGAGACCTGCAGGTATAGGGCTGTCTAACAACAACAACAACAACAACAACTTTATTAAACTTAGTAGGAGCTCGAAGCAACTTAGAACATCAAATAAATAGCACATACATTAAAACCAACATAAAACGAAGCAGAGAAAAACCCAAAGCACATTTGTGTTTTTAAAAGGCAGGATCAAAACATCCCACTCACTGAAGGAGGCCGCAGATAATTACCCTTCAGCCTGGCAGTCCATCTACAGCTGGGGGATTTTTTGCTTTCCTCAGCCCTTCTCTTTTCTGTTTCCTAACGCAGGAAGGTTAACCAGCGCCCTGTTTGTGTGTCCCTGAGGCTCTTTTGTGCCGCAAAATTTCTGTGCTTCTGATTGCAACCTCTGGCACTGGGTTGTGTGCCGCTCCCTCCCAGCAGAAACAGAAGGGTGCTTGTATGGTACAGCCGTGAGCTAGGGGCACAGCAATGCGGGTGTCACAAACCTCCTGGGGTTGGGCCTCCCGAACTCCTAATGGTTCCACACCCTCTTGAACTCCCTCTTCCAAGTCCCCTCCAGCTTTCCTTGATGGTTCTTGTTGACCGCAGGACTCGTGCCTGCATTTAGCTGTCGTCGGAGTTGACTTCCCATGTTGGGCTGGTGTCCAAAGCGTCCCTGCCACAGGAAAAGACAGTCCCAGCATGCTTTGGGGGGGGGGCATTGAAAATTCCACAGGCAGTGCCCTGATCAGAAGGCGCTCGGTAGCATGAAAGGAAGCAGCTGGGGATCAGGAAGCTTTTATCTGCTTCCACAGCAGAGGCGCCCGCAGGACCAGGCTGGGCAGAACATCTCAAACAGCTGGTGATTTATTCCTAACACATGGAAGCCCAGCTGTGGCTTGGGAGCAATGCTCTGGCCAGGCCAAGCCACCCCCTCGTTCCCTGCTTGATGCAAAGAGCTGTTTGTCAGCAGAAGAGACGATCGCAGCATCTATTTCCATTCGCCTTCCTATGTTCTAAGCCATGGTGTGAGCTGATGGTGCGGTTGCTCAAGAGCAAACAGGCAAGACTCCAACCTATCTTTTCCAGGCTTTATCATCTGTACAAGCTACCGTATTTTTCGTTCTATAAGACGCACCAGACCATAAGACGCACCTAGTTTTTGGAGGAGGAAAACAAGAAAAAAAATATTCTGAATCTCAGAAGCCAGAACAACAAGAGGGATCGCTGCGCAGCGAAAGCAGCGATCCCTCTTGTTGTTCTGGCTTCTGGGATAGCTGCGCAGCCTGCATTCGCTACATAAGACGCACACACATTTCCCCTTACTTTTTAGGAGGGAAAAAGTGAGTCTTATAGAGCAAAAAATACGGTATTTTACAGTGCAGAGCGTTGCAGGTCCATGTCTGCTCAGTCGCTAGCAGAATCTGGGAGTGGGCGGTCCTTATACCTTCCCCAGCATAACAGCCGTGTGACCCCCATCCTCCTCCTCCTCTCTCTGCGCGCAAACCTACTGCGCAACATGGGCGTTGGCAAAGGGGGACTTGCCTCCCCTCCCCTTTGCCCAGGCTCTGTGTTGAGGCTCTCCCTAGCATCTTCTGATCCCTGCGCCCCTTCCCCACTGGAAGCGGGACTTCCCTCCTCGCCAGAGGAAGAACTGCTTTGCAAGATCTTCGGAGGCTCCCTGCAACACAACTGCCCTTCCACCTCTCGCCTCTGAGCTGATGGCAGTTCCCTGACATATGGGTAGGCAAACTAAGGCCCGGGGGCTGGATCCGGCCCAATCACCTTCTCAATCTGGCCCGCGGACGGTCCAGGAATCAGCGTGTTTTTACATGAGTAGAATGTGTCCTTTTATTTAAAGTGCATCTCTTGGTTATTTGAGGAGCATAGGAATGCATTCTTTTTTTTCTTCCAAAATATAGTCCGGCCCCCCACAAGGTCTGAGGGGCAGAGGACCAGCCCCCTGCTGAAAAAGTTTGCTGACCCTTGGTCTAAGCCATCACTGCAGGCTTCACTTGGGAGCTCGTCTGGAATTGCCCCTGCGGCTGAATTGGAGCAAACAGCAACTGGGTTTTCTCTGGACTGACATTTGCTCTGCTTCATCCCAAAAGAGAGGGCGGCAGCAGCAGCACAACAGCAGCAGCAAAACGACTCGGAAACTGTTGTTATCTAGGCGTGGGACCAGCACAAGACTGGATGAGCCCTGTTTCTGTGCATGGTTTCTTTACCACCCCTCTTTCACAGCCCCTGAGTCATCATAATAATGATTTTATTACAGTGGTACCTCGGGTTACATACGCTTCAGGTTACAGACGCTTCAGGTTACAGACTCCGCTAACCCATAAATAGTACATCGGGTTAAGAACTTTGCTTCAGGATGAGAACAGAAATCGTGCTCTGGCGGCGCAGCGGCAGCAGGAGGCCCCATTGGCTAAAGTGGTGCTTCAGGTTAAGAACAGTTTCAGGTTAAGAACAGACCTCCAGAACGAATTAAGTTCTTAACCCGAGGTACCACTGTATTTGCAGCCACTCTGGGCTGCTTTGCCATGATCTTCATTCTGTTAATCAGCAATATCCAACCGGTCAACTGCGATCCATAGGTAGATCACAAGGGTTCTTTAGGTCGATCGTAGTAGTAAAAAAAGAGATCGCCCGCTAGTTACTGAGCGATCTTGACGCGCCCTGCCCCCGGTGCTCTGCCCCATGGTCTCCGCCAGCGCCCTTGCGTTTTGTGCTTTTTTCACTGTGTCTGCGGCATGAGGGCTGTGGACTGATGGATGAGCGCTTGAATGCTACAGTTCCCCAGAAAAGCTTGTCACTTCCCCCTAAGAAAAGCTCAACCCCTGCCCAAAAAGGCTCAATAACTCTGGGCTCTCTCCCTAAAAAAGCTCAACAGCTATGGGCAATGACAATGGGTGGATCACTAGCAGTTTTATTATACAGTCATACCTCGGGTTGAATGTGCTTCAGGTTGAGCGCTTTCAGGTTACGCTCCACGGCAACCCAGAATTAACGGAGCGTGTTACTTCCAGGTTTCGCCACATGCACAGACGCTCAAAATGACGTCACACGCATGCATGGAAGTGGCAAAACATAACCCGCGCACACGCAGACATGCTGTCGTGTCTTACGTTCCATTCAGGATGCGAACGGGGCTCTGGAACGGATCCCGTTTGCATCCCGAGGTACCACTGTACTGGGAGTAGATCCCAGTCTGTATAGAGTTGGACATGCCTGTGTTAAATGGAGAGCTTGAGCCCACAGTTTGCCAGGCACAAATTTCGCCACTGCGGCAAGAGACAGAGTCCGTGTGTAACACTAAACTTTGAATGATGGCTTAGCCCAGGTACATGGGCTCCCGGAGGAGAGATCACACTCGCTTTTCTCCTCCTGCAGAATCGCAGGCAGTCGTAGTTTTGGCCTGCAGCAGAAGGTCTTATCATCCCAGCAAATGAGCAGCTGCAGTGGGGCTGTTTTGATTTTACGATGCTGAATTCTGGGTTGCAGCAATGACCTCTGGTCCCTCAGTCCAAATGACTTCCTTTTTAAAACCAGTGAAAACCAGTAGAATTGTGGCTAAGCTTTATTTACTGTTATGTTTTAAAAATAGGGTGTTCGCTACAGTCGCACTGAGAAGTTGATTTGATAAAATGCCAAACTGGGGCAGAGGGGCTCCCCCATAGATGACAACTGAAGGGAGAGAAGGAGACTAGCTCTAGGAATCAGACTCTTGGGTCCTTAACTGGGGTTCCCATTTGATCCTGTTCCCCATACGACCCACAGCTCACTTGTGGGGCCTCCAAGGTGCCACGTTCCCCCCAGGATAGACTCACAAGGACTTTTTAAAAAGAAAAATACTAGCTGCAAAACTGGTGTGGAAATGTGTAGAACTGGCTGTAGAGACTGGGAAAGTGAGGAACTGAAAAGAGACAATAACGAGCAGATTTGCCTATGCCTGGCACATAACCACACAGGGGGGAAAACGCTGTTTCTGGCTGCTGAGAGTAGGTGGGTTATGAGCTCTTTATGGTGTAAGTGGGCATTACTAACTTGGAAGATGTTTAGTAGGGCCGGTTCTGGGGTGACTACTAATACTTGTTTAGTTATTTTGCATATTCATTGTATGATTGCTGTCCAGAAGAGTTGGATTTTGGGGCATTCCCACCACATGTGGAGGTATGTGCCTGTGGAGGTGCATCCTCTCCAGCATTTTGGTGAGGCTCCTGGGCGTATTAGCGCTAGTTTCTGTGGTGTTAGGTACCATCTGTAAGTGAGTTTCAGAGTGAGTTCTTTCCTCTGTTCCCACCCCACTCGCCATTCCCCCTCCCCTTCTTCCTTCCTTTCTTCCTTCCTTTCCCCCCCTTCTTAACTGTTTAAACCAATTCATGAACCAAGAACCTGTACACTGACCACTAATAATGAAACATATGTTGCAGATATTTTTCCACATTTACAGTGGTACCTCGGGTTACGAACTTAATTCATTCCGGAGGTCAGTTCTTAACCCGAAACCATTCTTAACCTGAGGCACGCTTTTGCTAATGAGGCCTGCTGCTGCCGCCGCTGCGCAATTTCCGTTCTCATCCTGGGGTGAAGTTCGCAACCCGGAGCAACTACTTCCCGGTTAGAGGAGTTTGTAACCCAAAGCATTTGTAACCCAAGGTAGCACTGTATTTTTGTGATGTACAAATGACATGAGAAAACTTGGTCTGCTTGTTTGTATAACATTATTCTTGTTTATAAAACCCAATAAAAAGAAGATTTATTTTTTTTATGGCACAGCCCTGAAAGGCCAGGAAATCCCCTCACAGATTTTCTCCTGGAAGCAGCTCCTCTGATGAGGGACAGGGTGGAGTGGGGTGGAGAGTGCGGCAGCCTCAGTCTCTCGCTAACACCCTTGTCGTTTCCAGACAGCCTACCCTCCGACGCATTACATCCGCCGGGTGCCCCAGAGGAAGATCCACTACTTCACGGGTCTGCAGGTCCTCCAGCTCCTCATCCTTTGTGGATTTGGGATGTCTCCCCTGCCCTACATGAAGATGATCTTCCCCCTCATCATGATCGGAATGGTCCCTATCAGGTACGCTCCGGAGATGTGCTCCTTGCCCAAGAGGGCTTTGGGCTTAGATGGGGCCTCTTTTATCCTGCCCGTAAAAGTGTAGTGGTTAGAGCAGTGATGGGCAAACTTGGTCCTCCAGCTGTTTTTGGCCTACAACTCCCGTGATCCCTTGTTAACAGGACCAGTGTCAGGGATGATGGGAATTGTAGTCCCAAAACAGCTGGAGGGCCGAGTTTGGCCATCACGGGGTTAGAGGATCAGGCTATAAGAGCCAGGCGCAACCGGGGTTGAAATGTTTGCTCAGCTGTGAAATGCGCTTTGGGGGGCAGGCAGGACGGTAGACCAGCTGCTACCTCTTTCAGCCTGACCCGCTTCGCAGGGACGTTGTGAGGAGCAAAATGGAAGCGGGGCAGGGAAGCATGTAAACAACCCTACGCTCATTCGAGGGGGAAAATCATACATCCACTGTTTTGTTTAGAATATTTTCTTTCTTGTTTTCCTCCTCTAAAAACTATGTGCGTGTTATGGTCAGGTGCGTGTTATAGAGCGAAAAATACGGTAAATATTTAGCTGGCATTGGTCTGTCTCGGGAGACAACAGAGGAGTGCGCCTGCTGTGACATGTTTTGTTGCAGCCGGGGCAGGTGAAGGCATCTGGTTCTGCTGCAGATGCACCATGACTTTTCTGCTCTCTGCGCTCCTCCCAGCAGTCATTCCTCCTCTGCTCACTGCTGCGGATGCACAACTTGACTATCTGCCTCCAGGCACTGCGGTCGTCTGCAAGGGATTCCCACACGGCGGGTTGATGTTGCAGACATCTCTGTAACACAGAGCTGGTCTGCCAACAGGCCTGGTGCCGGAAGCCACAGAGATCACCTTGGAGAAAATAATAATAATAATAATAATAATAATAATAATAATAATAATTTATTATTTTTACCCCGCCCATCTGGCTGGGCTTCCCCAGCCACTCTGGGTAGCTTCCAACAGAATATTAAAAACAATACAACGTCAGATATTAAAAACTTCCCTAAACTTCCCTAATCAGTTGTCTTTTAAAAGTAAAATAGTTGTTTGTTGCCTTGACATCTGCTGGGAGGGCATTCCACATGGCAGGCGCCACTACCGAGAAGGCCCTCTGCCTGGTTCTCTGTGACCTCGCTTCTCGCAGCGAGGGAACCGCCAGAACGCCGTTGGTGCTGGACCTCAGTGTCCGGGCTGAACTATGGGGGTGGAGACGCTCCTTCAGGTATACTGGGCTGAGGCTGTTTAGGGCTTTAAAGGTCAGCACCAACACTTTGAATTGTGCTTGGAAACGTACTGGGAGCCAATGCAGATGTCTCAGGACCGGTGTTATATGATCTCGGCGGCCACTCCCAATCACCAGCCTAGCTGCTGCAGTCTGGATTAATTGCAGTTTCCGTGTCACCTTCAAAGGTAGCCCCACATAGGGCACATTGCAGTAGTCCAAGCGGGAGATAACCAGAGCATGCACCACTCTGGCGAGACAGTCTGTGGGCAGGAAGGGTCTCAGCCTGCGTACCAGATGGAGCTGGGAGACAGCCACCCTGGATACAGAATTGACCTGCGCCTCCATGGACAGCTGTGATGATGATGATGATGATGATTGCTATTATGATGTACCCTGCATTTCGCCTTGCAAATTATCCTGGGGCCTTTCTGCATGCACAGCAGATTCTCTTCCCAGGTCGTAAGCGAAAGACAGCAGCTCAGAAATGGAGCATCTGCTTTCCACGCAGAAACGTCCCAGGTTCGACTCCCCGGGTAGCTCTGGGATAGATTCCCTGCTCTGAATTCCTGGAGAGTCACTTCCAGCCAGTGTAGGAAGTGCTGAGCTCACTGAACCACTGGTGTGGCTCAGCGTATGGCGCTTTCCTGTGTCCCTGCAGTGCGTTAGGTGCAGAGCCCGTAAGAGCCACGCGCAAAGTCTTCCGCTTAGGGCAGAATCTAACGGTGTCCCCCTTCTTCCACTCAGGTATAACTTGCTCCCAAGGATCATTGAAGCGAAATACTTGGATGCAATGGATGCTGAGCACTAGGGGAAGAAGCAGCCTTGTTTCCCTTGCATCAGCCAGCGGGCTTCTATCTTTTTCAAACGGAAAGGAAGCTGGCGTCTGGGTGGGCGACTCGCCGGACGTTTGGTTTGGATCCTGAACCTCTCGTGACTTGATTTTTGTACTCCTGCACAACTGACTACCCAAAGGCATGTTGCTAGAGACCAACCAAGTGCCCAGATTTCGGGTGGGGGGGGGGGAGCAGCGCTCTTTGAAGCTGGAGCGGCAAGTGTGCTTTACGGAAACCCCAAAGACAAAAGTTTGGCATTGCGTCCCCACTTCTTTGTTTTAGGGAAGGGCAGTGCCGTTTTTATAGACTTTTTTGACACACACACACACCCTGTACTGTGCTGCTCTGCGAGAGGAACAGTAGGGCGCTCCTTTTTAACCTGACAGAATTACAGTGTCCTCTGGCCAGTTTCCTCTGCTTCTTAATACAACCTCTCATGCCAGGAGCCCCGGAGATCAGTGGGTGGCTGATTCGGTCAAGAGCCACCAGAAGACCAACGTGGAGCAGACCGGGACAGATTTTGCTCCAGTTCTGTATCATATTCTGTCTGGGGGCATCTGGGCTCCCTGCTTTCGAGCGGAAACCCAGAGGCGGATGCGAATTAGCCAAACCCTCTTGCAGACGGTCCCGACTTGGAACAGCAGATTTGCACGATGGCGACTGAACCAGGCATTGAAACATTTGGCAGAATCTCTCTTCCCTTCCCCTGTGTGTACATTACTACTTATGTGTACATATATACATAGCCAATCTAGATTTGTGTATATATTTTGCATATAAATGTCCTGGGTAATTGATGCCTGTCTCCCCCCCCCTTCCCACCAGAGAGTGAGAGGGTTCTTGTGCAATCAGTGTTAACATGTACTGTATCTTGCATCAACTTAAATTCTCTCCTCCTTCCTCTTCTTTTCTCCTTCGCACTCCCTGCTCTTTCCCACCTCTCCTCCGTTTCAATCCTAGCCCTTTGGCTCCCATCGGTTTTGATTTGCTCTTGGCGTTTAATTTTAGTGTACAGTACATAGTGAACATTGGGGTCCTGGGCAGGGTCGCGTTCCAGGTTAGGGTTTGTCTCGCTCCCCCCCCAAAGGCTGTGTTTCTGCTGCTTGTCTCTGCCCTGTTCCAATTTTGTAGCTAACCTCCTCCTCCCCACCCCCTGCAAAACATGACATTATATTTCTGGAAAATCTGAATGCTCCCGATGTCTGCTTTATACACTGCGGGTCCTAATTATAATTTGTGTGTGCGTGTTCTGTGTTCCAGCCTGTTGGTCCCACCTCCTTTTTATTTTAAGTACTGCAAAAAAAGAAAGAATCAAGAATCCATATTGTATTAGGCATATATGTCAAACTCCCCTGTTATCTACATTTCTCAATATTCCTCTTCAGTGCAAGGTAAGATTTTTTTAAAAATTCTTTTTGCAAGAAAGAGAGCTAAAGACTTTGCAGAAGGCTAGATGTGGCGTACAGTGGCAGGGTTGTTCCTGAACCCAAGCCGCTGGTTGGAGAGGCTTGATGTCTGTAAATAGTTCGATAGTTCAGAGTCAAGGATGTTCCTAGCTTGGTCTGCATAAACAGCAGGTGAGGTATAGATACTGTTTTATGTTTCAGTGGTTTATCATCTCTCTCTCTCTCCTTACATGTAGAAAACCAGATGTCAGGGAGACCGATTTTCCCCTCCTTTTCTACCAAACATGGAAATCCTCTGAGTAATATAGCATTTCCCCCCTTCTTGGCCCAGGAACAGTGTTCAGATCACAATGGACAAGCACATATGTGCATAAATGCACACTCGCTGCAGCCCAATGCAGTAGACCAGTTCTAAGTTAGCCAGACTAGGGGAGCTGCTGTTGTTGTTGTTTTACTAAGTCCTGAGCATCACTTTCTGCAGTGAGAACGATGACCAAATAAAAGAACCGCATCTGGAAATTCAGAGAGGTTGTCCCTTTGGCCAACTGGGTGCTCCCCGGATTATTCGGACTACAACTCCCAACTACGCTGGCCGGGGCTGATGGGAGTTGCAGTCCAAGACGTCTTGAGGGCACCCGGTTGGCCAAGGCTGCATAGGTTGGCCACCTTTGCGGCCAAAGGACACAGTCCACCTTTGAATAAGTGCAAAAGGGCTTTTCGCCTTTGCCGGTGACATATTCTCATGCTGAGCTTTCCAAAAGCATAAAAATATATCTCTGGAGTTGCTCGTTTGGCCTGAATTAATCCAGATTAGCATCTTGGCTCTGCAAAGTCTTACCAGGCCTGGTCTGCAAAGTCCTGTCCGAAACGTTGCAGTTTGTGATTCTGCCCCGAGCTGCTTAATCACAGGGAATAATTACGGACACACCATGTAGTCGGTCATGGGTGGGAACCTTAAGATAGTCCACCTATGTATGTATGTATAATGCAAGAAACCAGATTTATTGTTCCATAGGAGGTTCACAAACAACACTCTGCTCTCTCTGGTTTTATTTTTAACTAAGAACTCTCCTCTGCACTCAAGTTCCCACTGCCTTGAATTCCTCTGCTAAGGCTGGTAGGACTTGTAGCCATATTTTGCAGGGGCTGCTCTTAACTCATTTCTGGGGTTGACACCGGTGTTCCTGCGCTGAGAAAATTTGGGAGCCATCTTTGCAGGAGATTTGACTCCAGAAGGCCAAGGGGAGTTGTGTATGGAGTAGCTGGATTTTGTTTTGTTTTTTAGCATGTAAACAGATTTTAAAACTCAAGACTGCTGCCAAAAATGGCAGCCTCTTGCCCCACCAAGAGGTAGTAAAGCATGTCATAAGTTCATTATTGCATGTTACAGGGCCGTGGCAAGGCAGCATAGCTAGATGTGAGGCTGCCATGTTTAGCAGGGTCTGTGGTCCTGCCCAAATGCATCTCTCTGGCGGAGCCTGTCGTCCAACGTAATAGAACCGCACATTAGTCGTGCGATGGATATGAAACCTGCCTGTGAATACAGAGAGTTCATTTACAAAGGCCAGTGTTTCAGTTCTACAGGGAAGCAAAGCAGGGTAAAAGCTCTCCTCTTAATTAATATTTTTTTTAAAAGCCAAATCGCTAGCGCGTGGCACACGTGATCTGTGGCTGGCTGTGGAGGTTGATGCAGATGATAGAAACACTTAAATATATCCATGCACAGAACCCAGGTTTCTTATCTTGCAGCTTACGACAAGTGGATGTGCAGGGTTTGACGCAGGCTGGGCAAATGCAAACAGAGAGTAACTTCAAGGAATGCAGATCTCATTTGCCGGCAGGAGCATCCCTGATGTTCTCACGTGAACTTTAAAAAATAATACTTTTGGTTTCAGCTTCTGTGCAGCTTCTCTGTGCGTTTCCCACCCGTGGTCCTCAGGAAATACTCTGTGCACTGCATGGGGGCAGAGTCCTCTGAGGTTTCTAGATCTATATACCCAGGGGTAGCATAGGGGTAGCCTTCATGCCGTGTGAAATAGGCAGAGCTTGTTGAGATTTAACAGCAAGCAATGTGCTTAGATACCTTTGTGAAAATGGTTCTCCCTTGCCCAGGACTGCTCCTGCTTTTAAGATTTAATTGCACAGTGCGCACACACACACACACACACACACACACAGTGGCACACATTTCATAGCCTCTTTCCAGTTATCTCCCAGAGCTTCAGAGCTTGCAAATCTGAGCGGCTCAGCACATTTTAAGGCCAGTAACCTTCCACCCCCTAGTCTTGGTCTTCTACTTGAACAGGTAGCAGGCCAGAAGCCGAGCTGTCTCAGAACGTGTCTTACTTCAGATGGTTTTCCCCGACTCTTTCCCTCCTTTCCTGCTGCAAACGGTGTTGGTTTTGGGGTTTTTTTCGTTTTATTGTTCTATTTTCTGTTTCTTGTTTCTACTGACCTCCGCTTGGGTTACCAGGAAACAGACTTAGCGAAGGAAGAGTGTCTGTCGTAGACGGAACAAATTCTGCACTTTAATAACCACTGCGAAGGTTTTAAGACGGTTAGAATGTACATACCAAATGCTTTTATTATAAGCTCTGTAGAGAAGATGACTTTTTTTTTTAACTTCATTTTCTTTCTTTGCATGAATCTTGCCAAAGAAACGGGTGCGAGGAAGACATCTCCGTACGTGTTACGCTCGTCGGGAGATACTGTGAATGCCTTTTGTGATTATGGGGTGCTTTCGCCTCCCTTAACGCAAGCAGAGATTGCCAAAAAAAAAAGGAGCGTTCTAAGGCCAAATTTGTCTTGATGCCATAAACTCCCCTTAAACTTTCCTCCTGAACCTGCTCCAAGCAAAATTGAGATACCACCCCCTGGAAAATTATCAAAAGCTAAATCTGGAGACCCAATAGGGGACGGTTTTGTGGATCGTTCCTTCCTGTCTCAAGGACTGGGGAGGGATTCACAACCTTTCCCACCCCCCAAATTCTCTTTTCTTGTTACCTGCTGATCTATATATACCCTTCATGAGTACCATGAATGGCTTAACGGTTGTGGGCTGATCCATTTTCAACAGACTCCTTTCCTGAAAATTAAAAATTTGATTTCCCAGGAAGTGACTTGCAGAGGGGGAATTATTAGGGGAGGGGGAAATGGTCACATCTGATCATGTGACTTGAGTCCCAGGAGTTAGCCATGATGAGACAAGACATCTCTGGTGGAAAATTGGTGATGGGCCCATCCATTTAAACCACCCGGAGACACTTGTCTGCAGAAAAACCTGTTAACGCTTCCCTTTAAAGATCCATAAATAGTTCACCTTGCGAGTAAGAGGGACTTTGGGCCAGCTAACCTGAGGCGAGCCGTGAGTGGTGTTTCGTAGCAGTAGACTCTGATATCAGCCAACCGAGACTTGCCATCAAATCAGTTTCGTGTTAGCTCCTGTTTCGAAACTGACCCAACCTCTAAATTCCTTTGTCTCCATATCTGCCTCGAATTCTATTCCCGTCCCCTTCCGCTGTCTGGAAACACACCAATTGGCAAGTCCGCCCACCTGTGTACGTTCAGCGTTCTTGTTGTCTTCTGATGATTCCTCCTCATCCGTCTTGCAGCGAAAGGAACGTCACGTGTGGGGTTGCATGTGTCTCTGCGCAAGCCATTTTGAGGGGAGTTATCCCCCTCCCCAAAGTTTGCTATGCGGTTGTCCTCTGCTGCATCGTTCCTCTTCCCCACCCC